AGTTCCGTGTTGGCTAATGTAGCAAAGAAACAAAGTAACGTTGGGATAAGAAGGCATTACAGTTGAAACGATCATGCTATTACATTTGACAATGGTGGATGATGTCATAAGTTTTAAACATATATCATTTTTGTTGGGTGACCCGAAAACACTGACCCCCGGTCCGTGGACCCCCCTACGGACCCGGTCCATGGACTACCTTACGGACCAGTTCACGGACCCCTTCTACGGACCCCCGCTACGGACCACCCCAAAAAATAGCCGAAAAAAAAAGATACAGAAAATATAAACAGAAATGGCAAAAAGATTTGACTTACCATTTGAATGGACTGACCGCTCGTGTCGGCGTAAATTCGAACGCTTACTTCCGCAGAATTAACAGACTCGGGCGCAAGGTAATATTAATCGCATATCGCTACCTATTTCGCTGTGGCGATGTATGAAAGACCACGAAAGACCTGTATGCTCTGAAGATCAAAAACTTCATTTGTGTACTGTTTTGCCACCGCCATTTTGTTGGGCTCAGCCTCCCGCGTTCACGATCACGAACTCGACCCAGGCCTCACGAAAAACATCACGACTTCTCTCCTCTCTCGTGGCAGCCATGGATGACCGGTAAGAATTCTTGAATATTAATCACCTTTATTCTTTTGTTCTTGTGGGCCATCCACATTTATTTGCACTTAAAACAGATTGCAAACATATCTATCTTTCTTTCTTTAGGAGAAATGTGGAGGTGCGTGAAATATTGGACAGTGATGAGGTGAGTTGAATTTTAAGTTAAAGTTTAAGCGGTCAGTCCATTCAAATGGTAAGTCAAATCTTTTTGTCATTTCCGTTTATATTTTCTACATCGTTTTTTTTTCAGTTATTTTTTTGGCTATTTTTAGGGGTTGTCCGTAGGGGGGGTCCGTAGAAGGGGTCCGTAAGGTAGTCCATGGACCGGGTCCGTAGGGGGGTCCACGGACCGGGGGTCAGTGTTTTCGGGTCACCCATTTTTGTTTCTGGTTCAAAAGAAATGGTTGGAAGTATATGTAGGTGAAAAGTAAAATTTAATGTCTATCATTTCATTTTGGATTTCCGCCTGGGTAAATTTTGGTCACGTGCCAGGCAACGTATAATCGAGAACTTGATAGAATTTCATTTCAGGCCTATTTATCAATTTTGTGGTGTATAACTTTCGCATTTTGGTAAGTAATATTTATTTTGAATCTTCAAATTGTCATGAAACTTAAAAGAAAATTGTTCTTTAAAAATTCACAGAAGATCGGTAGCCAAAATTATTCGTTTAGGTGTTATTTGATTTTGGCGTTAACCTGTAATTTCGTCAGTCGCCGGTAGCTTTTGTTGCCTTACACAGAAAAAATTCATGATACGAAATGTAGTGATCGATTTTGTCCTCAGTCTCACGCCATAACAGAAAAAGCTTTTGAACACCTGTAAACTCTGCGCGCTTCGGAGTAAGTGATAATTTTAATGAATCTTCAGATTGTTTTCAAGTTCAAGGACTGTAAATTACAATTTTACGAAAAACAAAGGTTGTTCTCTTATTTCATTGTGAATCCTCGCACGCCTGCAGTCGCTGGCGCCGCTTGTTGAAACTAAAACGAATAAATATATACTCTTTTAAGATTATCATTGGCTTCTTTTTCACCCCACCACTATTCTCAACAACAAAGGTCGCCATTCCGTTTATTTACTGTTACACGACGTATAATTTCAGATTCAAATAACAACCGCTGACCAACTCGTTTTCTTTGTTTTGCCGTGAGTTAATTTTGTTTTGCCGTGAGTTAAGTTTGTAATGCCGTGACTTTTTGTTTTGCCGTGACAGTTGTGGGCCACCGCAGTATTCTGCTTGGTTCACGACCACGTCTACATACACGATGAGATTCGCGTCTATGCTTCTCTTGACCAACATTAGATAGCTCAGTTGATATAGCATGTTTCTCGATGTAAGGTTCGCTCATAAAGAGATCTCTTATAAGGTTCGCGGATCGCCCGTTCCGAAAACCTCGACATCTTTTAGTGTGGGTCTACCGCGAACGATGTGTGCATATTTTGTATGCGTTTTGAGCGTATTATACTTAGTGTCTGTGCTGATTTTGCACCATACTACGTGCGCGGTCCGCATTAGATTCCATCCACCATTAGTCATAACGTCGCGCATGCATCAAAAGGTTGCGCATGGGTGACGAGGACTTGACTGCGACTTGACTGCGACTGAACGAAAAAAACATAGGCATGCTATGCATGCAAGAGTTATTTTTGGGGGGTGGGTGGATTACTTGAAACATTGTAAGGGATGTCTACATTCTTACAAAAGGAAAGAAGGGTATTAACGCGGAAAAGAACGAAAATGTCGAATTAACATATACACAGGTATTTTGTGGTAGATTGTGTGTGTTGTGCGAATAACTGTAACCAAAAATAAACTGCATTGGTGCTACAGACACCTGTTAGTGCAAAATACAGACTGCAGACCGAATACAAAATGTAGACTAGGTACAAAATGAAGACCGCAGACTGCAGAGTGGGTACAAAATGCAGACTGAGAATCTTAGGAGTTTTTTCGTCTAGTGTGTGATAACATGTCATCTTACAACTTACCGAGTGTCACGCAATCGCTTTTCCGCGATCAGCTTTCACGATTATTTGCATATTCCTGGTCTATTTCCTGATGAAAATCGATCGTAATACAATTTCAAGCCTTCATATAGTCTTCTCACTTTGCGCGCGAGTTGGTTGGTGTGATGTCTCCATAGATTTTACCAACGTAATAAGAGCAGATATAGATGGAGATGTAAATGAGATGTCACTATTGAATATTGACACGCGCAACATTCGAGAAACAATGGACAGCTTTGCACGTGGTCCGTATTATCATCTTTTTAAGCGATATATGTTTTATTTTGTTGACAAAAATGCGGACCGAGACCAAAACTGTTCCTTCGACTTGATATATTTTCGACGTTAGTAGGTCACATCATATTAACTTACCTCAGTAAATCATTCATTCCAGATAACAAAATCAAATAAACATGCTAACGATGGTATCCGTAGCTGGCCAAACACAAATGACTCCAAAAGATCACTTTCTCCAGGCATCGAAAACATACACAAAATCGTCCGTAGTTAATTTTGATCAGACATTCATCTATAGATAGTACCGAGCAAACCAATCTTAAAAAATATAATCGGCACACTCAACAAATCATGAATCTTGCAACACAGCTTGCAGTTAAAGAACTGCTCAAATCAAAATGTTTGGTGCAATTCATCAACACCTCAAGCAATATTTGATTCAAAATTTTTCCACTCACTCTCGCTGTGAAAGAACAATAACCATGATCGTGCTACTGTGCAAAGAACTCCATTTTCTCTCGAATAACTATCCACGTTTACTGTAGGTAGTCTTATATCTTTCATCTGTGTAATAGTATCGCATTTCTCATAGAGCGCGGTAAAATACACGTTACAAACACAGTAAAGCCAACACTTCTCATTCTAAAAGATGATTCCATTTTACGAACCGCTCTCTCCGAATCCCCCATTGCTTCGTTGAAATTTGAACACCTCTCAAACCAAAGAGCAAAAACGACGCTCTGATTGGTGCGAGATGCATACCCTAATGCGGCGATCTGATTGGTGCGAGCAACATGCCACTCTCTGCACGCTAACACAGATGTTATTTTTGTTTAAAAAAAAAACAAAACAAAACAAAAACGAAGCCGGAATTTCCACTCGAGCGTTTCCTTTGGAAAGCCCGAGTAAAAAACCAGCCATAATCTTGAAAACACTGACTGGGAAACTCTTTGAAACGAGGTTGATGTCCAGTGCTCAGGCTTGAAGCATGAAAAAAGCACGCATGTGCAGGAGAAACTGGGATAGGTTCGAGGCAACAGGTTTGCCCGGGAAACTACAGGATAAAACTTTTACTGGACAGCATCACTTCGTTTGATTGCTCAACTTCACATCTACAGACAACCTTGTCAATGCTTTCTTCACGAACAATTGTGAGAGATTTCCCCTAATCACAAGAAAGTTGTAACAATCTCTCTCTCTGCAGATTGAAAGTAGGGCACTTTTGGTAACCTCAAGTCTCTCGAGAATATCTTACTCAGAAATGATTACTTCCGCGATTTTTGAGTTTGGCATAAATGTTTATCGGTTGCTTTATAATCGTAGAGAATTTTAGAGCGCAGCAGTATATTTTCAATTTATATTTAATTTTTAAGTGCGTTGAGGGGTACGTAAATGCCCTATTCCGTGGAATCATAATTTTGTTGTCCTGAAAGCCAAATTTTGCGTGGTTTGCTGGGTATCCTTTTCATTCAGTATGTTTTGGTCATCCCTCACTTTCCGCCAGTTAACCTCTTCCCAGAAAATGAGAGCTAAAGAAATGACCTCAGAGTGTATGGTTCGTCATCGACCTGTCAGGTCTTCGAGACGACGTAAAATTACAAAACACGACTTTTGAGCAGCGAAGCTTATTTCGTGTCTCAGGCACAACTTTAGCGATTAAAACTATACCTGCGTGCAATACAGTGTTTTTGCTTTATATTGACCGAAAAAGTTTCGAGAAACTGTTTTTTCGTTCGTGAATTAAGTCATTTCAAAAAGCAGCGATTAATTTTACGTGCCGCGTTACATATATGCCCTTTTTCGAAACTAAACTTTAAATTCAAAAGTTTCTTATCTTTCGAAGCCCTTTGATAAATTTTACATCTTTAAACATAAACTGAAGAAGATGCTTTCATTGTAAGTGGATAGTTAAGGAAAATACATCTTCCAATGTCGCCTACAAAGTTCGCTAATCGCCGGATTAGTGCTTTTTGTTAATATTCATCGCAGACCAAATCCCGATTACGCGGTTGGTTGCAAAGACTTCATTTCATCAATAAACATGCTTTCAGAAGTAAAAAAAAAGTAAGATACTTTCTGATTTACATGAATCACTATTTACTCTTATGGGTCATACCCGAAGGGAGTAGGTAAGGGTGGGATGGGAAATGGGGTTGTTGGCAAGAAGGCACATAATAATTCTGGAACAGCTTCACGCAACTTATAAACTGTAAGGTGTAACGTGCTGGAAAATATTAAAATCACTTCCAAAAAAAAAGCTTTTTGTTGCAGCCCTCGATCTGTTTTTGCTGTGGAGGAATTGCTTTTGGTAGTTGCCATCTTCCGCTCCCTTTCCGGCCCTCATCAATATGATTGTCAATCTCACAGATAAGATTTATATTTAACTATTTTAAATGAAATGTCGATGGAAAAAAAACAATGTAAAAGAGCTGTTGAAGTATTTTAGATTAGATATTATTAATATTGTTTATAAATAGTGATGCATTCAAACTGTTGCAGTGATGTTAAATTTTTAAATATTTAACTCCATTGGGAGAAAGATTTTCATTAAACTTGCTAAGCAGAAGGTGCTTGGGTTTGACATGCAATCTAAGTGCCTGTACGTTACCTTAGTGCCACAAAGTTACCTAAGTGCCCCAACGTTAACCAAGTACCCTACTAACATTACGCAAGTGCCCTACTAACGTTACATAAGCGCCCTACCCACGTTACTGTTTCTCCCCCGATAATCGAATCGTAAATTGAGTCCAAGCCTTGGCTCTCCGTTTCTTGACGTTCCCCTGATGTTGCATAACTTCGTAGGTAGTTACAGGAATCGATAATTGCCAGCTTAAAGTGTCTGGTTGTGTGACTTATTTTTTCCGTCTCGATTTTCCCTTTGATTGGTGCGCCGGAGACGATCCCTCTCCCAGGAAAAGTTGACCATCTTGCAACTCCTGTAGAATAAGGAAAGAGGAAACTTAGAAGCTTTAACTTCAACAAGTGACCTAGATAAAACTTCGTATTAAAATATTAATATAATATCAAGCAGACAAGTGATGAGGAAAAAAGAACAATGTCAGCTAAGGAGTAACAACTTGATGTACTGTTTATTTATTTATTTATAATTATAATCTTGTAAATTCTTTTAGTTGTTTACAGTAGTAGAAATAAATTGTTCCAGCTTTCGTTGTACAACCAAATTCTTATAACTAAGATTATAAGAAATGTATGACAGACAGTAAGGAGACTTGAGGTCTCGGGAGTGGAAAGGTTTAAGACGATAACAGAGAAGAATAAAGCTATTTTTTTCCCTAGAGGCCCGTGAAGACCACATCGCACTGTTTATACACGACTTAGATGAGGGAAGCGCTGCCATAAAAGTATCATTAATTTTGTCTTCGAGTGTAGTGAAGTCTTCGCAAAAAAGCTAATGATCGATCTTAGTGTGACTTTTAATTGACTCGATTGATCTTTCTGATGCGAAGAAATCTTTCAGGCGTGGGATAAAGGAGGGAACATAACTAAGTTGCATGCATCTGGTCAACATCGCAAGTGCTGATGAAATAAAAATTACCTGTCGCGTTTCAACCGGTGTGTTTGATATTGCTTGTTGCATTTCCAAATGACGCATAAGATCCGCTAATTGTTCTTGAAGATCTCTCACTTCCTGCGAAAAGGAAAAGATCAAATCTCAAAGGGTCAATTTAAGTTGATAGCCAAAGGTAGAAATATCCGGAGGATTGTGTGATATAATACCTGTTGTCTGGTTGCCTCCACATCTTTCAGTTTGTCTTCCGTTTCCTTCACCTTTTCTTGCCATAACTTTTGATTATCTAGCAAACATTTGTTTAACTGAAAACAAAAATGACAAAATTGGAACCAGTTCACACACCCTTTATACTTTTCTAGTCACTTTTTAATCCTTTAACTCCCAAGATCTAATTAGTAATTCTCCTTACTGTCTAATATACAATTCTTCTGATGTTAACTCTGAGAATTTGGTATTGGATCAGCTAATAATCCCCTAATTGATACTCTTCTTTGATCTCATCACTCGACATCTTGATTTTATATCGATATTATAAGGAGAAATTCTGTCTTGGTCACTCCTGGGAGTAAAGGGGTTAAAGGAAGTAACAACGCACCCTAGTCCTTATGATTAGGTGTCGCAAAACGAAAAGCTATTTGATTGCAACAGCCAATCAAAGCAAAGGTAAATAAAACAATGAGTCAATGACAACTCAATATAACTTCAGGTAATAAAAATCCTGGAGCGCAGGAAAACACCACAGAAGGAGTAACGGTTGGTTTTAATTTTGAATATGATTGGTTGAAAGTATGGTGCGAGATGAACAATTCAACCAATCACGTAGAGAATAAAAGAAAAATCAAACAGCCTTCGATTATTTTCGACATCTAATTGAAACTTCATTATACGTTATAAACCGGCCATTTTAGTGAAGCTCCACATACCTCTTGCTCGTCTTTAAGATCTTTAACAAGCTTGCCAACCTTACTTGCAACCTGTGAAGCAAACAATACAAAAGAAAACAAAACAAAAACAATAGGATTCGTTGGGAAAAAAACATACAAAGTTAGAGTAATTGGATCAAACACGCCAAAAAAAGCTTTTGGTAAGATTCTCGCATTTGATTGATTTGTGGGAACATATATCGCGCAGTGGTGAGAGTGCGCACCTCCCACCACTGTGGCCTGGGTTCGATTCCCGGACCTGGTGTCACATGTGGGCTGAGTTTGTTGTTGGTTCTCGTCCTTGCTCCAAGGGTTTTCTCTGAACCCTCTGGTTTTCCTCCCTCCAGAAAAACTAACACTCTAAATTCCAATTCGACCTGGACTTCGTGGAAAAGGAGAGCCACCTCTTGCTAAATCCCATTTATTATTTATTTATTATTACTGATTGATTGGTTGAAAAGATGGTGGAGTTTTTAGGACCAATCACAGAACAAGGTAAAGCTAAACCAACGCAAATCATTTTCAGTACTCAATTCAAATTAGTCCAACAGTTGTTGTTATCGTTGCTGTAGCTTTAAACATCATGTCTGGAAGCTCTAACCTGTGTGTATTTTTTGTCCAAATTCTTCTTTTCCTGCTCAACTTCGGTAAGCTTCAACTCCAACTTCTTACACTCCTCCAGTGTTTTCTTTGTTCTCTCTTCCATATTATTCCTCTGAAATATTTCCCCAAAAAAGAAGGAATACCTAAAATTAGACAATACAGCTAGAGACACCAGTGTACACCATATGTTCCAGAGCCATACAAGAGGATAAACTTGAAAAATCACAGCAGACGTCAAGCATGGAAGATCGTTCGAGAACCGAGCTCTAAATTTTCAATTTTTCTTCATCCGATACGAAACTATTTGGGGAACTACGTATGTCTATAATTTGTTCACAGAGTGGGTAAACGAGACTTGGAAGTTTATTCAGTGCTAACTTTGTGGCAGGATGCGGCTAAACTTCAGAATACCCGGGCACTTTAGTTCGCCTCACTTACATGTGTCGGGTGGATTTGAAGATCGAGGCATAACACAATAGATGCTATTCTTATTCAATGACATGTAAATGAGTGGCCGGGTATTCTGGAGTTGCTCCCAGGATGCTCTACCGGCCGAGCTGTGAAACACTTGCTAGTGAGTTCGGTGTATGCTGAATCCATATCAGTGTTATTTAGTTTAATTGCTCAGGTGATTATAGAGAAGCGCGTGCTCTGATTGGTCGAGGATTGCGTCATATCTCGCTATAATCAACTCGCGCGACGTGATTATGGCAGGAGCGCTAAATTTCAAATGGCTCCCTCGCATTTTGTCAATGTTACACAGAAAATGTTAAACGCGATAGAAGAAAATCCCACCGTGAAGGACATAAAAGACGCTACTAAGTTTGGGTAACACTTCTCAGAATATGTAGTTTTGCTGATTGAATTGAATACACCTGTTAATTCTGGTGGAAACTGACTGCGTATCTCGATACGAGTAATCAAAACAACTGTAACAGAACGGTTTCAAAAACAAAACGAATTTACAAAAGAATTCGAAATCAACTGAGCAATTGTGCTAAGACAACTAATCGCCTCAGGGTCAGTGAATATTGTTGAATAATCCCCGAGTCTGAGGCGAATAATTTTTTAATATGTCAAACGTTCTGCATACTGTTAGGATCAATAAAATCGAAAACGTTCTCTGTGAAGATAGATTAAGTATTTAGGAATCCTTTCAATCTGACATAGAATAGATGTCTTTTTCGTGCGGTTTTTATACTGTATGTAGTGGAAATAGAGGCTTGGCCTAAAACATAGCCTCTTCATTGGAACTTTGTGCCATGAAAAGAGGTTCTACGATGTAAATCCTGACCTGTTCTACGGCATCTTTTTCAATTTGAGTTATCTTATCTTGGAAATAAAGTCTTTGTTTCTCCAACTGGCTCGTCAATAAGTAGGTATACTAGGAATGAAACAGCAGTACTGATCATACATAATAAAAAAAATTGTCTTCAGAGTTCAAAACTAACAAACTAACAGTCATAGAACAGACACAAACTTAAGGTACCTCCAGTGACAGTGAATCCATTTTTTCTTCATCCGCAACCTGCCACAAAGACAACAGCAACCAACTCAAAAAAAATAATGATGAAACATTTGCTGAAAGTTTTGTTGCTTGTTAACTTTGAATTTCAGGGTATACTGAATAATTCTCTGGGGGTTACCTGCGGGGACTTGGCATCCCGTCTAGAAGAAGTCAAGACATGCTCCAGCCTCGATCCCAGGATCTCTCGTTTTCCCGTGCCCCTGAAGGCATGGGTGGAAGGGGAAAAGCCCTGGGAACGAGGTTGGATATGCTCCCGTTCACCCTCAAGATCTAAATTTAAACTTTCCACACTGTCTGCTTTCATTTCTTATAATTTCAGCTGCGAGAATTTAGTCTTAGGTCAAAGAATATATCCTTGTGGATATCCTTTTCATTGCATTTCTGGTCGGAAATCTATCAATATAGAGAAGAGAAATTCATTTTTGGTCACCTGTGTAAGTGAAAGGATTAGGTAACAGACTAACAGTTTTTTCTTTTTTTTTGTTCTACGTGATTTACCTGTTGTTCTGAGCCATATTCAACAAGCTTGCCGTCGGTTTTATTCTGGATCAGACGATGAACAAAGTTGTCTGTGGATAAATCAAAATATTGGAGTTATGAACAATTCTTCAAAATTGACCGCAGTAGAACAAAAGAGGAGGAAGTGTCCCTGCAAATACTTGTGTCCTACCTCCTGTGTAGTCCCAAACTCGCTGTGTTCCAAGCTCTAAGGAATATGTATGATGTGTTTCCTGGAAATGTCTATAAATTTAGAAAAACGACGACGTATACTAAGCAGAAATAGTTTAAATTTCTCTATTTGTTCCAATTCGACTTCGATCTCATACATTGCCGTCAATTAAAAGCATAAAATCACATTTCGATTTAATGTCCTAAATCCAAAACATAGTGAAAAGGAATTGCAATAGTGGGCCGATCAGATCAAGGGAAAAAATATTACAAAACGACCTTAACTTAGTTACAAAAAATTGCTTGTTACTTTTAGCTTTGCTTCTGCATCCTTTAGAGAGTGGTGTAAGTTTTCTGGTCCAATCATAGAGAAGTAAGGCAACACTGATGCAATCCTGGATTACTTTCGTCAAAAAAAGGAAATTTTCCCAGATGAAATTTGTAATTCTCCTTACTGTCAACCAGAAAATTCTCATAAAATTAGCTCAGAGAAATCAGTATTGGATCAACTAATTATCCCCAATTTTATATTATTTTTTATTCTCATCAATTATCTGGTTGATATTGTATTGATATTGTAAGGAGAAATTATGTCTTGGTCACTCATGGGAGTTAAAGGGTTAATAGAAAAATCTGTTGCTAACCTTTTCGCGTGAGATCTAAGATATCTACCACAACCAATGTGACCGCAGATGAGACAAATCCACAGGCTCTAAACGGGTAAAAGGAAATACAACTGAAAGAGGCAGCATAAAACATTTCGTGCAGAGCGAAATTCGACTGAGACTCGTACAACCAAAACCAAAGTAATCAACACTGCCAATCCGGATAAGGTACACAACACAAGGAAGAATAACAAGCAAACTGGCCGAGGCGCTGGTAAAGGGGAAAGAGGAAGTCGATACTGGTTTTAGTCTTGCGTGTGATTGGTTAACAGGATGGCACGACCTTCCTAAACAAATAGCAGATTAAAAGATAGTAAAACGACCTAATCCTGGGTTAAAGGGGGTAAGTTTCTAAAGAAACTGTGGTGCTGCGTCGGTGGGAGAGTAACAGGGTAATAGGGTAATTTAGTGTTATCAACTGAGTTAATAACGTAAATAAGCCACCGTAAAGAGTTTGAAAGCTGACGTTTCGAGAGGTAGCCCTTCGGGCTCTTACTTGGTGTAGAAGACACAGTATACGTCACAATATAATTTCATCACAACTAGGAATAAGAAAAAGATGAAAACAATAATGTGACGTATACTGTGTCTTCTACACCAAGTAAGAGCCGCTCTTTGTCAAAGCGAATGTCGCAATCATTGGTTATCTGTTTTGATTTCTGTCTTTTGATTGACTGGCAACTATGGACATCCAACTAAGAGTAAACGTGTTGAAAGGCGACATTTAAAGTTAACATTGAAATCAATTTGTACAGATCAAATATAAGAATTTATAATGAAGGGGGAGGGGGGGGGATTGGGAGCATCCAAACTATGATTAACAAAACCATCAGATCTGATAGCGGAGGGGTCCGGACCCCCGACACTCCCCCCGGATGCACCATCAAAATAACTGCAGAACAAAGCGTACCTCACTTGAATTGCACTCAAAACACTTGTTATCGACCCCCACACTCCCTGTCATTCAAAGTTAACAATGAAATAAATTTGTAGAGATCAAATACAATAATTTATAAAGGAGGAGGAGAGGGGGGGATTGGGGGCATCCAAACTAGGTGTAAAAAAACCGTCAGATCTGATGGAGAAGGGGTCTGGACCCCTACACCACCCCCCCCCCCCCCTCACCTTTCGCCCGATCCACCATTAAATTAACTGTAGAATAAAGCGTACCTCACTTGAATCGCACTCAAAACACTTGTTATCATCGACGGGCTGAGGAGTCTGGGAATATCTACATACTGGACAACTACGAGACAAAAATATGATAACTGTCTTCCACAACTTCAGGATCACAAAAGACACATGATTCAACGAACGATACAGAGATTACCATGAATCTCAACAGTAAAAAATCCAACCACATTATTGCAGTCGATGACAGATTTTCTTGAACACCTCTTTTCGAAATCAGTTTTCTGATCATTTCTTCAAGTCGGTTCAGGCTGACTTTGTATCTTATTTTTTAAATTTATAAGAGTCTTAAGCACTGTAGCAACCAAACAGAAATCGCTTAGTCACGGTCCAGTGAGAGTGGTTAACCCTGTAACCACCAGGAGTGACTAACATATAGTTTCTCCTCACAGTAGTACTAATGAATGAAACATTACGGTTATGAGAATAAAGGAAATGATCGCCAACTGAAGCTCTTGATTGTTAAACAAATTCTCCAAGTTAGTACCATAAGAGATATATGGAGAAGGGTATGGAGAATATGCATACTGATTCAGGAGTGTGAGGAATTCACGAAGCGAGCACCCCACCATCCGTCCAGCGAACCAGGGAATGTGCGAAGCGATCGACGAAACAAGCAACAAAACCGACCACCCGACGACGCACATACAGAATCGACCATCCGCCGAACCAAATAAATTACTGTCAGTCCAACAAAACAAGCAGCGTACCAAACGTTCGACGAACTAACCAACGTATCGACCGCCCGACAAATCGAAAACGTCCCGACCGTGCGACGAACCAAGCGACGCCCCCACCGCCCGGCGACTGTACGACGAGACACGTATCAAACCGACCGCTAAACGAATCCAGCCGCGTGATTGACGTCCGGAAAGACGAAAAGCGTAGTTACAGCGTGAAGCAGCCGAACGTCCAACGAGCAAGCGCTCCAACCAACCGACGAACAGAGCAACGTGCTGACTGTCAAACGAACCATCTAAATGATTGTAATTTTTTCAATTTTTCTTTCGTGCTATATTCCATTTTGAGAAGAGTACTATCAAAATTTATAAAACTCACGTCGTATCAGACCATTTAGACAGGCAGCTTCCGTGAAATGAGTGATTACATAAAATTGTTAGAACTCCCTCGACAGATTCATCCTGAAAGGCAAAGGAAAACTAGAGTGAAAAGTCATTTTAAAATTCAATAATTTGCTTGAGTGTGGACATCTGGAATATATCAGAAGTAAATGAAGATACTGAATCCGAATATGTATCAAAAATCTTAAATTTATTTCCAAAAGCTGTTGCTGTCGCTGTGCAAAGCCTTTGAGTTTGATTGTAAGTATAAATTCATAATAAAAGCTGATATTTGCCCGACATTTAAAACACTTCATCTTTTGATGCAGGCTTAAGTTTTTAACACTCTGTGAATCTTGGTTTTACTTCCCAGGAAGCGACTTTCGGATTTTGAATTTTCAGCTGGCAACCTCTATATTCTGTGACATCAAGTACTTCGGTATATTTAGTGACGCACAGAAACCGAAAGGAAATAACAGAGAAACTTTACAGCTGTATTTTGATGTTATGATACCAAAAGTCTTATTCTATTCGATAGAATCATCTCTCTTCTCCACAGGACAGCACATTTTGTTATTTAAAAACAGACGAGAGAAACCGAACTTTTTGAAAATACACTGGATGTCGTATGTTCCAAGAAATGTAAATAAAACTATTGTCTCACGCAAAATTTAATTTAATAAAAGCTTTTGAAGCCGAAGCCAAACGTTTTTTTATCTCGCTCACAAAAGTCGTAAATGAAAAATTCAATAGTAAAGATATCAACTGCAGCGGGAAGGACCATCATATTGATTCCCTGAATTTGGAGTTGATAAAACACCACATAATAAAGCTGTCTGCAGGTAAAGCCCCACAAGATGTTTCACAAAGGAACACGTCCTTGATATAACTCTGGAAACATTGCTGAGTTATTACTTCCAAGATGTTTGTTCACAACGTGAAAATTTCAATTTTCAGTAGGTTACTCGACGATCGAACCAACTAAATAAAATGGAGCATGCTTGAGTTCGAAATAACATAAAAATACGTATTGCTACTCATTCGTAAAACTATCACTTTTCGTCTACTGCTCAAAATGCAGGTTGACAGCACTTACAGTGCGTAAAAAATTGAAATCTTACCATACGTTCTAAGCACACTGGGCATTTCGGCAGTTCAGTCAGTCCTTCACATGGGAGACTTCCTCCCTTGATACAGGAAGAGAAAAGAAAACATTTATTTCAGTATGAATTATTAACGACTTCATGTCTCGAACCGTCTAATGATTACAGCGACGGCCGAAAAATGTTTGCAATTTTAAACAAATTGCTTTATAAACTCAGTACATGCCTTCTCCTGCAGCTCTCTATATACAATCTCTACATACAAATTGATGCCTACAAACACATGAAAGGACAGAAGCAACTCACTGGGGATTAACTGAATTATGAAAAACTGAAAGTCTGTTCCAGCAATAAACGATTATGTTAAAGTATTAGGCGATTGGCCAATGCGGACAATTGATAATTTCCATGAAAATCTCTCATTTTGTGAGTGCTACTCTTTGAAATAAACTAGTAGCGAAGCTGCTGAATAAATACGGCTTACTAACCGAGTTCGAGGTCCATACTGTTTATTACGGACCGATTTTTTTACGCTCGGATTTGTGGCCCAAGCGCGAGCGTATAAAAACGAGGTTCCGTAACTTACAGCACAGACAGACGAAACGAAACGATTAGTAAGATATCTTATATTTCTCATGGTTCAAATTGAGGAGGCAGATTTCAATTCAAACAAAATTTTGAATTCAGCGGGTCGCACAGTGAAATACGGCACTTTAAATTTAATTGACATATGTGTTAAATTACATACGTTAAGTTAAAGTTAACATACTTCAATCTGGCCTGCAGAGCAGGCGTAATTTTGGCACGCGAGTGCTCAGTTATTTTATAACGAAAATTACGGCTGCCATAATTTAAATGGCAGCGAAAGGCTGGGAAGAGAAATAAATTTGTTCCAAGGGGGGCGGTCGAGGATATCACCCATGTGATATTCCCCAATTTTCAAACTTTACATCCACTACGATAAGTCTTCATTAAAAATTTAATTGAAGATGAGAGAACGTTTTGTGGGTTGTAACGGCGTAAGGGAAATATTTGTATGTTCATTACGTCGTACCAGAGAATACACAACACAAAATATATTTTGCAGCAAACAGTGAGCTGTTCGTAAACACTGTTTCATGCGCGTTGCAAAATATTTGAAGGATAATTAACACAACAGCCTCTATTTTGCGAGAAAACATGCTCGTATATTTGTCCTTGGACATTATCTGTTCCTTGAAGCTCACAGTTTTCCTCGAGCTTCGCTCTCGGAGAACTGTCCACATCTTGGAACAGATAGTGTCCGCAGACAAATATCCGTGCATATTTTTGCGCCAAATAGAGGCTATTTCTTATTTATTCATGAGGTTTTCACAGCAACTTACTTCTGATAATTTCTTGGTCTCCACTTTAGCAACATACACTAAATGACAAACCTAAAATGGTATTTGATTCATTAAAAAACGCATCAGATGATAGAACCAATAAATTATACATTCTAGTTATCAACTGTCATACAAAAAATATCAAGTGAAACCATCAAAATATTTTTTAGATAATTCAAATGATTCCTTTATTCTTTTAGCAGTGCCCAATTAGTATCTCCTTAACCCAGAGCTGAGCACCCTTAAGACGCCTTCCCACCTTCTTAAAAAATAGCAAATACTACCTATTAAATCAACCCCTTAACTTCCCTAAATCTGATCGTTAATTCTCCCCTGTTGCTGCTAAATAATATCATCGTTAATTAGTTACGAGAATTTAGATTTAGATCAAGACAAAAACTTCTGCATGATAAGTTTGAGTATTCTCATTACCTGTTAGCTGGATAATGTATATATTTATTTAGGGAGAAGTTCCATGTTAATCACTACTGGGAGTTTAAGATTAAAATTACTTAATATACAACCCTTCTAAAGCATTTTGATAACTCCTCTTTTTAGAGGATTGTTCACCTACCTCATCCTCTAAGAGATTGTAATGATGGCCATTGTATGTATTGTAGAAATCATCTGCAATTTCCTTTAAGGAAAAAAAGATTTTTGAAAACATTTTGTGATTTTTATCATAATCAAGAAAAGTGAAATACAAAACTTATAATTATGTCTATTTTGTCATGCTTGTAATTGGACAGTGTACTAGGACAGTTAAAGGGACAGTTAACATGTCATGCCTGTGTAAGTGGACAGAATGCGTCATGTGTGTGTACTGTTGTCTCAGATTTCACCAAGTTAACTGTTTTTATGAAAATGTACAACCAGTACCAGTTTCTTTCTCAAATTTTGTCATAGTTTTGATTAATTGGTAACAGGACTTCTTGTTGCCCAATTCTGTCTGTAATCATACTCATGATTAACAAATCAGACTCTTGCTTCACTGTCGTCCGATTTTGTTCATCACTCATATGATTACAGACTGAGTAGGACTCCACTCCCTCCTATTACCATTATGTATATTACTATTAGTGATCTCACCTGATTCCTGAATTTGACAAGAACCATGTAATGATTTGGGTTGCTATCTCTGATGATCTTGACACATTCAATAAACTCCCTACAGAAATATTTTGTTTAGATGATCAAACAATCTGTGTGAAACAAATGAATTACACTGCAAAACAATTTATCTGCTCATGATAGTCCAGTTGACAGCCTCCTTCCATTCAGCGGCCTATTTCTAATGTGCTCTTTTCCCCCACCAGTTATTGAATGGATCACCAGCAGGTGTTCCATTTTATAACAGTTCCACCCTTAAAAGAGAAAATAGAACCCAGGACAGCAAATTGAACTGAGTGCATATGTCCAAAAACATGGTTTAGAGCCCAGAAACCGGGAAAAGTGTCCAAAACACTGGATCATGTTGGTAGAAGCCCCAAAGCCTACCCCATCACCAACCCAGCTACACCTGGTAAGCCTAGCTCAAGCCAAAGTCTCAGGATGCATATTTTCCATACTGTTTTCCAAGCATTTTCTATGGTACTCAGTGCTCTCCCTTATTTTACATATGACAGGTAAAATAAATTTTCAAACTGGTAAAGCAATCTTTTAACCTGTTGAATTTTCGAGAATGCCAAACAATTTTAAATGGTAATAAGAGGTAGTACAGGCGGAAAATGTTACTGGTTAATGCCTGAAAGGAGAAAACTGGGTACTAACATGGTGATTTTTGTAAATCATCATGAGCTTGAATGGTTGGTAAATTCATTTCCTTTATTCTCCCAACCTCCAAGTTTGATTCAGCTGTGTTAATGAGATGAGAAATGAGATACTTGACACTGTTGCAGGTAAAAGGGTTAAAAGCAATTTCCATTGAACACACAGTCAGCAATAACCAACATGTCAGTTAATGATATGAAACATAATTAACTCACTCTGAAGGAGCTACAAACTCCATAAGATCCTTGCATGTCCTCTTAGCAGGGACAGCTAACATGCAGACCATTTCACTCCGCTGGACTCCGTCACTTAACAAAGTCATGTCACTAGAAAGATCAATAGCATCCTTAGTTATGTCAACAGTACATCAACTGTCATGGATTCTCAGATTTCACTGAGGGATAATGGGGATTTATCTTGGGATTTACAGTGAGAGGTAGGAAACCATGTACACAGAAAAATTCTGTGGCAAATCATATGATTGTGTTCCCAGGAACACAAGGAACAAATGTGATTTCAGAAATGTGAAAAAAATTATTTAGAAGGGGATATTGTTTGTTTGAACACTAAATTCTCAGGGGTAAAATAATAAGAAGAGTATAAAAATCAGTTTAGAGAATTGATATTTAGATCTAGGGAGTGGGTGGGTTAAAGAGAGAGAGTTCATTTGTTGTTATTTACTTGTTCTTGTAGATGTGAATAATTCCCTGGATGATCTCTACCATTGGATTTCCACAGAAGAAAGCTATCTTTCCCTGTCCTACACTTTTCTCCTCTTTTTCGTCTCCATGAGCAGAATCCAAGTTTGTATCTTTGTCTTCAAAATAAAATGAAGCAAGCTAAAACTTTTTGATTTGAATGGTGATGCAAGTTACCATTAGTTACAAGTATTAAGTTTCCCTTGGTTCTCTAACTTTGCTTCAAGATTTAACTCTTTTGATTCCTAAGAAAGAGCAGCATTCTTAGATTATCACCCCTGAATAAAAAGATAACAAAACTCACAAGGTCTATTATACTTTAAAACACCAATAATAGAGCAGATCTGCCTAACTTTATATCAATGTGAAAAAGTATAATGGTATGATCTACAGCCTTGAGCTTACCACTACTCCTTGCATGAGTTTCAATGTGAATGTCATGAACATATCTTTCACCCCGATGAACTTTCATTTTTTCCTCAGAGATAGCATCAGTAGACATGGGCTCTTTTTCTTCTCCACTTGTGAGTTGGCCCTCTTCTGATGCTGAAATTTCTTTACAAGCCATAAATCCAGGGGCTAAAACACATTGAAAGTAATATCCTTGTTACAAATTTAACCCTTTTATCCTTAAGAGTGACTAGCATCTAATTTCTCCTCACAATATTATCCCTAAATCACACGTTAACGCCATTAGGATGGAGGAGATGATCACGCACTAAAGAGGCTCTTTATTGTTAAACAAATTCTCCTTGTCAGCACCTCAACAAATGTATTGAGAACAATGTGCAGGATAAGCATACTGATGTGATAGTGTAATAAAAAGAGTGAAATTTCTAATGATGAAAGTAAAAGTATATAGGTTCTTCTCTGCTTCATTTTTGGCTCAGATAAGTACAAGGAGCAAAGGAAGACATTAACAATTCAAATGAAATGTATCAAAAGTAATATTGAAACAGTTCATGCTGGTTAATGTATTAGATAAACCTGTATTATTAAATACAAAATATATATTGATCAAAATTATAACGAACATATCCTTTAATAAGCTGGTACTCACCACAGTAATCTAAACCTTGGGGCCCTGGCAAATCATCTGCAACCTCAAATCTGAGAACTACCAAGGAAATGGACATTTATTCTTCCTTTCTGTCCAACACCTCAGTTATTTGAGGGAATATGTGCCACAAATCCGGTCAAAATGTAAGACTACACGTTTGTTTTTGCGAATTCATCGTGATAAAGAAAATACGAGCCTTCACTCCGTGACCAATAGCCAAAATAGCAACATCGTCGTGTAAGATGTACAAATTGTCAAGTATGCGTGTGACTGCTGTCAAAGTTTCGAATGATAGTTGAGAAACAGGTGCATTTTCCAATTTAAATGAAATTGTCTCCGTGCCAGGTAGTGCATGGTACGGAGATTCAAAGAGCTGGAGTTTGTCTTAACTGCAGTTAGGGCTAGGTTTTAACTTTATTGAATGGAACGTGATGTGTTGCAAGGTGTAAACTGCTGACCAATTTTTCGCGGGAAAATCAAGGTCAGGTGCAAAAAAAAAAAGAAAATACCAGAGACCGTTGCAGGCGCAATCGAATCATGTCGAAGTGTTTTTGTGCTTATCTTCGTTAAATTACTATTGCAATTCCTCGATTACACGGCAGCATCATACATTAGATCCGTGGTAAAAAGGTACTGGTTGTCTGCGTGGATCGTACAACTTGTCACTGATTATTAGGTATTGTTCAAGAATCATGGCGCTGTTGAAGACTGTCATTGCCATCTTCCTTATTGTCGCGGCATTCAACGCCACATCATTCTTTACGCACTTTAAAAATTTTCTCTCTCCAATTCTCAAAATGCTTCGAACGTGGATTCCTTCGGTTGTCAATCTATTAGAAGAAACTGTGGCCACAATTTACAAGTATTGCGCTGAGAGCTTGCTTGAGGACATCAAGAGAGCCATCGTTGTTTTAACCGAACTGGTTGGAAGGGTGGCTGAGTTATTCCATCCGGCTGTTAGAAGTTTGCTCGAAGTTGTAACTGATTGCTTGGTTGCCCTTCACAACAATGGAATGGGTTATACTGACGAATTCCTACAGCAAGTTCTTGGTATTGACGGTAATTAATTTCCTAACTTAATGATGATATAATATAATTTCTCTATGCTTAAACAGGCTTACAGATGCTATATTGTAAATGAAACCCTGATCACACATGCAACATTATAACATATCATAAAAAAAGGGAAGGACTTTTTTTTTTCACTATAAGTTGTTACTTTTATCAACATATTCACACCACTACCATAACAAAAGTATGACAGTCTCAAGTCATTCAGTATTCAGCAAACAGGTCATGAGAATATTCAAACTTATCAGGTCCAAAGTTGCTATCTCGAATCAGACACCAAATTCTTGTAACCTATTTGCAATTATGTGTAGTAGCTATGGGGAAAATTAGCAATCAGTTCATGGGGAGTTCAATGGCTAAAGAACCTCAAAAAAAGGGGATACAATGCTGCAGCACAGTGAGGGAGGTAAAAATTTATTTTATTGAAAAAGTTTTAATCATCTTCCTTCATGGGTAAGATGAACCTTCTAAAATTTGTTTCACTCCCAGTGGTGGCTTCATAGCTCAGATGATATGAGCACCCAACCAGTATTGGGAAGGCACAGGTTAGAATCCCACTGAAGCCTGAATTTTTCTTGGCTTCTCTCCTGTAATTGCTAAAATTGTAGTCCACATACAAGAACAATTTTGTTGCTTGTTTTTCATTTGCAGGCTGAATGAAATTTATTAATTTATTCCATTAAAAAGGTTATAGTGAACTACTGGTATATATAACATAAGGGTCATGTTTCATCTTGCATGTAAGAAAATAATTATCATCAGCATCTCTACTCAAAAACACTTGACTATGATACATAACTAATTATTTGATCATGAGTGCTAATTTTTTTTTAAACTTATTATAGGTGCTACTTTACCGGATCAAGTTGGAAGAGCAAGAAACAAACTCTTATCAGTGATTTTGTTGCTCTTTTGGATCATCATGGGTATCATTTGCATTTCCAGAATGTCCTATAACAAATTTTTCCTTTTGATGTCTGGTACATTCCTTGTCCATGCTTTTTTTGGGCCCGTGTGGTGTATACGACGGTTAGCATTTTGCATTGGAATTTGCTTATGGATGGGTTCTTTAGTCTCCAGTAAGCCAATACCAGCGGCGATCACTGTTTTGCTTGCTTTCACATTGACAGGCTTCAGAAAATGGCAGAAGAAAGTTGCTATGACGTCGAACACAAGTCATCTCTTGAAGTTTAACCAAAGTATTGAGCAAAGACTTGATGGAATAGAAAGAAAACTAGACCTTTTGATGACGAGGCTAAATAACATAAACAACAATATGCACTCCAGCTATTAAAAAAGTTGGGCTATGAATTTATTTTTTGCCAATGTTGATTGGGGGAGAAGTTACAAAAGTCAAACCTGCTAACAATTGCAATTACAGGATGGACATGTCTTCTTTGAAATAAAGATTAGATTATGATTACTCATAATCAACTATTATGTTTAGGAATCAAGGACTAGTGATATAATTTCCCTTATGATAAATCTACTAGTTGTTCAAACATGACAACAAGAAAAGCATGTCATTGAATAAGGATACTAATGGATCATACCTCACGCTGTTCACTTTAGTCACCATTTGTTGATATTGTTTGTTGCAGAATCAAATTTCCTTGATGCTTAACCCTTAAACTCTTAAGAGTGATAAGCATCAGATTCTCAGTATCACCTCTGAATCAAACATTAAGGTAAAAAGAATAAAGGAAATTGTAGGAAGCTGAAGAAGCTCTTGATTGTTAGACAAATTCTCCTTGTAAATTCCTCAGGACATGTAAAAGGAACAGTATGGAGAACTTGTATACTGATGTTGTAATTTGGAATAGTTTTAGCCTTGCCAATGAAACAAGAGTCTATTCTTTTTCAAGATCTATGAGGGGCTGATACAGCCCACCCTTGTGGAGAAAAGAGGACTGGTCCTAGTGGTTGAGTCATTGATGAGAATATCAGAGTGATTAACAGTGGTGGATCTGGGAGAGGGGTTTGGGGGACCCAGCCCCCCCCCATATTTTGGGTAAAAAAAAAAAAATCACAGAAGGAAGAAAAGCCAGTAGGGCAAGTGATGAAAAACCCCTTTTAGCTCAAGGTCTGGATCCACCACTGATTAATATATGAAATTTTTGCATGAGTGCATGGATATGATATAAAAACATATTTGTTAACAGCTGCCAGATTCTTGTACATTTCAGCTGTCATTTTTTTCCAATATGTAGGTGTCTTAATGTATAGAAGGATACAAGTGACTGGAAAGTTTTGAGATTTAAAATGGATTGATGTAGATCAAGGCTTTCTTAGAGGTAAATCAACTTACCCGAAAAAGAAAAAAAAAAAAGGAAAACAAAATTAATAATAAATTATTATTGTAGTGGACCATTGAATTTTTTAATTTTATTACTGATGACAGCCTTGCATACTCCTTCTTCTCCCCTGTTTAAAACATCTGTCCACCCCAACCCCATCCCTGTCGTTATCCCCGCACCACTCCCCACCCGAACGGAAGGACTGTCGGATCTGCCGCCACGGAAGTGAGTTTATTTTCACTTTCTGTCGAGTCTGTTATGCTCTTGCGGCAGTTTCCAAACATTCGTGTTGGTATTTTCACTTTTATAGCCGCTTCCTCAGCCGTTGTTCAAGCCAGTAAGTATAACGCCCTCATTATCACGTCGTAGGCATACATATTTCAAACTGTCGCGTTCGTTCGAAGATCATAAAACACCAGCTTTTTTCAAACGTGACGAAACACATCACTGACCTTTCCAATATTGATCGAGGATTTTTAAACTGTTATTACAGTCATTGAAAATGTTGATTACACCCAGGGAAGCATTTAACGCTACGTTTAGCATGGTTTTTTACAAAGACTGAGGAACAGGTCGTTTGGTGAACAAAATAACTGTTTGAGTAGTGTTCCGATTTGGAATTCAACCAGGTTTTACATTCTAAAGAAGCTTAATTTTAAAATTATTCCCCTCTCAAATTTTATTAAAACTGTGTCACACTTTCGCTTTGTACAAAAACGGGACTGGAGAAGGAATTCTCTAATGTTTTCTCCTGTAACAGGAGTTGGCAAATAATCTTTGTTATTGGTTTGCATATAATTAAGCTTGATTAGTCGAAGGAAAATCCGGAAATATTTCTTTGATGAAGATATCCAATGTCAAATCAGAAAGTAATTAACAACTAGCATCAAAAAAGTAATATTCCTGTGGTGATTCTAATGAAAGCAAAAGTTGACAGATTTGGTACAATTTTTGAGAGACTCTAATTGCTTAGTTTCTCTTATTTGTGGCAGACTTGTGATCAAAAGGTTTGGTTTGGCACCCCTGTCAGATTATTGAGATTTGTCTCTTGACAAGACACTTCAACATGTCTTATTATGCCTTTCTCCAGCTTGGAGTATGAATGGGCACAACTTGATTGTTATGGAAACTTAGTGAATTATTTGGGGAAGGGGTAGGTTCTTGTAATGAATCAGCACCTTGTGGGGGAGGAGTAGTTATACTTCTAATCACCTCATGTTACTGAGATGTGGTAAACCAAGGCAGTAACAGGCCTCTGGGAAATAAAAGATGTTACCTATCTCTGCTGTGCCTATTTGTTGCTCTTTTTTACCGACCAAATTTTGCGTGATCTGTGATTTATTACTGAACAGATGCACAACAACATGGAATCTATTTGTTAAACAGAATTAAGGCTTCAAGTATAGATTGAATGAAGTTTTGAATGAATTTTGGTGAAAAGAAAATTTAAAATAGTTGTTTGTATTTTTCATTTGTTGAGGACAAATTATCATATTTGTATAGGAAAGGAAAACAAAGAAATGAAGTCTGAAATGATTTCCCCTAAATTTCATTTTAACTTACCAGATATATGATATGTACTGGTAATAAAATACTAAATAATCATTGAAAAGTGTTTAAAAATACATGCTGCTTAGCCTTAACTTTATATTTGCTGTTTATTATCCTCAGCTCAAACTGGACTGTGTTACTCTATAATGCACACCAAGGCAAGAACTCCAGAATATCCTAGGTCAAATGCAAAGAAATTTCCAGTACCAGCAGAGTTTGTGGACTGGAATGTTCCATTCCCAGAATATAAACCAGCAGATTACACTTCTAAGCACATTCTTCAAATGCCACCTTATGCAGATCCAGATATAAGGTAAAAATATTTTTTACCTATTGACTGAGTGGGAGGGCCAGACAGGAAAATATGCATGTTAGCTTTTCTGTGTTTTTTTTTTATATAGATTTGTGCCTTCAGGGCAGAATGGGGTGTATTGTAACAAATTTTACCACACTAGGAAAGATCTGCATTAAGTTTCATTCATTCCTTCCTAAAGTAAATCCTTAAGAAAAATTTTAAAAAATTCTTATTTTAGATAGTATTTTTCCTCCCCTGTGACCTTAGGAAAGGACCTGCCAATGTTCCTCTCAAATTCAATGCCCTGGATACAACTTACAACACTGACAGGAAAAGTTACATAGGAGAATATGAAGTTGTACAAGGTGTTCCAAGGTAATGAAGCAATGCTGTACTAAGATAGTGGAGAGAGATTAAGTGGGACAATGTTTTGCATAGCTTGCAATTCTTTAGCTTAACGGGATTGCTCTACCAGTTTGAAAATTTATTTTATCCATCATGCTTAATTTAAGGGAAGACACTGCTGTATGGTGCCTCACGAGGGTTTGGATCTTTGTCAAGGTCTATTTCTCACAGTGCCTCTCACCATCTAAAAGTATCAGTGGCTATCAACAGGACGTAGGGGAAACTCAATAAAACTTTTGGGTAGTGGGAGGAAGGAAGGGGTGATTTACTATCCTTGCAGGACTAGCGCAGCACTCTAAGTTTAACTTGTTTTGTTATAGTTAGAATTTTGTGGCATTAAATCATAAGATGGTGTTAGAAAAGGTACAACTTGGAGCATTGTGGCACACCATCTAGGAGGGTCTCCTATACTTATTATGTGGAGTGTGATTGGGTGATTTTTTTTCCTTGTGAATCATAATTTATTTTTTTTATTATTGAATTTTAATTTAAGATAATAAGATCTTTTCATGTCCATGTGAACAATTTTTTACTTGAACATGACCCATGAATTAAGAGCCAAATTAAATGTCAGTTGTGAGCCATTTTGTTTTGAGTGATGAATTTGCTGCTATTTTCAATGTTGTTTTGAAAATGTTCATATCGTTCTCGAACTGCTGTGGTTAGGTTTTGACCAAGGTTTTGGCAGGAGATGGACTCCACATGAATTGATAAAAGTCATAAAACAGACCAGTAATGGTCCTTGAACAAATGAGATAAGACTTTATGTCATCTTTTGTCATTTAAGACTGGTCAAGATGAGGAAAAGTAAAATTTTAATTCAACCTGATTGTCCTGAATTTTGCATGAAGGTGAAAGAGTTTTGGATATTATTTGTGATATGTGGAAAGACCAAATGTTTTTACATGGCTGAGTTTTACAAAGGGGTATAGAGGAACCTCATATAGGAGGAGTGGCATTGCTTTCAGTCTCAATGTACTTCAGAAAGTGCAATAAGCTCTGGCAGTAACAGGCCTCCCTGCTGGAAAGACCTTGTGACAAATAACCAAAGGAGGTCTAAATTATATGGTAATGGAGTTGTAAGATAGAGAGAGTTTTACATTGATTTATTTGAATGCTTATGCTATTTCTTGCTCAATCATAGCTAATCGCAATCTGTTTGCCTCAAAGGAACCCTGTTGGTAGAACAGGGATGATTGGAAGAGGAGATCTTGGCAGATGGGGCCCCAACCATGCCGCAGATCCAGTTGTCACCAGGTATGTGTGGTGATTTATCTTTCTCTGATGCAAGGGTGATCTGAATGTTTGATGGGGCCATATAAAAGTTCAAGTCAATGCTAAAAACATACCCACCTTCTTTGATTGCTGAATATCCAAAAGACTTTAAAGACAATGTACCAAATTAAATGCTGAAGTTAAAATCATACCTAGTTGCTTTCCACTGCTAAAAGAGTCCTTACAATCCTTTAACACTGTTTTCTCTGAGAAAACATTTTAGAGCAGAACTTTAAAGTATGCTAAACTATTTTACAATTCTCTTTCTGTTATGAGACATTCTTTATTTTTTTTTTAACTCAAAGGTGGAAAAGAGACAGTTCGGGAGAAAAAGTTATGAAAGAAGGAAAACCAGTTCTAGAAATTGTTGCTATTCAGAGGAGAGATTGCAAAGAATGGGCTCTTCCTGGGGTAGGTGTCTAACTTGCATGTATACCTAGTACAAGTTTGTTCCAGATCAGTTATAGTCTGCTCAGAGACTGTGCCCCAGACCATGCCCAAAAGTCACTTTGTGAACAGAGGCATGGGTAATTGGTCACCAAAGAGAGGTGGCCATTGTGAGGAGGTATGGTTACTAGAACTCTGTACTTGCTGTTTAAAAACCTTATGAAATCTTTTATGAAAAAATTTAGCTATTGTAGCATACAATTTCAAGGACAGTCACACTTTCATAACAGTTATAATTAAAGATAGAAAAGTTAATGCATGGAAAATCTGTCTTTTATGTAAGACAGTGGCAAACAGTAAGAGATGTTGCCCAACAATTATCTCCAATAATGTGCAAATGTATCTTTTCAGGGTATGGTAGATCCAGGTGATACTGTCACAAACACCCTTAAGAAGGAATTTGGTGAGGAAGCTTTAAACTCCTTGGAAGTCTCACCTGAAGAAAACAAAAGAATCCAGGAATCACTTGAGCATCTATTTCATCATGGAACTATGGTAATTGCAGACTATGAAAGTCACAACACCCAGAATGAGTCTGAGAGGGCTTTCTCTCCCACCCCTTGCCTGGTCTTGCTTCACTTTGCTCTGTGATTGGTACAGAAAAACTTGCATACCCTCCCATCCAATTAGGTATAAGTGACTTGGTCGAGTGTCTTTTCCTGTATTTTCGTCCCCAGAGCCTCTCGTTTTCACTTGTTTTTGTGACCAAACGTAGTGAGAAGTTTGGGAACGAGAATGGTGTTTTTTACCTTGACTTCTCACTGGCCCCGTCTGATATTTAAAACTGGTGTTTGGGTAGAGTGTGGTTATCGAGTTATGGATGCACGTGGGAAGTTTGGAGAGCGTAGGGGAAGTATAAGAGGGGATCGAGGCGCAGCCAAGAGGAACTTAAGCTTCTTGAGTGCTCTGTAAAACTTCCCAGTTGCATCGATTAAACAAGATATATGCACAGCTAAAATTGCAAACCAATTATTTATATAATAGCGGAGACATTGGTTTCGTTTGAGTAAGAGCAGCTCATCTTATTCATCTTGCCTCTTTTAACTAATTGACCAAGAGAAATTCGCCTCTTTCAATTGGTTGAGAAAAATGTAGACAAACGAGATCAGAATAATCAAGTTTAAGGAGAAATCTTAGCTTGATAAAAGTCAAAGACCCCAAGAAGGGATTTGATTCCTCTATGCTGTTGATGTAAAGATGCTCGATGCAGCTCCTAAGGACGAACCCCAGGAAACTTGCACTTTCACCCAAGCGAACATTACTCTTTTACTTTGACGGGCGTTAGCACCGGTAGAGGAAACCCATGTATGCTAATGACAATTTCTTTGCTAGTTTCTTTCCTCGACAGTCGGGGAGTGAGGTTCGCTACAGGAACTGACGGCTTAACTGGATGTGAATTTTGCAACAAAATATAACTGTTCACGTCATGCTACTTAGTCAAGGTCATGTGCATCTAGAGATGCACATCACCATTGCTTTACAGGTTTAAGGAGATTTAGATAGGACAAACGTGCGCCATGCGACAATTTTACTTGTTCCGATTGGCCCTCACGATTCCTTTGGTGTTGCTGTATTTTGAAGGTATTTCAAGGCTACATAGATGATCCCAGAAACACAGATAACGCCTGGATGGAAAGTCAAGCGGTTAATTTTCACGACGATAGTGGAAACGCCTTCAATAAGTTCACTCTGCAAGCTGGAGATGACGCCCAAAATGTCAAATGGGTCGAGGTGTCTCATGAACTACGCTTATATGCAAACCATCTCGACTTGGTAAAAGAAGTAGCTATGAGGCATAAAGCGTATTGGTAGCCAGCCAGCGAGAGCAAATTCACACAGATTAAATTTTTAGTTAAATTCAGTTTGTAATTCAAACTTGCTTTACATTTCCGCTGCATTTACGATCCGTGGCTCTGATTATTTAAACAAGGTTTAGGCGTTGTTTGGCCGAACCGTGTTAAACAATCCTCAATTTTGCCAAACCTTTCATTTACTTTTATCTGAACACTTATTTTTGTGAACCGTGTCAAGAGGGCTAAAAGCTAATAGTGGAAGGGCAGTTATTTAATCTAAGCAACTGTCGTATAGAGAAAACCTGAGGCACACTGATTGTTAGTCTGTTCCAGGCGTTCAGTTAGTAAAATGGAGCGAAAGCGAAAGAGCGAGAGAGAGGTTTACGCGACCCGAACCAAACCTCTCTCTTTGTTTTTCTTCATTCGCTACCAGCGCGCCGTTTACTATCGCGCTTCGTGTACTTACTGAACGCCTGAATTGCGTAAAAGCACAGTTTGGGCTAGACCTCAGGTAAATAACCAGTCCATTGAGTCAGGTCAGAAACATACAGGAAAATATTAAATGTTTGCATGCTTTATGCTTCATATTGAGTGTAAAAGTTTGGTCACTACCTCTGTTGCTAAGTATTGTGCCAGTCAACGTGATCTTCCTGACTACCGTTCGTCAACTATATATCTCGTGCACGATTAGTCTAAATGTGTCATGTGGTGCAACCTGAATGAGAGAGTATTAAGGTGTTCCATTGCGTAAATGGAACACCTTAAATTGGTCTTTGTATCATATTTGTACCAAAAAAATAAATTAATGCACTGAAATAGGCAACGATTACAATTGTGAGGCCACTGACTATGTGCAAGTGCGAGACCAAACAGTTTCCCAAATTCTTTAGAAAGTTTTAAGATGAAAATTATGCACAAAAGTCTTTTTCAATTAAGTTCTCAAACTTTAAACAGTTCCTGAGTCTAAGTCAGTGGCCTCAAGTATAATTTTACATTGCACATGTGCACCGATTTGAACAAAAGTGGTTCATTTGTTTTATTAAGTGTCCTGGTTCGATGTCATTTTTGCGAGTTTTTTTTCCGTGTGAAGTCCGCACAATGCATTTTATTTCAAAAGTTTTTAAATATTTGATATAAATTATTGAGTGTTCTGAACACTGACTCAGAGGGTGTATTTCTTTATAGAAGCCTTAAGCAGGTTGCGAACATGGTGTTGCGTGGTATTCATGTGTTTGTTTCATAATGTAATACTCAAAAATCGTTTCAGATATACATGACGTATTAAAGAGGATAGCAATTTTTAAAGGCTCTTTTCCAAACAGGGTCTCAGTAGCATACCCCTCCCTATTCACAAAAGCTTTGCTTAGAATTCCCTCCTCCCCCCCTCCCCCGAATGAAAAAGACATCGTTATAGTATCTTGAAAAATTTTGCAATCTGTTTTAATCATCTCCATCTCTATATACGGACTTTTTTTCTTTGTGTTAGCTTTCATTTTGATGTTTTCCTCTCTCGTCTCAGTAATATTCTTATATTCTTTGGTTTCCGTTACGATGTAGAAGACTCAAAAAGTAAGTTGAGCGTATTTGTCTTCGGGGAATATATTCCTGAACAAAGGCTATTGCAAGGGTATTCTTGGTACTGTGAATGCTTGCTTCGCGTCCGAAAATATAACAATTGTGTTGCAGTGTGTACTCGGACATTTTTACATTTTTACTTGCTTTCGAGAATAAGTTTTTTTTTGGAGTGATTTTTCTTTCTCTAAAAATTACGCACGAGACACCCCAGTCTTGTGCCGATTCTCAAGGCGACAGCTTGGGGGTCCTGTGCCGTAGGTTACCATTGCAACCTTTTCCGCAATGCCAATAATGTTCGGAGCATCATATATTTTGAAGAACTGAAAAAAACATTTGATGAATGATTTTCGCGACATGAGGTCATAATGTCTTTCAAAATATGATAAATAACTGAACAAAAGGTGTCAACATTTATATTTTCAAGTGCTATCTCTATTAACAAAAAAAAACGCACTAGCATTCATAAGGCGAAACATGCGATACCCACTCAATAATATCAGTTTGGGTTTTTTAATTCTGTCAATCAGTGTTTTCATGTCTACTTTATACATTTTCTTTGTGGTTGGTCAACTCTGGACGGTTCATCAAAGCATCATCCGTTCAAAGTAAGTAAATTTATTTTGTTTTTTTTTTTTAAGTTTTTCAAGGACACGGTGACTTAACCGTGTTGAAATTTAAGATGAAAAGAGTTCTTTCCTGACCGTGAATTCGACAAGGATTTAACCCAGAACTATGGATAATAAAAAACATGCAAAAGATAACTTCCAGAACATTCATGTACAGAAATCAACTTCGACCAGAGCAATTGCCTTTTCCACTATTATTCGGATTAACATTCTTTCAAAAAAGGGCTAGTTACCGTGGAAACTGTACACCTTTATTCATGTCGAATTTACGATAAGAGGACGTGTTTCTTGATCAAAATTATTCAGTAGTAGCTTATTGTGAGTTTGTTGTTCAGGAAAATAGACTATTTTTCACGGTGATAGAAGATATCAAGTACTCTAGTAAACGTCGTCAGAAGAATGAAAAATGAATATTCTCTTTCTTGATACCAATTTTGTCTTTTAACATTGTTGATACGATTGGTCCGTGATTTACCTCGATTCACTAAAAACGAGCAAAACCGCGTCGATAGGGCTGAAAACATGACCATTGCATGGACTTGGGGAGATCGAAAGTAATTTTGGACTTACCCCACCCTCTCAGAAATTTCAAGATCCACACATGGCAAAAAACCGGAAGTAATTCAAACCTCATTATCGCTTTCGTCATTTTTTTCTCAACAGTCACGATGATAACACCGCTGACAAACTAGTGTTCAGTCCTACGCCGACCACTCCACCAGTGAGGTGCAGCCCACACAATAACATCCTTTTCTTAAAAACCCACAAGACAGGTTCGAGTACCATAGCAAATATTTTCTATCGTTACGGAGACTTAAAAAATCTTACGTTTGCTCTTCCGAGTGCTACATTACTAGGATGGCCCAATAGATTCCAAGTCTACTTTCCTTTTCGTTTGCAAGACAAAACACCGGACATCCTGTGCAATCACGCTAGATTTAACAAAATACCCATGAACTGGCTTTTTCCCAAAGCAACCTGCAAGTACGTTACCATTCTTCGGAATCCCGTGGACAATTTTGAGTCAGCGTTCAGATACATGAATATGGGTCGACACATAGGTATAAGAGATGATCCTGAATCCTTGAAAAAGTTCCTGACACATGGAATTTCATTCATTAAAATGCGTCAAAAGGCGGAGCCTCTCATCAGAAATCCCCTCATGTTTGACTTGGGACTGAGTTTTAAGCATTACCAGAACATCACAGCTGTAAAGGAATATATTAGATTCCTGGAAAAAGAGTTTGACCTGGTTATGATCATGGAATACTTTGATGAATCTTTGGTGTTGATGAAACGACTGCTTTGCTGGGAAATTGAAGACATTTTGTATTTGAAACTCAATGAAAGACAAGACGAGGAAAAGGGGACAACACTGACAGCGGATGTGAGAGAAAATATCAAAAGATGGAATAAAGCCGATGTGCTGTTGTTTGAATATTTTAATCAGTCTCTCTGGTTTAAGATTGAGAGCGAAGGGGAGAACTTCTACGAGGAACTGGCCACTTTTCGTAAACGAAGACGTGAATTACAAAACGCGTGTGTAGAAAATGAAACGCGTTTAGAAACAGTATATAATGGAAAGAAAGTGAAAAGTTATTCTCTTAGAAAAGGAATGCCGAAAGAATTGAAGACTTTGTGCGAAAAACTAACAAGAGCTTCTAACACCTATCTAAGATACCTAAGAAAGAAACACGAGGAGAAACTAGCCAACGAACTCGACGAGGACGAGGAGAGCTGGAACCTATCAACAGATCTAGTTTATAATCCCGTTTAACTGACCGCATCTTCCAAGAAAGATCTTTTTAAAAAAGTCCAAGGGTTGATAAGTGACGGAGTAAAAAAATCATTCCGGCTCTCGTTGTTTGAGTTGTCTCGTTTGGCTTTCCTTTTTTATCTTAAAGCTGATTCAAAGTTTGTGCTTGCCGGAAAATGCAGCTATCCGTTTTAATCTTTGCAAGAGAATATAAATTGTCTTTTGATCTTTGTCATTCTTTTTCAGGGTTAAAACAATTGTGTAAAGTCTGTTGTTTGTGAGATTGTTGCCTTCCTTAAAATTCGCCCTTTCTGAGCTAATAACAAAAACATTCTTTGTGCAAAGGAAAGGTAACAAAAACGTTTCCTCGGAGACACGCGACCAAAAGTGGGGAGAAGCAGACTAATTGACGCTCTGCACGATGTATTTATGAGGGACAAATAAAAGATAAAAAAATATGTAAAGAAATTATTTCATTACAAGTCTTAAAATTCATTCATTCTTGTTTCATCTTGGAAAATGACTGCTTCATTTGTGTCTTTCTACCTTACCAAAGTCGCATTTTGTTGTCTCAGCTTCAAGATAATACCATTGTCGGGGTTTATGGAGGTGTCGCCCCATTACAAGTTGGCCACCAACCACTCTTGCGCCTTCGCCCCCTAAAGTAAAACAAGTTCATTCTATTTTGTTTGTCATTGTTTCCATTTGTATTCCTTAGTAATACTGATATAATTAATCAATATTTTCTTCTTTCAAAGCCGAAATCGAAACCGAATTATTTAAAATGAAATTGGCACGTTCCAGGGACAAGTGACATTTTTTCGACTGCGTGTAATAGTCGACGGATAACGACAAACGTAGAAAAAACCCATATTTGTCCCTCAAAACAGCCGAAATTCGACGATAACCAGCAATAACTGCCGTGACTGAATGATACGCTGCAAAATTACTGCGTCAGACGTACACTCTCATAGTGACAAAGATGTCGCGATGAAACAAAACAAAAAGTCCATACTTGCAAAGCATAGTAGTTTTCTCGCTGGTCTCCAAGGAAACACCTACCGTAAGGAACAATGTTTTTGTATCAAATCAAAAAGCGCTAATTAAGTTGTGAGTACTTTTCATTTTTTGTAGTGTTGTAGTCTGAATAGTGTGGATGACTATAATCTATGATCTAAAGTTTTGCTCGCCCACGAATTAAGTAGAGATGACTTTGAACTGTGCACATGAAAAGGTATTCTGATGAATTCTAACGGTTCCTACGAGTTTATCTGAGGTCACTAAGTCCTGTCATCGGTACATAAAGGAATTGTCCTGGCTCTATGTCAGCAAAGAATTAACTGGCAGTTTTTTACGAGTATTCAAGCTGGGAATAATGACGCGGAAACTCTTGGTTCGCGTGGCCTTTCTTCTTGTGTCTGCTGTCTTCATTTATTTGACGAGGAGATTGAACGTGAACTATACGGCTTACTCCTCTGATGAAACAGTTGGAATTTCCTATGAAGACATGAGGTGAGTTTTACCTCCAGTCACGGATTCAAAATATCCCGGCTAAAAAAAAAATAAGAATTAGCTCAAGTTGTGAAGGCCAATTGGCTCCAGTGCAGTGGTCACCTTTGATACATTTTAATACTTGTAATGAAATAAATTCTTCACATATTTTTTTAAAATTTTATTTGTCCTTCCTAAATACATCGTGCGGAGCGTAAATTAGTTTGTCTTCTCTCCATTTCCATTTGGTTTGCGTCTCCGAGGTAATATTTTGTTACCTTTCCTTTACACAAATAATTTTTCTGTTATTAGCGCAGGAAGGGTGAATTGTAAGGAAGGCAGCAATCGCACACAGAACAGATTTACAAAATTGCTTTAACCGTGATCCTTCGCTTAAATTGGTCAAGATTTTGATTTTCAGCGTAGAAATAGCAGTTTTTTATTTCTGGATCGAGTTTGTCATATACCGAACTTGGAACCGACCCAAATTGTAAAGTTTGAGCTGATGTTAAATTTCATTCTTTCTTGTAATTTCATTAACCACAGGGAAACTGTGAACACAGTCGACAGCGTTTCTACCCATGTAGATCCTAGCCCTCTTTCCACACGAAGCTGTTCGCCACAACATCACATCTTTTTTCTTAAGACGCACAAGACTGGCTCTAGTACGATGGCAAATATTTTTTTTCGTTATGGCGACTTCAGAAATCTCGCTTTCGTTCTCCCAAGGTATATACTGTTTGAATGGCCTCAAAGATTCCAAACTTCCCTCGCCGCTCCCCTTCAAACGAGAAGGCCGAACATTTTATGCAGCCACACAAGATTTAACAAGAAACCGATCAACTGGATTTTTCCGAAAGATTCCAGCAAGTACATAACCATTCTCAGAAATCCAGTGGATAATTTTGAATCGGCCTTCAGGTACATGAAACTTGGGGAGATGTTTGGCTTTGGTAACCATCCAAACTCTTTACAAAAGTTCCTTGAAAATGGGGTCTCATTCGCCAACATGCTTAAAAGGCATAATCCCCTCGTAAATCTTATAAGAAATCCTCTCATGTTTGATTTGGGTTTGAGTTTTAAGTATTACCAGAATTTTACCGCTGTAAAGGAGTATATTCAGTTTCTAGACAAAGAGTTTGACTTGGTGATGATAGCGGACTATTTTGATGAATCATTGGTGCTGATGAAACGACTGCTCTGTTGGGAAATGCATGACATTTTGTATGTAAAGCTCAACGCTAGAGTAGATAATGAAACGGGAACAATACTGACCGAGGACGTTAGGGAAAATATCAAAAGATGGAACAAAGCGGACGTTTTGCTATTTGAGCATTTTAATAAATCATTCTGGGAGAAAGTAAAGAACGAAGGAGAAAGTTTTAACGAAGAGCTGGCCGCCTTTCGTCAAAAGAACACTGCTATAAAACAAGCTTGTATAGAAAATAAACCGCACTTTCAAACAATTTATGAGGGAAAGTTAGCGAAAGGTCACTCAATTAGAGAAAAACTGCCCCGAAAATTGCGAATGTTTTGTGAAAAGTTAATTAAAAGCGAAGAATACTACCTGAAGAACTTGAGAGAAAAGTCTCAGCATCAGAGAACGCCGTCTAGTTCGATAGATCTGCCTCAAAATTACAATGAACACGAGGAAGAAGACAAAAAGAGCTGGGATACAACAAAAGAACTTTCCTACTTTCCTGTTCTGACATTAAATCACGACACTCGTGAGACGTCACCGTGGCGGCGTGTAGGAAATCTGTGGATAAAATGGGGGCACAGAGCGGAAAGGATGAGAAAAAGGCGGTATAAAGCAAGACGACGGACGAAAAGGAGTTCTAGTTAACCCGTTCACTATTGTAATTAATAAACGTGTAAAATCTCCCTACAATATCCATACATTGTCCAGAAAAAGGGTAATGACAATACTCGGATTTCTTAAGAAGTTGTCCTCTTGATAATACGTAACACAAAACTCTCGTAACTAATTTACAAGGAAATGCGAAGCAACTGAGAGGAGATTTGACAATCAAATTTTTAAAGTTAACAGGTTAAAAATTAGATTATGAGCTGAAGATTTCTATCGCATGATTGTCGATGAGGGGAAAGCCCGGATCAACTACCACACATAGTTGTTGAAAGCTGATAAGCTAACCGTTTTAGTATAAATCTTCTTGTCGTTCATAAGTCAAGAAGATAGGCTCGTTATTTCATGTTGTTTACAACCGTACACTGCGGGACTAATCACTTTACTCGCTAACCCTGTCCGGATAATTCACCGGATAAATAGAGAGTAGAGTAGCCAATCAGATTTCAGCAATTGTGATAGATCATTAGTTGATAAACCGTAATTCCTTACATTAAGTGCCCCCTTCTCCAATAAGTCCCTCCCCCCGAAATTGTTTTGTTAGTAAGTGCCCCTATTCTAATGAGTACCCCTACTGGTTAGGCACCCTCATCCCAATTGGCGCCCCTATTCCAAGAAACGCCCCTATTCTTTTTTAGTAATAGCACTGTTAGAGTACATGTACATTGAGATTAACCGTGGTCCATCTTCCTGAAATTGCCCACTTAAAGCCTCACGACAAAAAAAAAGTGGTCTACGTCTCAGTCTCTCAACTATGATGTCGCCATGAATGCACAGTTACTTCAAACGAAAGATCCCGTCTTAAAATTTTACGATGATTGCTTTGCTAGTCGTTCTAGCGAGGAAGCGTCCAGGTCCATTTCCAATCTTTTTCATTCCAGTTTTTAAATACACATCAATGCTTTGTTTCGCATTCTGCTGTTTCTCAAAATAAGAGCAAGCGCCCTGTCCCTAATAAGCACCCTGTTTCGAATAGGCGCCCTCCCTTGAGGTACCAAAAGTAAATAATCGCCCTGGGCGCTAAATCGAATCATTACGGTATATTAAGAACAGAAAGATTTCCATTGTATTAAAGCTGATGTCGTTTAAGTGAAAGTGAAAAGGGTTTTTTCGAAAAATGAAATGACCTGAGAGAGAAATTAGTCATCTTGTGATTCATACTTTTATTTAGGAAGAGTAGCATTACACAAGTTCTGAAGCTGCATGGTTACACTCGTTGTTGCTACACTCTAAGGTTATTCATTAAAAGTTTCTTAACTTTCTTTGACCGTTTTCGCTGTCTGAACGAGTGCTTATATATCGAGACTTGTGGACGTGCATATTCCAGGGGAGTGTCTGGTCGTAAGTCTTGCTCTGGTATATGTGGTGTTTCTTACAGAATTATGAATTATTTTCGTGGTTAAGAGTACAGTTAAATCCCGATAACTTGAACCTTCAAGGGAAATTGATAAAGGTTCGAGTCATCGGGAGTTGAAAAAAAGGACTGGAAATAAAGGAAAATGGTGTCTACTGCTTTTTCTATTCATGCAGTATACATTTTAATCAAATTTAATTATGGAGAAGACGATTGAGAGTGAATGAAACACTACTAATAAATTACTGCAGAAATCACGAGGTGACGAAAATGTTTTGGACTTCAGTACGCTGTTTGTTTTGACTTGTCACGTATTGACAGACGACCTGGTTCGACGTGGTTCGCGTTATTGAGGGTAGAAATTTGTAGAGAAAGACCTGAAGGGAAACGCGAATTGCTTCGATTAAGTGGAAGGTTCAAGTTATCGAGGGTTCGAGGTACCGAGGGTAAAATTGCCATAAATTTATGAGGCAAATCCACGGATTATCGATTTTGGTTGGAGTTAGCACAAAGTACGAGTTAGTCAGGGTTCGAGTTATCAAGATTCGACTGTACTGATTCCGCTCAGTTTCGAAAATTTCCGTCGTTGTAATAAAACAAAGTTCTCTAATAAATTATCTATGTTGATTTTATTGGCTTATATTGCAGATCTTTAGCTGTATTCCAACCGCTTTCCGTTTGAACTTTTAAAAATTTGTCCAGTCCAACGGTCCTCAATTTTATCATACGTTTTTGTCGGAGGTAATCCAAGAAAGCGTTTTCCGTCCTCACGAAATGTCCACACAAAACCTTCAAACGCGGCGTTAGGTCGTCTCTAACTAAATATCCCTTCACAAACTTTTCACGATACGCTCGTTCTTGTTGCATCTCATCCTTTAAACACAAACTCTTTATATTTTCTTTCTTTCGCCGAAATGCAGCCAGATCGTCATCAAAGCTTGGACCTTCCATTTTCACTTTTCTCCAAAACGTTGCGTTGAAATGATCAAACAGCAAAACGTCTGCCATGTTCCATCGTTTGATGTTCTCTTGAACAGTTTTACTTAAATCTTTCGCTATCTCTTTATCTAGTCTTGCGTTGAGTTTCACATACAAAATGTCTTCTAGTTCCCAGCAGAGCAGTCGTTTCATTAGAACCAATGATTCATCAAAGTAGTCCATAATCATAACCAGGTCGAACTCTTTGTTCAAGAAGCGAATGTATTTTTTGACTGCGGTAAGATTCTGGTAAAACTTAGGACTAAGACCCAGATCAAACATCATCGGATTTCTCGATAAATGGGTCATCAAACCTTTATGGGTACTGTTATAGTCTATTCCTTTTGTTAAAAATTTTTCCAAAGCGTCCAAATTGTCTCCGAAACCAAGTTGTTTCCCAAGCTGTGCAAAATTGAACACTGACTCAAAGTTGTCCACTGGATTCCGTAAAATTGTCACGTATTTGCTGGTTTCTCTCGGAAAAAGCCAGTTCATTGGTTTCTTGTTAAATCTAGCGTGGCTACATAAGATGTTGGGTACTTTGCTAAAAAGACGAAGCGGGTGAGTTATATGGAATTTATGTGGCCATCCTAGAAGAGTGCCCGGTGATAAGACAAAAGTAAGGTTTCTCGAGTCTCCGTAACGAAAAAAAATATTAGCCATCGTACTAGAACCAGTCTTGTGCGTTTTTAGGAAAAGAATGTGATGAACAGGGAAACATTTTCCTTTCTTCTCTTGGAAACATTTTATATTTCAGTTTCGTTTTCTTGAGATCCCAGACGTATAGATGACGCATTTTCCTGCCTGTTGTAAAATAGATAAATAGATACCGAATATTTGAATTTTGGTTTAATCTGAACAGACGCACAGCAACTTGGAATCTATTTGTTAAATAGATACCGAGTATATGAATTGGTTTAATCACTTAGTTACCCTTAACCCTTTAAGTCTCACTAGTGACCAAGACGGAATTTCTCCTTACACTATCAGTATAATATCAAGCAGACAAGTAATAAGAATAAAGAAAAATATCAATTAGGAGATTATTAGTTGATCCAATTCCAAATTCTCCAAACTAACATCACATGAATTGTATAGCAGACAGTAAGGAGAATTACTGACGAGATCCTGGGAGTTTAAGGGTTACGAACAGTTTTCAATTGGAGAGTCGAGAGTGATCTGAGATTGCTCTGTTTTTGCTTTGCTTCGCCTGTGATTATTCTGTAACTGATACTCGCACCACTCTCTCTCTCAACCAATCGGATTCAAAATAAACAAATCACGACTTAGTCTCCTACGCTTTCCAGGGCTTTAGGCAGTTTTGTCGGTTTTACTTCGAGCTTGGTCTTAATGGCTCCTAAATGTATTTTTCCTTTCTCCTAATTTGGCTGTTTTGATCACTTTGGTTTTAGTTTTTGTGATTCTCAATCGAAAAGAACTCTATCTCCTTGAAGCGATCAACTCCTCATTGCGCTTTCCTACCAACAGTACATCAGAGAACAAACAAGGCAATCAGCTTGATCTAAGACCAAATTCTCCTTCAGGAGTCTGTAGCCAGAATTGCTAGTTCGAAGGTCAATAAGACCCCCTTAAGACCAGACAGAGTCTGTCTAATATGCAGTGTCCGGCAGTTTCGTGCTCTTAGTGAGAAGGATGAAGGGACATTTTTCATCTCGCCCTTACAGCTTTTTGTGGCCATCTTTACGAGAAAGACTATTGATAAGAATCCTTTGAAGGACAAGTATGCCTCAAAAATCATCGCTTTAATTTCTCCCAATAAAAACGCACTGATGAGATTCCAAAGAGTGACGTGACCTGTCTCCAACGTTTTCAAAAAAATTGTTCAAATGCGCTAACGATTCACATCTGGAAATTACCTATATTACGAATCTTGCCTCAAGAAGTGACTGGCGTAACAAAGTCTCATTTTTCTTTCTTCCACCTCTTGGAGAGAGAGAATCAACATTATCTACAATATTTCTTGTCATGGTTCTTGTAAAATTATTCTTTGTTTTGATGTCAAAGGTTAAGAGCGGAAAAGAAAAAATGTACTGAAACCTTGCAACTAAAAAGTTATCCTTTCACAAATATTTAAGTTTTGAGCTTTATGTTATTATTCGATCAAGGTTCTAGGGAAGATCCCTCTTCACGATTCAACTGAGGGCGAGTTATTTAAGCGAGGTCTAACTTAAACCATGGTTTTACGCGATCAGTGGGCTTTAGGCTTTCTCTGTAAGAGGGCTGATTTGATGAAATAAATATCCTTTCACTCTTAACTCACCCTCTTGACACTGTTCACTATAAGTGTTTAGATAAACCGTTTAACTAAAATTGAGGATTGTTTGGCTAAACTTTGCTTAAGTAACCGGCTCTGACAGTTTGTGGAAAATCGACTAGTGTCTCATTTTCGACGTTGAGTCTTTGCATAGTTTAATAAGATCTTCGCGCATTGTTCTCTGATATTTCAAAGTCGGGGTCATAGACGGTATTACGAAATTGATCGCTGACTGATGAAACGTAAGGGAGATTTCAGAGTCGCTTATGTAAACATCGCCATTGTACTGATCTTTAATATAGATTAGTGATATGTACTGCTACTTTACTTTTCCGTATCGCATCGAATCAGGCGAGGATTTGACGATACTGAACGAATTTTTTCTTCTTCCCGTAAACTGAGGCTTACATAATCTATTTAAAAAGGGAGGGAAATTTAACAGTGAAATCAATACGGATTCTTCAGCACCAATTTACTTAGTATATACAAATGCAATGATAAATACACTTACGTCAGACGCCGAATTACTTGTCGGACTGCGTTCACCTCTTGTTCATTTGACCGAGAGTATGTATACAATAAATAGATCACGGAAAGCAAGAGAAATATCCAAGGAAGGCGGTCGAGAAACCTGCGATGAAAGATTCTCATCCTAATTCAACATTCCTATAAGATAAACTGCGGTGAGATCTCGCTGGAACTGCTGATCACAGCAGCTAAGGTCCTTATGGTCAAGCCGAGCTTTGCGACAGATATCACGTTTCATACTCATGGCAGTAGTTTCCTAGGAGGCACGCAAATTTTCGTTTTTTTTTCAGGGGGAGGTGAGGGGAGGTAGGGGCACCGCGTGACCTCCCGAGGAAGGGCTGTGAAGTATTAGCACTGGAGAAACGTGTTGAAAGCGAATTTATCCTTAAATTAATGGGGTAAGTTTCGAAAGGCTGACGCGCATGACGCTCGAAACATCAACTTCAGTAACTCTTTACGGTGGCCAATTTACGTTATCAACTCAGCTGATTAAACCAAATTAATAATCCTATCCTTGATTAGTTTCCTTTTAAGAGTATCTACAATGCACATTTCGTCCACTGCGAGTCACTTCTTACACAAGTCTTCCTGCTCTTAAGTTCGCCTGTCATAAGTTGATCGGGGCACTTGACAAGGAAAAGAATGTTATATTCTTTCTCTTTCACGAAAACGAAAACTCGTCAATCCGGAAAATAGGTTTATGCGTGTCCCGGAAACGTCTGTCCATTATTCGTCAGATTACTGTAACGTCATCTTTCATCATCAGGGACTTGCGCTAAGGAACTAACTTTCTTTATGGTTATGTCATCATGGCTTGGTTGCAAAATGTGATATGGGCTTTTTTCCGGAAAGTTGTAAGTTGTAATTTCCTGAAGTTATTGGTAAAATTACATGGTAATCACTTCTGTCCCCAGAAGTCACTTTCTCCAAACTTCGTGACCTTTAGCAGCCGCGCGCAGGATCGTTCTTGGCTAGTTCCCAGGCTCAGTTTACAAGTGAGTTCTTTCCTTGACCAGGAAACCTCTATACGCACGTTGTTGACTTACTCGTCTCCATCGCTCCAGTAAATTGTGCAGAATTTGTCCATTTACAGCCCAGACAGGCCAGTTCTAGAGGTGGAAATTACATAATGGCGAAGCGAAAGATGATTATTGACTGTGATGCCGGCATCGATGACGCCCAAGCTATCCTGATTGCTTTATCTGCTCCTGATGTTGAGGTGGTTGCGATCACATGTGTCGCTGGCAATACAACTATTGAAAATGTATGTGTGAATGTGCTTAAAGTTCTGGAGTTGTGCGATCGAAGAGATATTCCCGTCTTTAAAGGAGCCACTGGTTCATTGCTAGGTGAGGAACTTTATGCAATTCATTGACTAGGGGTCGAGTTACGGTACGTGACACTACCCTTCCAATCGCTTGATCCCATAGGTAAGTAAGGCCCGGTTCAGACGCCGTGCTTCAGCCGCACCGAATCGAATTCAACGATAGGCAGACCTAGATTAGTTAATCCTGGCTGGCTGAATTAATTCAAACGCCGAACTTCATTCGGCCGAAATTAATTAATCAAAGAAAATTAATATTTTACAGAGAGACAAGCCTTGTCTGTGCTTTGTTCTGTTGTATAGCACTTAGGAAGCTAGAGCACGAAAGAAGTATAGGGAGAAACACGAGAGGTAGTCGAGTGTTTCTCCCCTCTTCTCGAGCAGCAGTTATGCACCTCCATTGTTCTTGAATAGTCTCAAAAGGTAAAAGTTATTGAGAGGAATGCGTGGCAATCCAAATGTCACCAAAATAACTCCTTGTAGGTGAAATATCGTTGTAGGGATCCGTAGGGGTCACGTCTCAAATAATTCCTGAGACTTTGACCTAGTAATGTTGAGCACTTAGGTCGATCAGTTTGTGAACTATGGCTTCCAATGTGCCTCATGTGCCGGCAATGAAAGAAGCTCAAGGACCTCAAGAAGCAATTGTGAATTGTGTTGCATTTTTTATGAAGAGGGGAAAGGCAGCAAGAATTGAATGTGGTTTTTAGTTCTAATCAGACCCCAATGCCCCAGTCATATAGGAAAAAAATACTCTGAGTGAGGGTGAGAAATGGGAATTTCTCTCTTAAATACATGTATACCAGTATGTGCTGCCCATCTGGGTCTTGAATTTGGAACTCATGAGCAAGAAGGAGCTACCATGTTTTTTAACCCTTTAACTCCCAGATGAAATTTTTAATTCTCCTTACTGTCAACCATACAATTCTTATGATGTTAGTTCAGAGAATTTAGTACTGGATCAACCAATTATCTCCAAATTTATAATTTTCTTTATTCTCATCTTTTATCTGAGTGATATTGTATTGATATTTTAAGAAGAAATTCTGTCTTGGTCACTTATGGGAGTTAAAGGGTTAAGAGATATTTCCCAGAACTTGTTGTAGTTCATGCATCTTGCAAATAGGTTGAGGATTATCTGTGACATGCCTTGATAGCGCACTGGCAATGACCTTTCCCTTACAAGAATATTTTAATTATAAAATAATTTGTTAAAAAATGGTTGTAAAATAGAAGATGAGTTGATGGTTATTGGTGAATGGGGTACTGAAAATTGATCAATATCTAGAATGAGTTTCTCTGACTTCAATTTCAGCCAAAAATATATTTGAGTATCCTCTCCCCAGCTCTTCTTGCTCTTTCCTGTAAGGGGGAGGGGGGTAGTTTAAATCCTGTTAAGGTCAGTGACACGATATTGCTGCTTATTGTTATATGGAAGTCATGAAGCTTGGGAATTTTAACTTATGGATGATGACATGTTTCTTTTTTTTTCTGTAGAGGATCGTGGGGATCTTCCTACCCATTTTCATGGCAAGGATGGCATGGGAGATGTTAAAGACATTCCTAACCCAGACATTTCATTACTGAAGACTGAACATGCTGTAAATGCCCTGATTAGAATTGTCAATGAGCATCCCGGAGAAATCACCTTGGTTCCTCTGGGACCATTAACTAATATTGCTCTTGCATGTCGACTTGATCCAGGCATTTCCTCTAAGCTAAAAGATGTGGTGATCATGGGAGGGAACTTTGAAGCCAAAGGTAACTCGCATGTGAGTGCTGAATTCAATTTTCATTTTGATGTGGAAGCTGCTTACATAGTGTTGAATAAGCTCACCTGTCCAGTCTCCTTGGTGACATGGGAATTTTGCCTAAACCATGCATTACCTTGGGAATTTTATGACTCATATATTGGACAAGAGACAAAAAAATCTGTTTTCATGAAAAAGATTACTAATACCTCAGCCTCATTCTACAAGAAAAATAAGACAGGGTTTGGACAAGGTTACACAAGCTGTGATCCTCTGGCCATGTCAGTAGCTGTCAAGCCAGAGATTGTAACTGAGGCAACAAGTGTGTATGCCACAACAGAGCTACACGGGCACTTGACTCGTGGTCAAATGGTTGTGGATTGGAGAGCTCATCTTGGAAAAGATCATAATATTAAGTTAATTAAAGAAGTTGATTTGGAAGCCTTTAAAGTCTTGATGATGGACTCCTTGAAATAATTACACATAAAAAAAGAGGAGTAAGAAACAAAGACATTTTTGTAATAAAATATTTGCCTATTGTTCATTGTGGTGTAAGAATGGAGATGAACTATGTTCATTTGTCTCACAATAGAGTCACTTTTAATGTAGATTGTGACATTTTGACTGCAATACTGCTAGTCTTCATCAGGCGATGAGATAGATTGTTTACATGTCACTATTTGTAGCATGTTGGTATGCTGCTATTGGTGCATTTCGATTCTCATTAGTATTCCAGTTATTAGATGGTGTTCCCTCATAGAACCTCATAACGTTCTCTATACTTATAATTTGCTCCAAAATTCTACTTTCAAAATTTACTATGAGGGAACACCTCCTAACAACCATAATAATAATGAGGATCGAAATGCACCAATAACAGCATACAAATGTGCCACAAATAGCAATGTGTAAACAATTGACCTCATCGCCTGATGAAGACTAGCAGTGTCGCAGTTGAAATGTTGTGATCTACATCAAAAGTGACTCTATCGTGAGACAAACGAACAAATTTCATCTCCAAAGACAATTTTTTTAGCTAGCCTAACCTGGATTAACCCTTAAATCCCTTAGAAGGGGCTATTATCTTATTTCTCCTTTTAGTGCAAATAATGAATTAAGAAATAATTAAGCTCATGAGAGTAAAAAAGGAAATGATCACCATCTAAGGCTCTTGATTTTTTCAACAAATTCTTCTACTCAGTACAGTAGGAAATGTATAAGAACAGTTTTGAGAATATGCACTTTAATGTTACTGGTTTAGCATTTACATTTAAGTATTCTTGCTAGAAGTTTTGAAAATAGAATTTTGGAGTAAACTCTAAGTATAGTGCCACTAAGTATCATGTGAGAGATACTCCAAGATTTTTTATTATACCAGTATGCTTTTGGTATGATTTAACCCTGTAACTCCCAAGATGTGATTGTTAATTCTCCCCACTTGCTGCTACACATTTATTGTAAAATAGTTACCAGAATTTGGTGCTAGATCAAGATAACAACTTCTACTTGGTAAGTTTGAATATTCTCATTACCTGTTTGCTGGATAATGTAAGGATATTACAGGAAGAAGTTTCATGTTGATCACTTCTGGGAGTAAAAGGGTTAATAGCAAAATGGTTCAAAACCTGCATTGCTTCATTTAAGCATAATTTGAAAACATAGTTGTATTGGATATACTCCTGTATAGTCACTTGACAAAATAGGAAGATTTCATTATTGTTTTCTTAGTAGCCTAGATAGCTTTATATTTTCACTCAGTAAAACAATTGAAGGTTCATTACAATTTTATTATTACCTTTCATTGCTTTAGACTATTTCAATATTCTCATTGAGTCTTGATTAAAATGATCTTTATTCAGTACTAATAAAGTCTTGAACATAAAGAATCAAATTATCATGATATTTTTAATGCCTTAGACTACTTCAGTTGTGCTTTTTCTCAGTAGATCTTGGAAGCAAGACTTCCAGAAGTATGTATGTGTATTTCTACTCATGTAAGATTTTTTTTCTGTTTTTATGCAGTCATCATTTGTCACACGAGTTTCATCTTTATCCTGTTTCAAATGTTATGCTTCAGTTGTATCCTTTTTCATGATTTTGTCTTCTTTGAATTGAATTGCCAGTAGATCTAATAAAAATTGAAAAATCGATTTCTAGATGATCTTTTAAAGCACAGCTGTTTCCTTATGTGCTAGGTAGTGTATATTTAGTAAATTTGTCAAAAAAATGTCTGTTGTTTAATGTTTATAAATAATTCAAAATTTGGATGACTTTATCTGTTGTCAGAAAATTTTATCATATGCACAAAAATTGGAACTAGACAGATTTTTTAATGTAAAGTACATTCTCCCTTTGTACTTTTCGTTCTCTACCCAAAACATTCTGAACTCGCAGTAAATTGAGCATGTTCGTATCTGACACAATTGGAGGCAAGATGTTTCGATCAGCATATTTTTATGATTTGCTCTATGTTCTCAAAAAAATACTATTTATAACTTATGATATTATTTAAAAATGAGCAGTTTTGAAAAATTGAAGGTCATTTAAATTACTTGAGAGAGGGGTGGAAAAGAAATCAATCTGTTGTGGAAGTACACGAAGAATAAAACTTTCGGTTCGTCACGCAAAAAGGACGTGTCCCGATTAAGACCAGTACGTCATCAACTCAGATCATTGCGTTCATTGGTCAGCTATTTTTATCTCTCCAGTTGTTTTAAGTCTGTTCACCATATAAAGCTGCACGGCGAAAAGTTTTGACAGTTACGGAGGATCCTACTTTCGCTGCTGTCTCTAGGACTGCGAGGAAGTCGCTGAAATATGCAGAATTTAAAACTTGTGGCTATAGGAGATGGCGGAGTAGGAAAGTCGTCCTTTCTAATTTGCGCTACAACTAGTCATTTTCCAAGTGACTATGTTCCTACAGTTTTTGATAACTACAGCGTAGATCTCGTAGTAAACAGTTCTCCTTGCTCGATTTCTCTTTGGGATACAGCAGGGCAAGAAGACTACGATCGTCTGAGGTTTCTCGCTTATCCTGGAACTGATGTATTTGTTGTGTGTTTTGATGTTGTAAATCGAAGTTCATTTGAAAACGTGAGCGAGAAATGGATTCACGAAGCGCGCTACTATGTACCCGAGACTCCAATCCTCCTGATGGCAACGAAGACGGATCTTCGAAACAGCAGGTGTGTTAAGCCTTTTCCTCAACAACGCACGATTTTAGTCTACCTTTCACAGGAACTCTTTATCAAAATAACACCTGGCGGATAGGTTTGTGGTGTAGTGCGTAGTTACATGTAGGGGAGTTAGTTACACCTGTTCACTTCCTGTTCGACCTTACGTGTCAGTGGTATGGAGGGGGGGGGGAGTTGGTATAGGGGGTATGCTCCCTTGTATGTGCAGAGATGGGCTTCCAGGCAGAGCATGGTATTCGGCCCTCTTAACGAGGTGAAGCATGTTTCTCTGCCTGCTGGGAGAGGCAAGTTGGGTGATATTTTCTAGGGGTCTGGCACTTGTAATTGATATTGCTTAACCCTTGAAGCCCCTCGTCAGCTTGTGATGTGTACGGTCTTATACTTTCCTGCAGGGAAAGAAAAACTTGTGCCAAAGGGCTAATATGAAAGTGAGGGTCTGCTTTCAGGCTATTGCTGAGTGAATCTGGAGAACTGAGAATTCACATATTTTGCAGATGAAAGAAAATCCTTTTCACTAATGTTCAATATCTTTCTTGTCAACAGTAATGCAGATGACAGGTCCACCGTGTCTACAAGGGAAGGAATGGCTCTTGCTGAAACTCTTGGTGTGTCATATGCAGAGTGTAGCTCCCTAACAAACACTGGAGTGCAGGAAGCTCTGAATAAAGCTGCAGAAATGGCTGTTAGTTTTCATACCCAGAGCAAAAGATCAACCGCAAGAGTTTTGGGCTTCTTTAAAAGGAAAAACAAAAATTCCATGTCAGCTCAGGATCAGGAAATTTTTCCCCCTCAACTGCCACCAGCAGGTATTAAAAGTTATATCCTCTGTAGTAGTTGGTGACACACTAAACAATTCTTTGATTTTGTATTTGAGTTGTAAAGTACATGCATCCATAGATAATATTGTTTGATCAACTGAGTTCACAATGTAACTAGTTCCTATACTGACATTTCAAGAGTTAGCCCTTAGTCTCTGCTGACTAGTGTTTCTTGCTGAGTTTCCACATAGAGCTCTACTTGCTGCTTGCATGTGGTTTCACAGTATTATAAATATTCATCTTTATTAATGCTACTTATTTTTCATGGTCAATGGCTGTTTTTAACAGTGAGAATATTACATGGTTGCTATTTTCTTTTTGCAGGTTTTGCTCCCCATGTGGAGGTACTCAGCTCAACATTTGCCAGTGAATGGGATTCTATGTTGTCTGACACAATGAGTGCAGATGTCAGATTTGTATTCTCTGATGGTGAGTCCCTTGAAGCTCATAGAACTGTTCTTGTTGCAGCCTCCTCCATCTTCAAGAATGTTTTACTCGGAGAAATGTCTGCAAACCATGAATCTTTCCAGTACATCTTTGAAGATGTTTCATGGATTTGTGATGGAGAAAGGAACTGCCCAAATCTTCCTCATATCGAAGGGAAATGCCAGGGCAAAGGTAGAACTGTAATAAGGTTGCATGAGAGCATTACTAAAGGCATTTTCTCTGAGGTGTTGTCCTTCCTTTACACTGGATTGCCTAGTGTAACAGATGATAAAGACAAAAATTTTATCACAGAAATTCAAGATGCTGCCAAGAAATTTCAGTTGACATGGTTGATAGATACCTGTACAAACATTCTGTCAGGAGATTCTTTCCTTAATCCAAGTATTGGCACATGGCTGAATGATAACACGGGACAAACAGCTAAAAATTTGTTTCTGAACAAGCCATTTTTAGCTGATGTCAAGTTCTGTGTTGAGGGCACCATTGTTTATGGACACAAGTTGATATTAAAATCAAGGTCAGAGGTCATGGCAGCCATGTTGGGTGGGGCCTTTAGAGAGAGTGACTTAGATACAGAGGTAAGCATATGTTTAATAGCTTGTTGGTTCCAGGTTTACAGTTATTTGAGCAGAAAAAAAGATGTTCCCTAACCTACAGTACAGACTGAGAAAACTAGGTTAACCCTATACACCCTAACATCAATATATATATTCTCCATCCTGTTTTCTAAACATTTCCTAAGATGGTGACAAGGAGAATTTGTTTAACAATGAGCCTCTTTAGTTGGTGATCAGTTCCTTTATTCTCCTGACCTTAATGTTTGATTCTGGGGTGATATAGTAAGGAGAAATTAGATGCCAGTCACTCTTAGGGGTTAAAGGGTCAAAGTAATATATTATGTCTCTGGGCTCAAATGGAGGGGAGAAGATTTAAATGGAAGAAAAACTTTTCAGTTGAATAAGTCAGACAGTGAAATACAGCCTACTAAAATGACAAATTATAGCACATATACTTAGGGAGAGATACAATAAGTAGGTTTATAACAGATTGTATTTCTCACAACCTATATTTATTCCTCAAAGATTGAGATCAAAGACACAACCCTGCAAAGTTTTTTGGCACTGCTGGAGTACCTCTACACTGACCACGCCCCAATAGAGGAGGGAGATTCAGTAGAAATAATGGTTTTAGCAGACAGATTCTGTCTTCCAAGACTTGTGACAATGTGCGAGTTGTACACAACCAAGAAAGTTGATTCTTTGATACAGAAAAGGGTGTCTGATGGCACTAAAGATGTCATAAACCTCCTTCTCACATCACAGGTATGACCCAAATTTGTTCAGGAGAATACAATGGCAGAAATTAATAGTTTTGTTGCCCCTATGGTTAATGAATTTTAATTTACTAGATGATTCAAGTAAAAGAAGTAGAATTTAGCTATGGCATATCTAGGAGAGTGGTTCTTCATGCAGAGAATTTGGAATTATTAAGAAAATGTTTTTTGGAGGATGGCAAGAACCAACAATTTACTTGACCCAGATATAATACCAAATTCTCATAACTTATCTATGTAGAACATTGGTATTTACACATTATCTAACAGAAATTATTCATAATTATTTGCCAGGCGTACAATGCTAAACAGTTGGCTGACTGGTGTCTTCATTTCATTTCAACCAACTTCTCAGTCTTTGAATCCACTGAAGAGTTTGAGCTTCTTCAAGGGGATAACAGGAAACATGTGATTCAACATAGATGGCCTCCTCTGTCCTATTTACAAGCACTAGAAGAATTTGAACAAAGAGCCCCGCAATCTAAGCTTACTTCCAAGTGTAAAATGATGTGAAACATATGCTACCAATAAATCCAAGCAATATATTGGAAAATGATCTTGTAACTGGACTAAAGAATTAGAAACTATGTGGATGAACCTTTTATCTATATAGTCTTTTACTAGTGTCTATATTTTAAGGTAAAGGAAGCTATCGAGTCAAAAGGCTCATACTGCTAATGCTTATCCAGTTTTCAGTACAAACAATTCAAGGTATGGAAACTCCACCTTGCCCCCCCCCCCCCCCCCCTCCCTCTCCTCCCCCTTGGCTGGATGTCATTCCATTACAAAGTTTCTTTGGAATCAATGATTTTACAGTTATCCTTGACAGTTGAACACCTGGGTGGAGAGTGGCACTGTTAAATTATTAGAGTATCTTACTTAAAAACAAAAAACAATGGCATGGCTAGGGTTTGAACATGGCCTTTCTGATTCAGAGTCTAGTACCTTTTAAAAGTAATTAGCCAGCAGGTCTCAAATGGATGGCTGCTTGAAATGAACCAAAAATTATGGTTAAAAAAAGAAAAGAAAATTGCAACCATGGCTAACATGTTTGTTTCGAAAGATACCTTTAATTAAATACATGATTATGGCTTGTATTAGTATGTTTATGATGCAAGTTCCTTCCCCTCTCTAAGATCAAGCATCTCTAGACACCATCCTGGAATACATGAATGATTATTTAAGTAAAATATTGAAAGAGTACAACAGTAAAGTGATTAAAAAAAATTATGTTATAATTGTTTTATATTGCAGAGAAGCAGAGCATGCTGCATTATCTTTAACAAAAGTATTGAAACTTGCTCTGATAAGAGCTCTTATGAATAACAGAAACCTAATCCTATCTTTTTTATCATCAAAAATTATGACTGCATTGGTTTTCACAGTTTACACAGTGAATTCTTGGATCTGTTATTTAACAGAGTTCAGCATTACTTCCTTAAAGAGTTCTAAATCCATCTTTGTAATTAATCGTACATTAACAGGTTTTTGTAGCATTTGACGCCAATCAATCACCATCTGTCCTCGTGTCAATCCCTCCTTGAGTTCCACTGTGGCATGAACTGAGGTTTCTTCTTGAACAAACTTTGGTTGTAGAGCTGCACACAATGCAAATGGATCACAAGATATAAATTCACCATTCATTTTCTCTTCATATTCTTTAATCTTTGTTGAAATCTTCCTCATGAATTCTGCTCGTTTGGTACCAGCTCCCACATATTGCTCAAAAAACTCCCAATCCAAAGGGTGCTCTAAACAGGTCTCCCATGATACAAGGGAAATTGGACATTTAAACTGACTAAGGAGAATGTAGGCTGCTTCAGGGTCAGCACCAAAGTTGAATTCTGCTGAAACCCAATGATTTCCTTTGCCATGAATGCATCCTCCTAGTATAAATACCTCTTTGACCTTTTTTGTAAATTCAGCATCAAAGTTAGAAGCCAAAGCAATGTTGGTCAAAGGGCCAAGAGCAATGATGACAATTTCGCCAGGGTTCTCATTCACAAGTTGGACTAAGGCCTGAGCAGCATGGGTTTGTTGAAGAAGACTCGTATCTGGGTCTTTAATATCAGTGGCATCTCCAAGGCCATCAAATCCATGGTATAATGGTTGCTCATAGGCGATTCCTAACGTTGAAACACATAGGTCATGTTTAATTAATTGTTTGTAGACAATAAATCTGGATGAATTGGAACAAGCGAGTGATGTTGCATATTAAAACAAAAGAGCCCCTTAATTCATTAATTACGTCAGCTATCCTCAAAACTTCCTTTACTGTTGCAATCTCGTAAAATTATGGGGCCCCATTTAGTTGGGAAGGGCATGCACTTTGAGATCCCAGATTGGAATGGAGATTTGCATTTCTCCGTAAAAACTAGAAAGGACAGATTCTCGTTATTCTATGAGTTTTAACGGATTTCCACGAAAATGCCTTAATATTTATCAAACTGAACATAACTGATCGTATTATGCCATAGGGTTGATTTTTTCTTTTGGTTTAAGTGAAAAATCGGAAAACCGTACCCATTGAGTTTTGAGTGACCTTCTCTAATTGCAGCTCCTCGTAGCTGCAGTGTCTGTCACGATATTCTTTCTTTCCTTGAATTACACTATTACCCTCATTCGATGACATTCAAAATAAACCAGGGAATTTGGTAAGAATCGGAATTAACCATACCTAGTAAAGATCTGTACGCCCCTTTGTACACTGGTATGTCGGTTCGCTCGCAGGCCTCAAGGACCTTTAGCACGTTCTTGGTAACTTGATCAACATTCACGTTGCCACATGTACAAGTGATGGCTAAGACGTCAACCTCTTGAGATAGCGCTATCATGATAGCTTGGGCATCATCAATACCAGCATCACAGTCAATTATAATCTTCATTTTCATGCTTTCTTACCAAAGGGAACCTTTCTTTTCTCAGAAGAGGAGCTTAAGAGACTGGGGCAAGGGTAGCCGCATGTGTTGAGGGTGGGTATGTCCCGTGGAACGGCCCCTAGACCTTCTTGTACTCTTCAGTCTTCATCGATTATTTGATGCTGCAATTTCATTTATTTTTAAAACCTGAAAAAGAAGGAAGTGTGCATAATTTTTGGGAACACCGTTAAAACCATTTTTTCGGTGTGGTCTTACCAAGACACTAGAGGCAAAGATTGTAAGGGGAGTGGGGTAAGTTGGAACGAGACACGTGCGAAACAAATATGGCGGCCGCCTGTAAGTCAAAATTGTTGAGTGGTTGTTTCCTCTATAGTTTCGGTTTGAAGGAACTGTTTGGTTACAAATCATAGAAAATTGTGAGAAACTCCCCACCGATAGCATTCAAGTCAATCGAATGATATTTTTACGATGTATTCACGTCCTTTGAGCTTGCAAATGACGCGCTGTTTGCGCGCAGCAACTGGTTACTCCAGGACACGAAGGACTCAGGTAAACCTGCAACGAATTTTCTTAAGGGAACAACCACTTCGCCCGTCTACTACGTTGTCTGAAGCAGAAAGAAAGGAAGATTCTAAAGAAAGCGACGAAGAACCAAAATCCTGGAGAGAAAATCCAGCCCTGAAATACTGGATTCTTGGCTCACTGGGAATCTCTGGCTCTGTTTATTACTACGTTTACAGAAATCACGAAAAGAAACGATTGCTAGTAAAGCATTTGCCATCAGCACCCAGTCATTTCGTACTTTCCCGTGAACGAGATCTCTCCGCGCTTTCTTCCCTTCATAGTCAGTTGAAGGGAAAGGAATCTTTAACTGTTCTCCATATTGTTGGCTGTCCTGGGTCTGGAAAAACAGAACTTGCTCGGGAATTTGCCGAGAAACTCTCCAGAGAGGAACAAGAAAAGTACACCTTTCTTCCAGGCAATCTCTTCTTTGGGACTTTAAATGGTACATCGGTAAAAAGCCTTCTTTTTGATGTGAAAAGGTTTGCAATTTCTGTTGGTTGTTTTGAGAGTGATTGGACATCAAAGGCAGGTGAAGGGGTTAATTTCTCCAGTCTGTCCAAGGAAGAGCAGTTAGACTACCTTGTTGATGCTGTTAGGGAAAAACTTAAAAACAGCCAAGGCTGGATTCTAATTTTGGAAAATGTTAAAGATAATGAAGCTATGTACCGCTGGTTTTCTGCAAATTCATCAAAAAATTGGGGTAATGGAACAGTTCTCCTCACAAGAGATGGCCATGTTGACAGTGATGTAATGATCAACAATACTTACAGTATTGATGAAGGGTAAGAGCATTTGCATGACTTTTCGCATACCATAGGAAAAAAATCATTTTAACACTTAAACTCCCAGAGGTGATTAACATACAACTTATCTCCATGATATCTATACATGGTCCAGCAAACAGATAATGAGAATACCCACACTTATCAGGTAGAAGTTGTTATCTTGACCTAACACCAAACTTGTTACTATTCTATAATAGAGGGGAGAATTATCAATCAGATCTTAGGATCAATCTAGATGGTTTATTTGCACACACTTTTTTAAAATATATTTTGGTAATGAGCAACTCTCTAAAGCAGTAGTACTTAAAATTTCCAAAACTAGGGGTTTTCGTAAAATTGTAAGTCTGCATGCTATTTCAGTCCCAAACAAATCTGACTGAATCACAACTGGCATTATGTCATTAGTGAGTACGGCAATGTGATCATTCTGTCTTAATCATTTTCTTTCTTTCTTTTAGATTGCCTATGGATGATGGGATTGAACTTCTTTCAAAGTTGAGTGGATTGGAAGGAAACAAGATGACTGCTGCAAAAGACATTGTAACAATTCTAAAGGGGATTCCTCTGGCTCTCACATGTGCTGGTCATTACATGCAATCAAAAGTGCTGAAAAATCCCAACTATTCCAGTTTAGACTTTTTAAGTGAGTTTAAATCAGAGCTTCAGAACTTCACTAAGGCTAATGGGGAGATGGCATTAAGCCCCACATATGTCATGGTTAGCATGGAAACAAAAAGCCTTGTGCAGGAAAACTCCCATCTTCTTCATGCTTTTGATTTTCTGGCAACCTGTACACCTAATTGGCCAATACCAGTGAGCCTCATTGCTCTACATCTAAGGTCACCAGATTTTAATCTACCCCCTGTGGAAGGCAGTGGACCTGCTCTGCCAAGCCAAAACCCCACTGAGGCTGAACAAGGGAATAGCTCAGAACAAGAGGTAGAAGAGATGTTCCTATCAATCAAGAAACTGGCCAAGAACTTGGAGAACTTTATAACAGCAGTAAAAGATAACATTGATGCTATCAAAGCCATGCTTAACCCTGTACTGCCTGATATGCCACAAATGTTGGACGGAAATGTGGAGATGTTAAAAGCTTGTCCATTAGTTTCTGTTAGAAGAATGGAGCCCATGGGTAAGAAAATTGTCTTTTTTTGTTGTTGCTCATTTAAAGTTGAAAGTGACAGATCTCACCTTTCTATGGTAAAATATCAGTTTTCTAGTTACATAACTTTAGTGTTCTCCTTTTCAGGCAGTAAGCAGTAAAATTTACCATCTGTAGTACCTCTTACTATGGCCTGATGTTGTCTAGATCTCTAAAAGATTCAACATGGAAATAAGCAAGAACACTCTGTCTTATGCACTGGTGATATATATATATATATATATATATATATATATATATATATAAGAGAGCTCCCACCTTTTTCACACCTAGGAGTGATCAATGTGTAAAAATTGCTTTGAAAATTGATACACCTTTAAGATTACAGGTAAAAAAAATGAGGCTCTTATTTGAGTGTTGCTTCTTTCAGTTCATTATATGACTAATTATCTTATTCATTTCTTACCAGGGGTGGAGACAGTAATAATTAGTCCTTTGGTGCACTCAGTGTTCCAGCAACTTTTCTTGTCCCGGACAATGGAGCAGCTTGAATCTGAGTATCTAGTGCAGGCGGAGGAGAAACACAACAAAAGCTCTTGGTTTCGTCGGCTGTGGAGTTTTGACGCTCAAAGATCACTACAAGAATATCGCAATTCCCTGGGTGAGGTCTCGCAAGAGGAAGCTGTAAATATGCATGAAAATTTGCCTGATAGCGAGCTCCTTGCCCATCGCTCCGGGCCCAATGTCAGTGGTTTGTTGCAGGAGAGTGAGTCAGAGATTACAGAACAATTCAGGAAGATAAAGACTGGTGATGCAGTCCGTCACTGTCAGCAGCACACGGCGCGTATTTTGAAAACTATCAATGGAGTAGCCTCCGTCTGCGGCCAAGACAATCAAACACGAACTCTCGCTAGACTCCTCAAGCCGCACCTCGACCACATTTTAGCCGCTGGCACTTCCAAGAGTCTGGGACCCAAAAGTCGTGCCCATGCCATTTCAGCCGTAGCCGCCATTGACACTTCCTTTGGCAATTTAGAGTCCAGTAAGGGACTTTTAGAAGATGTTCTGGCTATTGAAACACAACTGTATGGCGACTCTAGCCTGGAGGTAGCGTCTACTTTGACGCGTTTGGCAGATGTGTGCAGTTCTCTGGACGACGCACAGCGGTGTAGAGAGCTTCTTGAGAGAGCGATTCAAATTTACGAGTCGCAGCGAAGGAAATTCGGGGAATACAAACAGCCTCTTGAATACGCACGTACCCTATCAGCCCTTGGCGCTACCTATGGAGGATTAGGCTTCAAGGAACGAAGTCGCGATTATATTGAGCGAGCCTTCTCTTTCATGCAGTCAGCAGCACCCATCAGCCCGGACGAAGTTGAAACGCGCCGGTTCACAAGCGACGTGGCCAGCACACTCACTGATTTGGGGCATGCATACCTTTCGTTAGGCGAAACGACGCAAGCACGGCGGTTCTTAGACATGGCTCTGAATGGACAAAAAAATATTCACGGCGATGAACATCCAGAAGTTGTGCGCACTTTGACAGTTCTTGGAATTGCTTATACCATGCAGGGAAACTGGACAGAAGCGAGAAAAATGAGGAAAGAAGCCGGAAAAACTCAGGCAAAACTTGATGCCAAGCCATTGATGTGAACATCCTGCTATGGGCAAATGAACACGGTGACGCCTCAAAGACGTATTACATGTTAAAAACAAAAATAATTGTTCATTTCTCCGTATTTGTGAGAGCGAACGATCTAATCAAAACTTGCGGTAAGAATCTTTTGTGGTGAAGTAAACGAGACGATCTCGAAGATTTGGTCCAAACCGTTAAAAAACTACGGAAGATCGAAAAGAGAACGTTTCACTTAGATAGGTTTGTTAATTTTGGACAAATGTTAAGATAATGAATTTGCCACGGTTTAATAATGAGGACATGCTTTTGACAAACTTTGAACTGACTTGGACGAGTTATCAAGTTCCAAAATTTACCCATCATTACCTTAGCTCTGGTGACTGTCATAACTCTGGAATTACAGAGTTTACGATTTTAAATAACATTTTTGATCATAGTCAGTGTAACAAAGTTTTGCACTGCCAATTTTTTTGCTTTTTAGACTACGAGCAGTCGCTGCTTTTCGGCGAGATCCTTCCCGGAGTCAAAAAAAAAAGGAAGGAATTAATAATAAGAAGAAGAGGAAGGGCGCACGTGAGGCGCCTCACCCCTCACCCCTCACCCTAAGAGTTTCGCGTGGCGAGCTTACATTAACTTTTTTCACCGTTTTTTTTTTGTTTTGTTTTTTTTGTTTTTTGTTTTTTGTTTTTTTTACTAAAGCATAGGACTTCGCCGAAAAGGAGTGACTGCTCGTACTCTGCGTTTTTTCGCTTGGGTTGTGTTGAGACTTCATACCTTGTAGGTGATGGTTAACTCTTTACGCCCTAACATCAGAGTGCATATTCTCTATACTACTCTGTATAGATATCAATCTAGACCTCTAGTTTGAGATCGTTTTCTTTTTTTCTTATTACTTTTTCCTCTGATTCGGTAGCCATGCTGAATGGAAAAATTAATTGTTAGACACTCGGGAATCAAAGGGGCTTAAAGAGGGTACTTCTGCTCGTTGTCATAACACTTATCAGGAAAAAAAGGGATAAAGTTGCAAAGAAACGACAAGAACTCAAAGAGAGAACTAGCAAGCTTCCCACATCGCGTGACCGTTGTGATTGATTGTATCTGATTAGATAAGAGGGTTTTATAGAGTGTTGTAGACCAATCACGGAGCAAAGAAAAGTGAAACCAATGCAATCTCGAGCTCAGATTGCTTTCGTCGCAATTAAAAGTAGCTCTGTATAAGATGAGAAATTTCGTGGTCTAGAGACTCGCATATCAAGCTGAAATATCGAATTCCCTTAGAAGGCCTTTCTAATCTTTTGGAATCTTCCGATGGCGCATTTTAGCTTTAGGTAATGATGTATTGGTAACAATGATACCTGTATTTGGCGCAATTGTTTGTCACAAGACGGTGCATGTATTTCGTGCATATGTTTAAGTCTGGGGATTTTCGTAACTGGAATAGCCTAATAAGGAAGATACCCCACAGTTTTTTTTCTTGATCCTCTTTTAGCCCCTGAAATAAACCTGAACAAATCATCGAGTTTCCCTGAAAGAAAGTTTCCGAATTCATTTGCATTTTAGGCTGCGCAAGATCTTTCGTGTGAAGGCTACCCAAGCTTTTCCATTTTACTTTTAAACGCATAACGTTTTGAATCGTATGTTTTGCACAATATTGAATACATAATAAAATCACCGCATTGGCAAATTCATCAAGCGCTTTATTTGTCTTATGGTACAGTGAGTAACTAAGTGTCGAGAAACTGTGTTTTGAGTGTGTATTTTCCAGATGCGAGATCCGAATATTCTGCGCCTGTTTTTCGCTTGCTTCCGCTCTTACTCCTCCTTTAACTCTCAACCGCATGGCCCCAGAGCATACAGTCTTTGTCATCTCCTTAGACTGGAGCGACTTTGTTAATTCTCCTTCGAAAAAACTTGCGAGATCTCCCGGTCGTGTGGTCATTTCTTTCTGTTGATGAAGTTTTGTGAGTGACAGAATCGGCAGAGGATGACCGCGGGCTCAAGCTTCCACGGCCGCTTGGACCGCTGTTGGAATCTTCGGTCGCATTTGGTCTCACCGTTTTCCTTATCTTCTCCATTAGCCGTCCACTTCTAGCGCCTGCCCCGTCTTCTCGATGCACATATTCCTTCCTCAGTTGCTTTATCTTTAAACTTTCATTGGCAAGCTGCTCCCTTGGTTTGAGTATCTTGGAATACATCCATTGCCACTGCGAGGGGCGGGGAGCGGGAAATGAAATTTGACGAGCTCTTCTAGGTGCTGATGATGCCAGATACTCTCTTGCCATGAAACTGTATCCATCATTATAATTTTTACCTTGCACTGAATGTCTCTCATTTCTCCAGTTTGTGCGACTTTCAACCGGTGCGATTGTAGAAGAATCCATATAATCGGTTTCTTGGCCCAATCCAGTTATTTCCATGTGTCTGGGAAAACATTTCTTCCCGCGGACCTCCAAGGTGCAGGATTCCTCTTGATGCTCGTGTGCATCACTTGTCGTATCACACTCGTCTTCTGATTGACTTGATAATGAATCTGATGACCATTCATCATCAGTGCAGGAGTAAGACTTAATTTCGATGGTTTCAACGCTGCATGACTCTACCGCCTCTGCGGTGTCAATGTCCTTCCTTAGCTCCCGCTGAGAATGGGATGAGCCCGTATTTGAAGGGCAGTTGAGATGGATCTCAACCACCGGTGTCTCTTCTATCTCCTCTTTAATTGTTTTCTCGACTCCAAGGTTCTTGCGATTTATGCAAATCATCGACTGTAAGTTTCCCATCGTGGCGCGATTTGATTCTCACCAATTGTGAAACTGTTTGCGTTTTTGCGTTCCTTTGTGACGCGAAGTCATGACGTGCTTTTGACTTTCCTGAGCGCGCACTCCCAGACAAATATGACGCAGCGGACAAATTTCCACCACGCGGATGGGCTCCTCTTTGGGAAAAACATGGTGGAGAAGTTGCAGACAGGTGTATGGAAATAACTTATGGCACCTTAGACCACGAACAGTCCCTCTGAAAAAAAAGAGTGATGTTAGCACGCCGCGCGGAACTCTAGGGGCTGAGGCACACGAAAAGTAGACTTCTGCGGAGTGCGCTAACATCATTTTTTTCCACTGAGTTTTCGGGCACGACGGACTTAAGCGAAACCTAGGGACTGCTCGCAGTCTAATGGTACTTAGGTTGGGTATTTCAGCGACAAGGGGCCCGCACAAACTAAATGAGCATTTTTATATATTGCTTTAGTGGAGATTTACTCGAGTCCAGCTTTATATTGCTTTCATAGGTTGTAATTGACACTTGGAAAACACATTTTTTATTTTTTTTATAAAATTTTACAAATTTTTAATTTTTCATAAAATGTTTAGAGAAGAAATAGTACCCACTTTTTCCGAGCTCATTTCCGCTCCCCGGCGCTTATATCCACGAAGCGTGAGCAAAGTGAAAGAAGAACAAGGAAGGAGCTATCTGCTGATAGATAAGGAGATGTTGAGAAGTGGATTACTCTGATTGCGAAACTGACGATATTTTCTTGGTTTCTGCCCTATTCATTGACCGTAACTCAGAAGGGCAAGTGACTCTTAAAAAAAAGTGACTCTCAAGTGGAGTCAACTACTGACATTTTGCGGTGGTTAAAATAAGTGTGCACGTTTCGAACAATTAAAATCACGAATAATTATTAAGTAGCCATGCATGAAATACTTTCAATGAAATAAAAAATTTCGGCTTCCTCTTTATTTAGCAATCGACTTTTTTGAAAAAAAAAATTGGGATTGACGTGCCTAAAGAGATTAGATTCATCCTACAACACTTTTTCTAGGGGTATACAATTTTTTCTCGATCATTTTGTAGTCCGATATTGCGAAACTTTACAAAGTAAATATCTTCCCGGAAGTTGTCGTTCTTGGCGCCGCAACGCGCCCATGCCCATATTTGGAAAGACTTAGTCAAACGTATTTCCGCTGCTTGGACCTCCTAGCTCAAGACAGCAGTTAACATACTCCGCAGTTCAGGACGATCGTAAACGATGTGGAAGATAATTGTGGTCACTGGTAAAATCCTTAACATAATTATAAACCATGCAGCGGGAAAATAAGTCGGATGAGTGGGTCAAACTTGTTTTGCGCCGATTTAGAGCTCAGGTGAGATTAGGTGTCCGACTCGTAACGGTTGTTTGAAAGTTTATGTTCAAAGCAAGCTTGGATCTCTATTGTGTTAATATTACTTGGTCGAAATATAGATTTCTGAACTTTATTTCTTGACATGATCACCTTTAGAGCATATAAATCTTGAAAATCGAAGTGTTTTCATTCATGAAGTGTCGTGTATTCCATTGATGCCAACAATACGTATAAGATTACTCATTATCCGCTCTGGAATTACACGCACCAGATATTGCTCACTTGATTGCATTATTTCCAGGGCGATGGAATTTTAACACACACTGAGGTTCAACTTGCCTTTTCTCCTATCGTTAAAATAATCTAGATAAAAGACGAGGGAATACTGTTAACTTATCGGATAATTGTCTGTGAATGCTCGCTTGAATATTCTCTCTGCGTATAATTTATTTGGAACCAGTTCGTTATATATCACCTTTGCATGCTTGACTGATTCTCTTTCTTTACTTATAAATGATTCACGAAATAATTCATTGAGGAGAATGACTTACTATGCGGCATTGCGTCATGCGACATAGTTGACAGCGAGATGGTATTTTGTGGTTTGCAGAAATTATATTGCAAATTGTCGTTTTGATGATAACATGATGTTACAACTACACGTAGTATGATTTCTTTTGTAACAATAATAGCCAAGTTTATTTGTAATCAAAAGTAATACCACAATTACAATCTGTATGTTTTTACAATTGATTCAGGAGTGTTTCTATTAAGTGGGCGTCTGTTTACCAATTCACCTGTCAATTTATGTACCCACGCATCATGATCAAATCAACCTCAGCTTTCTAAACTAAAACCTTTTCTCTCCTAAGATTGAGATATCGATTCTCTAAAATGTTTGCTATACATTTGTTATAATTTAAGATCAGAGAATTTGATATGAAATCAAAGATATTTGATGTAGTTGATATTTTCCTTACCTCTCCTTACCTATCAGCTTGAAAATGTATGGTCATTGTGAAGAGAAGTTTATTTTTGGTTACTCCTGGAAGTGTAAGAGTTAATCTCTGGTCAACTTACTTTTATTAACTTTTGCACAAACCATTCAGATGGAGATTTTATGGGCAAACTTTCCATGGCTGAACTTGGATACTTAAGAAAAAGAGTAGGGAAAGATTTCTGAATAACCCCAAACCTCTCTAAATATCTTTTTAATATAATTATAAAATTAATTATTTGGTAAAGGTAACAAAATTGGTGTTCTCAAGTTATTGTTAAATTTGGTTTTAAGAGAGGTGCACTTACTTTGATTTTCTTACTGATACTGCAATCTTTTTATATTACAGCTTCCATTTGAATCAACACGTTCTCAGAAAAATCATGAAAGTACAGAGCATATCAAGAACTGCATTATTAGCCTTAGTGAACACAACTTTAGTATGGTGGTGGCAGAACTTGCTGGCTTTATTAAAGAACCATCTAAGTTGGTGAGACTCAGTTTACTCTCTTTGGTAGCAGTTATTCTAGAGCAGTTTTCAATTGATTGTTGCAAAACCAAAACCAAAGTAATCAAAACTGTTAAAGGGCATGTAAACCCAAAAAACGTTCATTTTCTTTTCACATAGATGTTTAGTAAATATATCAAGTACACCAAAGGTGCCATTCGTTTTTTCTCAAAAGTCCATTTTCACTTTGAAAAAGCTCTTCCAAATTCGAAACATTCGCCATTTTGAATGGCGCCATCTTTCTTGTGACGTCACGGGTGGAACCTACAAAGTTTCGTTTAATAATCGCGTGAGACACGGAGTCTTTTCCACAGCCGTTGTTTGCCGGTCTCGTCACGATTTTTTTACTTACAGTTTGCTTCAATATACTCAGTTTTTTCATAATGGTAAAGCGTTGTGTCGTCCAGTTTTGTACTGATTCAAACAAAACCGAGCATACAACGCAAATATTTCCAAATGACACAAATTTGAAGCCACAATTTGTGAAACTTGTTCAAATGAAGATAGCCGATTTCGTCGAGCCGTTCGAACATTCTGTTGTTTGTAGCAGTCATTTTTCTTCCTGGTGTTGTACCGACAATTCAGGCCCTACCAGAAGCAAATTATTCAGAACTATAAACAGCTAGCTGTAGTACTGCATTATTAAATCAATGACAGAAACAACTCAAGCAAATCGATCTCAAAATGTAACGAAACAGATGAAAGGGAAAACATTTAGCTTACTCGTTTCCGGTGTGATTCTCTGTGCCTTACTGCTGCCTGTACGTGTAATAGGCCGTCTCTAGCACCCAGAAATCGAGGCAAATTGACTAAAAACCTGGATACTCAGTGATACAACTTATCTGGGTTTCAGACCCTCGCTCCTCTACTTTTTGCCACAATTGCCCGATTTCCGTACAACAAACTCTTTCACGAGTTGTCGGCATTGGTTGACAAGTTCCACACTCGCACCTTTGACAATTTTATACAAAACACCCTCGGAAACTCAGCGGATTTAAAAAATTTCTGTTGCATTCTTTTAGATTGTGCCCTTGCTTTATTGGATTTTCATATCAAATACAAATAAATCACACAGTAAATTAGATACCAGTCTGAGTTTCCGAGGAGGTTGCATCGCTGTCAACACTGTGTTCGTGCGGATCGCTTCGGTGAACCCTACGCAGCTCATATTGTTAAGGACGTGGCCCAGACTTTCCTAAAGATTCTAGACCATCCCCACCGCTGTCATATACTAAGCTTAGGGCATTCGAGTCGCTATCTTCTGAAAAACATCTTCGAACTACCGCTACTTACACGAGCTACCACACCAGTTCTGCTAGAGAATATGTGTTGCGCAATATTTTAGTTCCACCGCTTACGTCACGACTCTCGCTATTGTTTTTACCGGAAATGGAATTTCAGTTGAAAATGCCGATTTTCTCCTAAAATAAGTCGAATTGGACAAAACGAATTTCAGATTCGTTCTCTACGCCACTTTTTACATAGTATGAGAAAAACATGTATTTTTGGGTTTACATGCCCTTTAACCCTTTAACACACAAGATCTCATTAATAATTCTCCAAACTGTCTGCCAAATGATTTGCATTATTTTAGTTTGGAGAATTTGGTATTGGATCAATTAGTAATCCCATGATTGATATTTTTCTTTATTCTCATTACTTGTCTGCATGATATTGTATAGATATAGTAAGGGGAAATTTTGTCTTGGTCACTCACTAGAATTAAAGGGTTAATCAGAACAAAGGTTAACATTATCACAAACAAATGAGGACTCAAAGTTCAAACAGGTAATTTGCTTGAAGTGCAATAAAACATTAGTGAAGAAGTTGGGATTGATTTAAGTTTTGCATTTGATTGGTTAAGATTTTGGACCAATCACAGAGCAAAGTAGGGCAAAACTATAGTAATCCAGGGTCCATTTTGATATTCCATTGAATAACTGACTATTATACAGTTTCAACTTGTAGGTATGCATTTTGGAGCTAGCTGCATTGTGTATCTTGTAATCAGCAAAAAAAAATTTTCAGAATAAAAGAATAATTTTGTTTTGATTTTTAGTCCTCCCTATCAGCAGAGAAGATGACACTTGCATCACAATCCAATAGCATTACCATGGATACCATGTCTCAGTGTTTTGAGAAGGTAAATGAGTAAAGGGGGTAAATTTCTTAAGAAACTGTGGTGCTGCATTGGTGGGAGAGTATAACAGGGTAATTTAGTATTATCAACTGAGTTGATCATGTAAATTGGCCACCATTTCCAGCATCAGCTCTTTATCAGAGCAAAGGCTTTGACAAAGTGTTTAACACTCAAAACTTCAGCTTTGAAACTCTTTATGGTGGCCAATTTAAGTTATCAACTCAGTTTTGAAAAAAGAAGGCTGATATGATACTAAGTGCACTGAAGTGTCCATACTAAATGTAATTTTTTACTTTTAATGAATAACAATAATGATACTGTTAGTAAAAAATTATGTCTAAAGTATAAGTACTCTTGACTGATAAAGTGCTGCTTAATAATAAAATTGTTGAAATATCTGTCGTGGTGTTAAGGGGCTAATCCCTCTAATTATTAGTGCAAATGAGGTTTCATTCGTAAAAATTGTTATTGTTTTTTCAGAATCCAGAAAGATGTGCTGCACTACCTGATGAAATTTTGAATAAGCGTCTACTTCCAGCAATATGTGCGGTAAATTTATTTAATAATTAACTCTTTATACCCGGGCATCAATTTGTATGTTTTCCATACTGCTCCTTCCATATTCCCATCAGTCATGATATACTTTTTTAACTGTCAACATTCTGTATTTTTTTTTTTGTTTGTTTTAGTTCATAACACAGTCTTATGGATTCCCTCTGGAAGCTGAACAGAAAATTCTAGCTGGTAAAGTACTCTCCCACATCAGTGTGCACCACTTCTCTGCCCTCTTTAATCGCATTGCAATCAGGTAAAATTAATACAAATAAGTGAATCTAATGAAATTATTTCTTGTTACTTATATGCTTGGTTATGCTTGAAGCTGTGTATATATGCTTCATAATGTCATGACAGCAAATTTTTTGTCACAGGAAAAAAAATGGTATACTGCCATTGTGGCAACAACAGAGTCACAAAAATTTCTTTGATGTTCAAAACTAAGGAAATTATAGTGGAGTTTCATGAATCTATTTAACAATATTGTGTCATCTTTTTGTAATACTTTTGTTCAAAATAGCTTGTTCCTGCATTTGTTACTTTTTTAGCATTCCACAGATGTCGTCTTTGTCTCGTTCTGTAAGAGTGCAATAAAATGACTTTGCATATCCTGCCATGTGATCCCACATCTGTTCAATAATGCATAACGATCATTGCTTAGTATTGAAATCCTTAAACTGTACAATGCTGAATAGAAAGTTAGCCAAAAGTTGTAACGTTATGCATTGTAGTCTTATTGACATGTTATGATGTCTTAGTAATCTGTCACAGTGATAAAGAGACAAAAGGCTTCATGTTATGTCAGAAAGAAACTGCTTTTTGATAACTCATTGCCAAGAACGTATGTGTGCACATCTTAGTACACTGTCTGATACATTTTCTGTACAATATTGGAATTTATCTTATTGTAAATCCTTTCTTTGTTTTGAATTAAGTTGATGCTGAAGTACATGTATATGTTGTTTCCTATAGACTCCATGTGCTTGCCAACACTGAAGATAATTCTGATACTGGTGAACTGGAATTGATTCGACATTTACATGTGAATGTGTCTTCTCTTAAAATTCTGTTGCAAGGTACAATTTTTGATATGATTTAAATGTACATGTATTTGAAAACATGATCTTTAGAGAGTTTTGTCTGTGTCACTGTTGTAAATCTGCCAACTTGTTCTTGGTCTAATTTGCCTTTTCAGAAAGCAATCAGGTATTCAGATCCTTGAAGAAGATTGGTCAGCTAGCTTTAGTCTCTGGATTGGAAAAGGTAGGTGTATTTCTATTATGGAGGAAAGACATTTAAATGAGATTAGAATTTTTCTTAATGCCTTAATTGAGATGGTTAAATTTCTTTTTCTAGGCAATATGGAATTGGGTTGAGAACAGTCCAGATGAATTTGCACAGCTACAGAGAGAACCATCACCAGAACTTTCAGGTGAATTTCATTTCTGTTAGAAAACTTCTACCTGAAAAAGGAATGTGAAAAGTGTTATTCATATTTGCCCATTGAGGGCAATGATTGTACCTATGATTTGTGTCTATGAATTCTCTTTCCCTTTTTTGGTTGCATTCAAACTTCTTGTTCATAATTCTATTCTTTTTTAACTACTATCTCAAGGTTTTCTGACATCTTTTTATATTGCCTGCATGGGCAATCAAATTTCGCACTCTCAAACTTGAGGCAAATATTTGTAGTATCCAAAACTATACAAATTATCTGCACAAGGTGTGAATCAGGGTTACCATTTGCTGTGTTGCAAAATTTGGCATATGTGAATAAACAAAATAGTAGTGTGTACCACCAGTAATTGAAAGCTGTAAGTAAATGATTGGTAAAAAGATTGACCAAAGAATTGATAAATATTTTTTTGAATTTGTTGCAGAGTATGCAGAGAAGCTGTTTGACATGGTAGATAATTTTGCAGAGAGTTCAAAGAGAAAAGCTGCAGTGTGGCCCCTCCAAATTATGCTGCTTATTTTATGCCCAGTAAGACTTAACAGCAGTAAATATAGTTGTATCTTACAGTAACAGTTATTTTCAACAAATTTCTGGTAAGTGCATCATCCTTACCAGAGCCACACAGAAAAAAAAAACAAACTTTTTAAGGTTTTTCCTTTTAATATAAAATGCTCTACTTCCAAGGTGCAGATACAGTATTTTCTTGAAGGTTATAGAAAAAATTCAAAGAGTAGTAAAGCATGCTAAGACTTTTGCTTGTCACTTTAGTTGAAATACAGTCTTTTAAATGATAGCATTTGCCCTTCATGCAGATAATGATGGCAAAGTTTTCTTTTAACAGGACATGCTAGAACAAATAGCCACAAGTGAAAAAGTATTTGATGTCAGCAAAGCTAATAAGGTAGGTTCCATTACTCTCTGAGTCTCGAAAGACAAACTTTAGCTCTTTAACCTCATCAAATTTCTCTTTAGAATATCACCCCTGAATCAAAATTGAGGTCACAAGAATAAAGGAAATGATCATTACATTAAGGAAATCTTGGTTTTTTTAGTAAATTCTCCTTGTTAGCATCATAGGAAATGTCTAGAGAACAGTGTGGAGCGTATACATTGTACACACTGATGTCAGGTGTGAAGGATCAAAAGACTTTATACAGCCATGGCTTGTGAAGCACCCTGTTACAGTTGTCACTTCTTGCAACTTCAGCATCCTGCATACAAAATGTTAAGTTGGTGTTGTCGTTATATAAATGTAGTTCACATGATTCCCTGACTGTGAAAAAAATTTATCATCTAGACCTGGCTTGGGTTATTACTTTGTTGCAACAGCAAGGTACTTGTATTAGTTACTTTGAAATCGCAGTACCTCTCTCCACCTAATGAACTAAAAAACTGGAAACCTAGAGAAATGCTGGGTATAAACAGTAGAGGGACAGCATCTCATCTTGAAGGGGTTTCAATATCATTGCTGAATTTAATACAAAGCTTTTGGAGCCATGTTTCTCCTTCTTTTGTGCACAATTTTACCTGTCTAACACTCATACCAGCTGGGTCTCTTACCATCAGTTTGAATTAGCCATGACCATTTTGTTTTGTTTTGTTTTGTTTTGCTTTTTTATTTTGCGGTGTCATTAGAAAGAGTTTCTTGATCACCTGAAGAAGGCCTTGAATAGTACCAAACACCTGACAGAAAGTGCAGCAGTGGTGTGCGTGAAACTTTGCAAGGTTGCAACGTACATGAAGCCTGAAGATAACTCTGTCTTGTGCTTCCTTGTTGTCTCCATGCTCAATGAGTTGAAGGTACAGTATGAACTGTGTTTTCTTGCTGGGATGGTGGTTTGACTAATGGTTGTGTATTAACCCTTCTGAACACCCAGATCAAACTTGTAATTCTCCTTACTGTCAACCATACAATTCTTACAATTTTAGTTCAGAGAATTTAGTATTGGATCAATTGATTATTCCAAAATAGATATTTTTCTTTATTTTCATCACTTGCCTGGTTGATATTTTATTGATATTGTAGGGAGAAATTCTGTCTTGGTCACTCATGTGAGTTAAAGGGTTAAGTCCAAATTAAATTTTTATTCTGTGTGGAAGATGTTCAAATGTAAATTTAATTTGTGAGGTATTGGAAGGAAGGAAAATCAGAGATACTGGTAAAGAATTGTTAACTGGAAGAAGAATGGCAACAAACTCAAAGATAATGTTCAAGGGTAACTTGTGTAGTTCAAACTTATCGGAAAGGACTGTGTTTGAGCAACTGTGATTGTTTGAGATTTCTAGAGCCTCAGGAACCACAGAGACATTGAGTGGCAAGCTAGGCTACTGTGTAACTTAACACAAGTTGACTGAATGAAATGATTTATATGATCAGCATCTCATCATAAATCAATTTATCTTAAAGTTTGTAATCCAATTAAATGGCATATAGTTGAAAAATATTTATTTCTTGAATTTTTACATTTATTTCTCTGCAGGCATTACTTTTCAATGTGAGCAAGCCTTTTTCTGTAGGATCTGGTGGCTTTTTCACAACAGAGGAACTAATGGTTGATTGTTTTGTGTCAAGTTTCCGCATCAATTACAGAAACAACCAGCACTTTGATATCTGCCTACAGCCAAACTCTCCCATTATTTTCCATCTTGTCTATGTGAAAGGAACATATGCTATTGTTAAAGAGGTAAACAAATCCTTTCAAATAACCATGTCAAGAGTGCATTGGATAGTCAGCTATAAATACAGATATCAGTGGTGAGACTCGTCAAGCTATCAAACAGTTAAACAGCCAATACAAAACTTCTTCAAACTTGGCCTGAGATTTTTTCTGACAGTTGACAGTTTCAATAACTGGTAGACATCTTTCTCAAACATGATGGTGTTGTCATGAGGTGTTAATGAATACATGTAGCATTGATATAGTTGAAAGTTATTTCCACTCTCAATTAATTTATGAGAGAAATGTTTTGACTTTGTGGTAAGGCTAACCCAGAGGAACTGTCCCAAGTGTTTTGACCCTTCACTCCTGCTCCTTTTAGACCTGTGGGGTTTTTTAGTACTCGTCTGACACTAAAATTCTTGCAACATCAAGGACACATATTACTGGTCAACCAGCGGTTACTTTTTGTGTAACCTAGAATGGAGCAGAAAGGGGTGTGCTTGGGTTGGGTCAAAATAATTTTAAGACCCTTCAGCCAAAAGTTCCTGGATCTGCCTCAGCTTTGGGCACACATTGTATCACAATGAAAATCTTGTGACCTCTTGATAACATCTCACATTTACATTGTACATAACTGCGTCAAATTCTCTCAATCTCCCATATGTTTAGGTGACGATTTGAAAACAAAGAAAAAGTCTTCTATCGCTTGGAATGAATGATATTCTAATTACCAGTTTGTGACATTTATATAGGCTCCTTTGAGATGGTGGCCAAAAGCTGAAGTGCTTCATCCAAAAGCTTCAGCACTAAGACATATTTTCTTGGTATGTTAAGTTGTAATCCTGTCATTTGTTTGTCTTTCTGATTTTTCTTGATATCCAATGATACATAAAGATCTTTTGGCTAAATCAGTTGTGATAAATAAGAGTTCCACTGTGTAGTATGATCACAGAACAGCTGGAGCAGCTGGAGCTTGGGCTACCTGTGGTATAATAGGAACATTCTCTGACTGTGTTCTGTAATGTGATTTTTAAAAATATTAAGGATCCATTACAAGGATTCATAATGAACAAGGGTTTGTGATACTTATCTTTATGCATGGAAGACAGAAGACTACCTGTCTAAAAAATCTGTGTACATGGGAGCATATTTGCTTAACATTGGGTTCAATTCTGTGTTTTTTTATCTTTTCAGAATATTTGTAACAAGGTTCAAAATGGTGAACAAGAGGGACAACAGTCAAGATTGAGTCAGGTGAATATAAAAGAACTTAACCCTTTAACTCCCAGAAGGGATTAACTAGTAATTTCTTCCAATGATATCTAAACATTATCCAGCAAACAGGTCTTGAGAATATTCAAACTTATCAGGTTGAAGTTGTTGTCTCAATCTGACACCAAACTCTGGTAACTTATTTACAAGGAAATGCATAGCACCTAGAGGAGAGAATTAACAATCAGATCTTGGGTGTTAAAGGGTTAATTCATTAATCAGTCAGTCAATCAGACAGACAGAGAGATAGACAACTGGTCACCAGGGGTGTAGGTGGAATTCTTTTGTAAAGATTATGGGGTGGGGGCTGAACTAGTATCATGCTACCACTTGGGTTATGAGCAGACATTTTATAATGGCACTCAGATATTAGTATAAATTTTTTTTTAATAAAGAGAGTGGGCCACATGGATCCTAAACCCTGCTAAACCACATCCTTGGCCAGACTATTGGCAAAACAGTTAATTGACAGAGTGACAAACAGTGTGACAAACATACAAACAGGTGCCATTTGTTTGAATGGTGGATAGTGCTATCCACCAGATAAATCTCCAACTGGTGGATTGTGCAGTACACCTTCTCAACATTTATCTGCGGGATAGTGATTTATCTGTTGGATAGGGTTATCTGCCCTTTTAACAACTGGGCTTAGATGGGTAGACAAACAAACTGTAAAACAGACAGATGGGCAAACAAATAGCATTCAGCACTTAATGTCTTGAAAAACATGAGGGTTTTGACAAAGTTAGTTTTGTGTTCTAGATCTATAAAGTAAAAGACAAGAAACACAAAGAAGATGAAGTGCATTCCAACAAGAAGCATGACAAAGAGTTATTACTATGGCTGGTGAAAATTTTTCATGCAGATCCTGTGTTTGCTTTTAATGTAAGTTTAATGTTTTGAAGTTGCCTGTTCTGGCAAGGTAAAAAGCAAAAATTGAACTCATTTACTATATTTGACTCCACGTGAACAGAATCCTGATCTTCATGGCTGGGAGATCCAAAAGAATTCAACTCAAGTTATAATGGGTGTGGTCAATTTGATGTTAACACCTTCCCTATCTGCAGAAATAAGAAATGAGGCAGCTGAGGTATTCTTTCATTAGTTTGAAGCTTTTCCATTTGCTGTCTGTGCTTATCTAGCTATCCATTACTGTGACAAACTCCTTTTAATTTCCTATATTTTGTACACTCAGATACTTACTTGTGAAATTTGCACTTTTTTTTTCTTTCAGACTCTTCTCTGTTTCTTTGAATCTGATCACATAGAGATGTGGAATCCTGTAGCACCTATTGCTTCATTTTGGGAAATTAGGTAAGAAAAGACACAAAACTGCACAGGATACCTTCACTTGTGTCTGCTTAACTAATTAAGGCACTTTTCCTGTTGCTCAAATTTTCGTTAGATCATAGCAATAAATTTGTGCTGGTTTCTGCTTTTTTCAGAATGTGGTATGAATTAATTAAGTATAATTTGAGATCAATCACTCAGTCCTGTGTTATAACTTTTACTGCCCTTTCTGTTTCCTCTTGTAGTTCACAAGTAATGGTGTCCATTGCTGAGTTTCTCATTGGTCATGGCAGCCATGGAACTGTTTTACTGAGATACTTAAGGGATCTAACCATGTGTAAAATTGAGTTTTTAAGGAAACACCAGGTTGGTTGAGCTCTGATTATATTTCATCATATAGTGATTTAGAAATAGAGGATAATTTTATTAAGTTTCATGAAGCCTTAACCAAAATAATGCAAAGAAAAACAAAAGAAAATGGAGCAAGGAGGTAAAAAAATTTGCACACATGTGTACTGTACAAATTAAAATTACAAAATTAGCTTATTTTCAAATAAGTTGCACACAAATTTTTTTAATTGTTACAGGAGCAAGCTTCCATAGGATGCCACTTGCCAATATGTACAGTTTCTCAAACTAAACTTGAGGTAGGTATTCCTCTTTTGGATAGATGGCCAAAGAAAAAATGAGAAGGAATTGTTTGCCAGTTAGAGAGGAGAATTAACAATCAGATCTTGGGAGTTAAATGGAAATTTTTATAATTTCTTCTCTTTTTTCAGGAAGTATTCCTAAGTTACTTATGGAATCCAGATATGGAAACTGTGTTGATTTCCCTTTCTTGTTTTGGACAAATGTGCAATGAAGTGGACATTGTACAAAGTTCAGAGACCCTAAATGTTCTGCAGACTTCTCAAAACTTAAATGTGTACAATGAGTTGTCACAGGAGGCTACCAAATTTAGAGCTGGTGAGTTATGCTTAAGACCATAAATATAGAAAATCAGTGGTGCTTTAAATGGAAGAGTGTACAGAATAAAGCCTCAGGGTTGTCATTAGAAATCTAATATAAGCATGATCTGATCTGAGTTGGCAGCTGGATTGAATTGTGCTTGCATTGCAAATGTGGCACATTGCTACATGCCATACTCAGCTACACCACTTCTTGAGGGTTCAGAAAAATTTGAAAATTGAAACTCTCTGAGATGTGATTTTCAGCATTCTGGGACATATTTTTGTCACTTTTTCTAGTCAGACATTGAGGTTAGAATCAATTCAGTGAGAATACTTTTTTTTCTTTCTTCGATCATAATTTGCAAAGTAGCTGGCTCAAAATAGGCTGATGTTTGGCAACTTTCCACCTCCAACCTGCTTCTAATGACAGCCTAAAATGCAACTTAAACTTCTCCCTGTACAATGGACATTTCAGAGGGAGGTTCTTGGGGGTCAGAATCCTCCCCTAAGACAAGACCAATTTTTCTCCTCCACTGGTCTTACACCAAAACTCTTGCAACAAAAAGATGGTAGAATGCTACACAACACAGCTGGCTGAATTTTCCTTCTAACTTGGAGTTAAAGGGGAGAGGGGAGGTGTAGGTTGGTCAAAAAATAATGTGGGACCCCCTATCAAAAATTATAGGACAATAGGTGGAATTTTCATCTAAAATTTTTTTGAAAATTTGATGCAGTGGAAAAATGGCAAGTTGATGAAAGGTTAGGTGAGGCCATAACCTGTGATGGACTAAAGCAGTTTTTTTTGTTATTATGTCTAAGCTTAATCTGTTGTTTTTCAGGAAGAGCAGCACTGCAAAAACGGATCATGGCTTTATTACGGCAACTTGATAGCCAAACTGCAGGGAATTTTCAGGTACTGTTCAACTTGGTGAATTTCTATGCCTTTTGAATTCAGGCAAAAAACTGAATCACAATTCCCAGTTTGATGGATAATTCAAATTTTGTTTCATTTCATTCACAGGCCTGGGAAAGTACTTACACAAAATGGCAAAAGCTAACCTTTGACCTTGTCAACTTTGGTAAAGATGATTCTCCATCAATAGATGTACAGAAATATCTTAGGCGGAGATCACATGCCAAGATCACGACTGACAACTTGCAGGTACATTTGTATACTTTTAACTTTTTAGCTGCCATTAGAGACCAAGACAGAATTTCTCCTTTTAATATTAATACAATATCAAGTAGACTGTTGTTAGTAATTCTGAAAAATATAAATTAGGGATTGTTAATAGATGCAGCAGCAAATTTTCTGAACTAACTTTATTAGAATTGTAAGGCAGATAGTAAGGAGAATTACTAATGAGATCTTGGGAGTGAAAGGGTCAACAGAAATTTATGAATTGTTTATGTACATTAACGAGTATAGGTTTCAATGACTTGAGTTGACTTCATGTTGTTGGTAGCAGCTGAGAATTGTGAAAGTTTGTCTGGTACTACTGACATTTCAAAATTAATCCAAAAATTTTCAGATGGTGATTTTCAAATGTTGTAGTTAGTGTTATACCAAGCGTAACATGTGCTTCCCTTCCCTCATCCTGGATCTTTGTAAGCCTGTCTGTAGCCATTAAGGTAGCAATAGATAGGCACAAAATCTCTATGGAAAACACGCAGCACAAATTTATTGCGGGGAGTGAATACTTTGTAAAGAACACAAGATTTTAAAGATATGTTTTCATTGGTTTGTTGCAAATGGTTGTATTTTCTATTACCTTGAACAGTTTAAGGAAAGAGAAAGAGAGTTTTGGCAAGGGCTTTTTAATGGTAATTTGTTACTTTATGTGTATTTAATCTCTAGACATCATTCATTGAATGGACATTCATGACAGGATTTCTCTGTTCACTTGGGGGAGTGTGTTTGACTTCACTACAACCAATAAGGTATTGTATTGTTACCAGTAATTTTAAGTTTGCAAGTGAGCCAAGTGGCCTGCAATGCGTCAGCTTTTTCTGGTCTTTGTAGCACAAAGGGACTTTAACAAATGGACAGTGGTCTGTACTCTTATCAATAATGATATCTGTCATCACAGTTACTAAAATATTGTGGGTGCAGCCAAGTGACTCTGCAACAAATTTTGACCACTGTGATGATGAATATTGTTGTTGACAATAGTACTGACTATGCTTAACCACTGCTGATATCTAGTTTTACCTTAATATTAATGTGAAATAAAATGATTCTTTCAGTGTGTGACCAAGATAAAGGCATTGTGTCACATGTGGATGCAAGCAGCAGCATCTGTACTCTTATCGACAATGAAAAATTTGTCAATCCCCCCCCATCCCTCCCCCCCCCATATTAATTGTCAAATGGTAATTTTCCCATCTGCATTACAGAAGATACAGCAGAAGTCTTCCTTCATCAGTTCACTCCAAGGCTGAATCAACTGATACAGAATGTGCTACAGTAACTAAGTAAGTTATCATTTTATATGTCATTTTGAGTTAAAGGAGAATAATGAAATGATGCTTGCAGTTGAACTGCAATGACAGAAATAACAGAAAAGAAAGCCTGAAAATTCCTCTTTCATGTATTGTATGCAGGTCTTAATATGTTTGTTTGAGGTCATTGTTGACCTCATGGGCTGATTTGCAGCCTATTGATAAAGTGGCATTCACTGACCTTTGGCCTTGTTCTAAAAATATTTTTTTAGTTTTAGAGGTGATAAAAAAGAGGAGGTTCAGTGAGTTCAATTTTTATTTGTCTTTAGGTTTATGCAGGATGTGTTGAGTCTCCTGGTTTGCAGTAATGATAAAACTGGTTTACAGGTTGGTGTGAAACTTGAGATTATTGTATGAATTGGATACCATTAGATACAATTAAGTTTTGTAAATTAGGTTAATGAGGAACCAAGTTTACAGGTGGGAGTTTTATTCAATTTTATGATTTGGGCTGTGAAATCTAGTTAAGTGGGTTGAAGTTTCCTTTGAGCATATAGATTCATTTAAAGGTTTGTTGTACCAGCTTAGTTACAGACATGCAAGTAGTGTGATATGTTTGTGGCTCTGCTCAATTCTTTAAATTGAGGTGGGAATATTTAATGATATGTTGCAGTCAGTGAATTTTTTCACTTGTATATTCTCTAGTTGGTGTTCACATTATGGAAATGACTCTATTTTTAAAAGGGTCTCCATGAGGTTAACGGTTAGACATAAAAATTAACAAATTTTTTAACTGCTAGCTGTAGAAAAAGTTAACTGTAAAAAAATTCTCAGGTGACAACAATGGAAAGCTATTAACCCTTCAACTCCCAAGATATCATTTGTAATTCTCCTTACCGTCAGCCAAATGATGAGGAGAAATTCTGTCTTTGTCATTCATGGGAGTTAAAGGGTTAACTGTTAGCCCTAAATTAGCCAAAATTTTAACTATTAGTCGTAAAAGTCATCACATTATGGAGACTCTCTTTTGACGTATCCTTTTAGTTAACTAATAGCGTACAGTATCTTAAATCACACTATTTGGTATTGATTAGGCTTTTTTATGTTGACTTCAGATACGTAGTACAGTCAATGAGCTGGTTGGAGTGGAGCTTAGTCCAAAGCTTTATCCCATTTTACTGACGCAGATCATGACAGTAGTTAACAGCTTCTTCACACCATCTGGGCAGGTTAGTCCTTTGCTATCATTGTTGAAGGTGACTAGTGAAAGATGATTAGTGCAGTGGAAAAAATATCCAGTATCCCAAGGTTTGTTTGTGACATGTATCCTGTGTGCTGTTAGCGTCACTTATGTGGAAAGTGCAATGTGAGTTTAAGTTAGGAAAGATTGTCAGTTTTGAGCTTGGTAGTGGCATGAAGAAAGATGTTATACTTGGGAACTTAACATCGAGCTTTCTGTAGTTCACTGACAATTTTCAGAGGATGTAATTCGAAGATCTGAGATTTCAATTTCTCATGGAAACTCAATTATTTCTTTATTCCAAGCTGGTGACAGGTCAAATAACGTCCTTTTGTGGAAAATATTACTACAACTAATATGAAAAGTAGCTCCACGATGTTCTTGACCACAAGACTATCTTCTTTTGGCAAGCTACAAGTGTTTGCCTTCAATCCTCATTCAAATGCACTCTGGGGTATTGCTCTGTACAAAAAAAAAAAATACAGATGATTTCTGCAAATAGTGAAGGATCATGTCATAAATATTGTACATTTATTTATTTACTGGTTTCACATGAATTGTAATTATCTAATAATGCAAGCTTGTTTCCATGTCAGGTGGTGGTTCAAGAGAAACACACGCTTTTTATAGCACAGGTATGTGCAACTGATTTGCATAACTTCCAATTTTGGAAGGTTTCACTTTGTTTAGAAGAATTGGTTTTTGTTTGTTGACCTGTCAGTCCAAAGCGATGGAGAACTTTTTGCAAGTGCTGTAATTGTGCAAATCATCATGCAAACTTAGTAGATTTCACTTTGTTTAGAAGAATTGGTTTTTGGGTGTTGATCTGTCGGTCCAAAGCTATGAAGAACTTTTTGCAAGTGCTGTAATCGTGCAAATCATTATACATATTGAGAAGGTGTCACTTTTTTCTAAAAGAATTGGTTTTTGTTTGCTGATCTGTCAGTCCAAAGCTGAGAACTTTCTGCAAGTGCTGTAATCATGCCAATCATTATGCTCACTTAAAATGCATTTAGAGTTTTGAGAAGCTTAAAAGATGAACCAATGATTTTACTGTCACTTTCTTTCCAACTCATTACTCTCGTTCTTCTTTGGAACGGTTTACTCGACGACTTAGTCTTGTTTTTTTCCTCAATATTACCAGATCATTGTAATAATCAAGCACATCCTGGAAAATAAACTTGGACACAAGGATTGTTTTCAGATGAGTGGCATTGATGCTATGATCCTGTCATTTGTAAGGTCAGTTTCAAAATTGTTGTCGCCTTGTTGTTCAAAGAAATTTTTTAAGAGAAGGTGAACTTTCATGCGACATGTGAGTCTCAGTAAGTCAGTTTGTCTTGAGTTAGTAGATAACTACCAGGGGTAGTGATACTGGATAGATTTACTACTACCTTTCTTAATCACGAGCCTTTGGTGAATGCAATTTTAAAGTAAGAGAAGGTTTACTTTTCAGCCACAGGTATCACGCGTAAGTATGTAATTACCTGGGTGCCCCCCCCCTTCCGCCACCTAAGGTTATTCCCCACTCCCTTCCGCTAAATCTGCCATTTGAGGAGTAATGTGTGATCTTGTCGTTGCAAGAATGTTGTCAGACCAGCAGTAAAAAATCTCACTGGTCTGATGGGGCGGGGGCAATCCGTGGGACCCTCCTTCTGGATCTTCCAATACCTCTACGTGTAAGAGACATGGTGGCCTGGTGGCCTGGTAATGAGTGTGCTGGAGTCGGGGGGGGGGGAAGGAATGGTGGTAACTAGGCGATGGACTTGCATCCTGCAAAGAAAGGGGGAACAAGACTCGTGGTGGCTAAATGCTACTGAAACCAAGAAAAAGTCTGACAGGATGGGCTTGGCACATAAGATGACTTAGCATTGTCCTCTCCATGTCGTTGATTTTCAGATATGTGAGGAACCTTCCTGTCAGTCATCAGGCCCTGCAGATAAAGTGTAAACTCTGCCAGCTGATTGATGTGGTTGGTATTTTTGCTATGAGTGAATCCACTTTTCTCAAAAACCACCGTGATACGAAATGGAAATGACTGGATGAAATATGACAGTACCCAAAGCTGTAAGAAGCAGTGAATACTTAATTGTTTGTTGTTGCTTTTGATGGCAGATTATGGCAAAGAGAGACGAATTATTACTTCATCAAGAAGTGAAGCTACGGAACAAGCTTGTGGAATACCTCACTGATTGGGTTCTACCATCTGCTGAACATCATCAGAGTATCCCTCTAGAGCTCTCGGGTTTATCCAAGTAAGTTCTATCGTTGCCGAGCTTTCCAGGCTCCCGAAGTGCTGTTTTGATGAAAATGCGCGTTTCCTTTCATCGCAGCCCAAAAATTTCGCAATGGTCTGTTTTTGTGGCTTCCCTCATCTAGCCATGTTTTCAGATTTATTTGTCATATTTTAAGTCGTTGAAACACCGAGCTCTAGGAGCTAGATTTGTTACCATCTACACATCGGACGACTCCAACGCTTTTCTTGTGCTCTCCAGGCCTCCCGCATGTCTTCCATACTTTGATATACGTTCGGTTATCACACTGGTGCACAAGGGGATATATTGCTTTTGTCACAAATGCTGAAAGTTAAGGCACCAATAAGGCTCAAAACAAAGATTGTTTCTGTTGGAATTGTGACGTCTTCATTGCGATACAATTGTCGACGCAAAATTTGCAAGCTATAAATTTATTATTAATATTATCAGGCCTTGTTCTGTACTGACTCCTTACCTGACTCTCATATGTTCAAGATGGATGCATTCTTTATTCACGTATCAATCACATGAAATTTGGTTTTGCAGAGATCTTGATGCTACTGTGATGCGTGCAATAGCATCACTCCTGTCCGGGTTACCCCTGCAACCTGAGGGGATGGAGACAGACATTATGGAGGCCAAGTCACAACTTTTTCTCAAGTAAGAATTACGAATTGGAAAAAAAAACCAGTATGTGATTTCTATGTTTTAAAACGCTTACAAATCAACTGCATGAACGCATTCGTGCATTCATATTTTTGCCAACTGATGGAATTATCTAGTATTCTTCTCTCATAAACTTTTGCTGAGGTCGATTGTTCCACGCTATTTTAGAATGTGGAAATTGGGCTATTATTCCTGACAATATCACCAAGCCGAAATCAATTTATAACAGGGAAGGATCAGAGTCCAAGAAGGCTGACTTCTTTCTACAGTTTCTGATTTTCTTGATACGATTCCCTAGTATCGTACCAAACCTATCTTTCTGTGCAAATCAACAATGCAATTTAAAAGTGTACCTGTTCTTGTGTGAACCGATGTATTAAAATTTCTCTTGATAGAAGAGAGTTGGTGGGACGTGACGAGCCTTAATTCGCTCGACAACCGATTTTTATTGGAGTTTTCGCCTAGCTACTTCATGTCGTTGAGAAAAATTTGGGAAAGCCTACAGAGAGTCCTTTGTCAGCTTTTAGCTTTAAGAAACGACATAGACGGTTTCTCGTTTATTAATTATATATTTTGATTTAGGTACTTCACTCTATTTATGAACTTGATGAACGGGGAGAAAGGTGCAAAAACTACAGATGAGCAAGAAGAAAAAGGTGAAATGCATCATAATGCATCCCAAACATTGCATCAAAATGCCGTCCTAGCTATGTCCAACCTTCTGAATGCGAACATCGATACTGGGCTTATGTATGCAATAGGTAAGTGAAATCAACGTTTTAGACCGTAACATCAGTAACACATGTTCATGGGAAGGTAGACGGAAGGGGAATTGAGTTATTTGCTGTTACTACATTTTTCAGGTCTTGGTTACCATGATGATTTACAGACAAGAGCTGTATTTATGGAGGTCCTCACCAAGATTCTACAACAGGTTTGTTCTGAATAATTTTTGTGATTTAGATCTTGCCTCAATATCCAATTCATTTCAGAAGTGAGTTTTACTTTTGATTGACCTATTCAGTTACTATTCCTCAGGGCACTGAATTTGACAATTTGGCAGACACGGTGTTAATGGACAGATTTGATAGACTAGTGGACTTGTTGACGCTGACAGGAGAGAAGGGGAAACTTCCGATTGTGATGGCTTTGGCCAATGTAGTACCATCACAGCAGATGGTAACCTTTTTTTTTCTTTTCGAAAACTTTATAGAATCCCTAAGTTTATTCACTCCCTGGATATCAATCCAGAATGGTTTTAGGCAAGTTCAGTCATGCAACGGTGTTAAGTCTTATAAAGTAATCAAATCGGTTAATCTATTGATTTCCAGTAGTGAGCGACATAGAACATCCCCTTTACAACACCAATGCGTTATTAGGCAGGTAGATTGTGAGAATTACGAAAATGATGGGATGTTTGTCATGGTACTAAGCCACAAACTTTCATGACCAACCTATAGTACATGGAAATGTGAAGTTTTTAGAATGAAGAATGACAAAGTAAAAGTTGTGTTATGAAGTATAAATTAACAGTAAATAGTTTCCGTGTTCTGGTTGCGTCATGTATCTTTTTGTAAGCCAGTCTCCATCGGAGGACGCCTCATATAAGCTTATTTTGTTGTTATGTGGTAGTAACCGTGGAAAGCGGCAAAATTGAATAAGTCGTTAAGATTTCCCTCTTTTGTAATTTTAGGATGAGCTGGCCCATGTCCTGGTCACTCTGTTTGATGACAGAAAGAATCTGCCTCAGCTGCTGAATAACGTATTTTCTATGGAGGTACGTACCACGTACTAGGTTTGTTTAGTTAATTTTAGAACATTTGATAATGAATTTACTAAGTCACCAAAGGTTTAGTAGATTGATGCAAACGTCAACTACTGAGGTTTTAACCCTTTCCACCCTCACATCAGTATACATTTTCCCCATACTGTTCTCTATACATTTCCTATGGTACTGACAAAGAGAATTTGTTTAACAATCAAGAGCTGCTTTAGTTGGTGATCATTTCCTTTATTCTCATGACCTCAATGTTTGTTTTAGGTGCGATCCTGATGGGAGAAAATAGTTACTAATCACTCTTAGGGGTTAAAGGGTTAAGAAAACTAGTCAGAGTAGTCTCAGTTTTCTCGAACACGTCGTCTTAACCCTTTAACTCCCTGATCAAATTTGTCTTTCTCCTTATTGTCAACCATACAATTCTTATAATGTTAGGTCAGAGAATTTAGTATTGGATCAACTAATTCTCCCCAAATTGACATTTTTCTTTATTCTCATCACTTATCTGGTTGATATTGTATTGAAATTAAAAGGAGAAATTCTTTCTTGGTCACTTATGGGAGTTAAAGGGTTAAATTCTTTTTCAACCTCAAGCAGTGAAAAAGACCATTTTAAAGCATATCCTAAGACCAAACTATCACATTTTGTAAAAGTTGTAAGACTTAATTGTGTAGGTTAAAATAAACGAACTAAACCATCTTTTAAACAGGGTAATATGTTATTATGAACTGAGTTGATAGCGTCAATTGGCAATGGCGAAGAGTTTAAAGTCTGACGTTTCGAGCGCTGACGAAGGGCTAACGCTCGAAATGTCAGCTTTTAAACTCTTTACGGTGGCCAATTTACGTCGTTATCAACTCAGTTGATAATACCAAATTACCTTGTTACACTTCCCCACCGACGCAGCACCACAGTTTCTTTAAAAACTTACCCCTTTTATTCATCTTTTGAACAGGTTTACAGCACGGAGGGAATGCAGACGCTCTTTAGAGGAAACAGTCTTTCCAGTAAAACCATGGCATACTGTTTCAAAGTATTTGGTGGCAGTTACCTTCACACACTACTTGCACCGCTGATAGCTCCTATGTACAAAGAACATGTCTCATTTGAAGTGGATCCTACAAGGTTGGTTTACAATAGAATTGTGATCTCTTTGTGTGCGGCTTTTTGGCAAATTCGTTGCAAATGAACGTGAAATTCACCTCCGGTGAAAACCTGGCGTAACTCGTCCTGGAGTAGTCTTGGTGACTATGAGCAGAGGTCTCAATTGTTTATTAACCAGTGATTTACTTGCTTCTCTTCCGTTTAAGGACAATTCATTTAGTTTCTGTCTTTCTTTTAAAAGTGTAAATGACACTGATGTGGTTTCTGAAGCATAATTCTCTTTTAAAGTAAGATCAAGCGCCTGAGAATCAGTGAGGGCTTGTGTTTCTTATCACAGATCCTAAATTATGCGTATTTCTGTTTTCTCAATTAAGGCTGGAAAAAGGTCAAAATGTCGAAGAGAACAGAAATAACCTGATTAAGGCCGCTCAAAAGTTCATCAACGAGATTGTAATTTCAGCTGAAAGGTAAATCGGGATTAGTGTTCAGCACAGTTCAGGCACTCTGTAGCTTTGTTGTGGTGATTTCATTTGAAATGCGTTTCTAACTGGTTCAACTTGATGTTTGCATGAATGTCTTTGAGACTTTATACTCAAAGTTTGAAATGTGGCTTTAGTACTGAACCCACTTTATTTTTCTGTCTGTGTATTAGTTTTCCTATTCAGCTACGGCGTCTGTGTAACAGTCTTAGAGAGGTATGTGTGTAACACTTAAATATTACGTCTTACTATAGATAAACACCAATGAAATACCAAGTGAGCTTTCGTGCGAAAACGTGATATCGTCACACGTAAAAAGATCACTGTTGTTATGGATACATATTAAAATCGCGCCTTTCGAAATGTTTAGTGTTTCCGCTTGGAGATACGACATTTCTCTTCTCGCGGAATAAGAAATTTCGTATATCCGTGCGGTCAAGTAATATCATCTATTTAAAAAGAGTTTTGGAGTTTTTCTTTCCTTTCCAACTAAAGAAGCTCTTGATTGTTAAACGGCAAGTTCTCCTTGTCTACATCCTAGGAAATAAATACTATGATCTGATATAAGGATTTAAAAGATTGATAGATGATCGATGAACTTTATTTGTCGTTTGAAACATTCAAACTCACCGTAGTGGTGTTTTCTGACGTTAGTTAAAATTTTTATGATTCTTTGAATCAACTGACCATTCACTGCAAATATATTTATTTTGGTTACAGATTGTTCACCAGAGATTCCCAAAGCACAGTTTAGAAGCAGTGGGGAGTGCCTTCTTTCTGAGATTCATTAACCCAGCAATAAGTACGTCTGCTTTGTTATTTAACCTACGCAGGGCATGTATTAAAATTTGAAAGCTCTACCTTCGTTCCATTGTGTGACCGAATGGTGTATTTTAGTCCCCTTCCACTTCTGTTCTTTGGAAAAAAATTCTTCGTTAGGATTAGAATGAACCTCCTGGTGATTACCTACACATATTTTTATCTTTTAGCTTCACCCCACGCCACAGGGATCGTCGACCAGATTCCTCCAGAGGAGCTAAGGAGAGGACTGATGTTGTTGTCTAAGGTAAGGGGATGGCTCTCGAGAAACATAGTTGGTCGGTCAGTCCGTCCGTCCGTCCGTCAGTAGTCAGTCACGCAGTCAGTCCATTAACTAGTCTGTGTTGTCAACCGATTGGTCTGTCACTCTCAATCCATCAGTCAGTAAATCTTGTCAATCAATCAGTCAATTGATCATCGAGTCAGTTCTTCAGTCAGTCAGTCAGTCAGTCAGTCAGTCAACCAGTCAATCATTAACTCCGTCTGCCAGAAAGTCAGCTGTCTACCAGTCAGGCTACCAGTGAGTCTATCTCGTGCGTCAATCAGTCGATTCTTCTGCCAGTCAATTCGTCTGTCTAATAGTCCATCGTTTTGTTCACCTGTAAGTCAGCTGACCCGTCCCTCTGTCAGACTTACAGGCAGCTTCTCAGAGTTATCTGATGACGATATGATCCTCTCTTCTAATTGCTTCCCATTTATGGTCTCTTTTTCAGATTCTTCAAAATTTAGCCAACCATGTCCTGTTTACAAAGGAGAAACACATGGAACCTTTTAACGGTTTTCTTCAAGCAAACTTTGACAAGGCAAGAAAGTAAGTCGGCAAACCTGACCCGTTTTCAGTTATCATTGCTTAATTGGGACCTTTTTTTGTTGGTTCCCAAGAACTGAGAACGGAAAGGGAGACCTCTCAACAGTTTCCTTTTTTTGGGGAGGAGAAGGGAAATTTGTGGAGAAAGAATTTCTATAAGTAAGCTCCAGATGTTGCTAAGGTATTGAAAATCATGAGATATGCTCACTCGGTGATGTCTACTTCTTGATGTGGAAAGAGTTAGGAAGAACTTTAAGTTGGCAAAGCACTGAAATTCTTTAAGTTTGAGGAATTTTTCCTCGGTGTGCGTGAATTGGGGAGTTTAAGAAAACCAGGACGGCAACGGAAACGAGAATGTCACTAATTAAAATGTTTAACGAGCAGAACAGTGGCTGTGCACGTTAAATTTCTTTGCGTCCTCTGCAAAACAACAACGTGAAATAAAACGTGAAATTGCGTTGTCTGGAGAACGTGAACGACGACAGCTAATTTTTTAAATTTCTACTTCTGTTTTAACGCTGTGTTCCATATTCAGTTTCGAAGATAGTTTTGACAGTGAGAAATAAACTAAATGACTTTAGAATATCGCGAGATTCGCAGGTAACATATAAGTTCCCCCTATTGGGGAGTTTAAGAAACGACGACGGCGACGCCGTGGACAACGTCGGTTAAAAGTGAACTTGTGCGCGTGCATAGACGTTGTTCTTCTCATTAAAACTGTGAAGCAGTGCACGTGCACAGCCATTGTTCCGCTCATTAAACCTTTTGTTTTGTGACGTTCCCGTTACCGTTGCCGTCGTGGTTTTCATAAACCCTAGGCTGTAACGAAGACAAGACCTGATGATAAGTTATATATTTTTGCGATAAATTTCAAGGGTGACCAAATCATCAACGAACTTGGCATTTACCACGCTCTATAAAAAGACAAAAACTGGACTTAAAAGCCGTGGGACATTTTGTATCATAAATAATCCGAAGCTTTTAGTGCCTTTTGATTAACTTGAAACTTTACGCTGAACTTCAAAATTATGAACTTGGCAAAGATGCCCCCAAAAAGACATATCATCAACTGTTACAGCAGCCCATTTTAAAACCTCCATTCTCAATAAGATTAGTAGTCTTGATATGATACTGTTTTGATTTTCAGATTTTTTAACGCCATTTCATCGAAGTGTCCTTCAAAGAGAGACGAGGATAGCACGAGTTATTCTTTTATTAGTGACAGTAGCGTGTTGAGTCTCCATAAACTCTTGTGGGATCACCAGGAAAAGATTGGAACTTATCTTGCTACAAAGAGGTTAGCAATGATCTACCTACATTCGCTCCGACGAAGGGCTAACGCTCGAAACGTCAGCTTTAAAACTCTTTTAAGGTAGCAAATTTACGTTATCAGCTCAGTTGATATTACTGCTATTGGTGTAGCAGCTAGAAGGGAGAATTAACAATCAGGTCTTGGGAGTTAAAGGGTTAAGCAGCAAATCCCTTTGTGTCTTACAGTGAATTCAAGACGTTTGGTAGAAGACCTTTTGAGAAAATGTCAACGCTACTGGCTCATCTTGGACCACCTGATCAGCAGAAAAATCATTTTTCACATCCGTAAGTTCAAACCTAATTTGAAGTATCTTAGTTTCAAGTAAGTTACCGGTGTTCTCCTTGTGAAAAATTGCTGGGCGTCAGCGTGAAAGTCGATAAACATTTGCATCCTGAGGGTGTACTCAGAGATTCATAAGCTTTTATCAAGACCTGTCAAGAAATTTATTGAAATTATGCCACTGGAATGAAAGTTTTAGACTCTCAATTGAAAAGCGCTTTGACGTCGGTGACTGAAGATGTTGTTTGCATTTTAATTGTTTATGCCCAGCGTGGACTAAAGTGTTTCTTTTTTTTGTGTGTGTTCCTTTTTGAAGGCGGTGGCAGGATGGAGCTCGTTTTGAAGAGTTTATGGCGCGTCATGCTGAAGAGAGCCGGGATGATTTACAAACCATGAAAAGTTTAAACGTGTTTTATCAAGTAGGTCCAGAATTTTTGTACAATAAATGTTTTTGTAATGACGGTACATGCTAACAAAATTTATGGAAACTCTATACGTGCGTTGCGATTTCAGTTCTAAACTGTACTATGTTATGCAGAAAATTTCCACTACTGAAGCAAGTAGTGCAAAGTCGTTCATCTTGCTTTCAAACTCGTTTAGAGGTGTTCCAAGTGTGGAAAATTGTGTCCAAATGTTATTCCAAGTAAGTTTTAGTTATTAAATTCTAGATTGTTCTAGACTGTGGCTAGATTCTGCTCAGCCTGTGATCAACTTGTACAACAACTTTGAAGGAAAAACTCGTTGTAGAATGTTTGATATGTTACAGATTGTGCAGCTGTCATTTAAGGTTTCAAGTAGTTTGTTTTAAACATAACACGTTTAGGTAAAGGCCAGTGTAATTTCTTTTTATTGAAGGGTGGCAAGTCAAAAAGTGGACATCCTGTGTTCTACTATATCGCCAGGCGATTCAGGTATTGTGCAAAGTTTTCTTTTTTTCCCAAAGCTTTTCAAGAGTGACATTTTAAAATCCCAGTAAAGGAATGCAGAGCGCATGCTTGGACGCTATGGTGTCCTTGATTTCTTCCCTTGAGTGGCTGTGAAGAAGACTAGACTTCATAATGAGTGACACTTTCATTCTGAATTTCAGAGGAGACCAAATCACTGATGAACTTCTCATATACCATGCCCTAATAACACTGGAAAGCTGCATCGAGAGACCCTGGGAACTGGTTGTTGACTTTACCCATACAACTTTAGAAAACAGGTTTAGTGTAAGTGGAAAGATTTATGTCCTTTTGCTGCCAAACGTAACATGGTAACAGATAACTTACTTGATTCTTTGATAAATTTTATGTTTTCATTTTTCGTTTTTTTTTTTCAACGAGCAGAGGTTGTGCAAAGTGAATAATGCCATAGGGTGTGTAAACTGGCTCAAGTGTTTTATTGTTACTAAAGTTCCAGCAAGAAGCTGTCTCTCCCAATTCTGCTCACTGCATTTTGTCACCAACTAGAACACTGTGTAGATTGAAACCTTTCATTTAGTAATTTTGATTCTCAAGTACGGAAGGAAAATCTCAGATTCTTCGAAGAAAATCTTTAGCACTCAAACTATTTATTACTGTGAAATATTTTGTTTCAGCCCTCCACAGTATTAAAGCTTTTAACAGTCGTACCAGATGGCGCTGTGAAGAATCTCCAAGCAACGTACTTGTATAACTGCAGTAGTTCACTGAGACAATATGCCAAGTACAACGAACGACACTTGTCTCCTTTGAAGGTAGTTATTTCTTGCTTTAACCCCTCGACTCAAAAGGGTGACTAGCATCTAATTTCTCCTTACAATATCACCCCCGAATCACACGTTAAGATCACGAGAATAAAGAAATACTTGAGAAAAATAGGTAAAAATAAAGCACAAAATATATAAGATAATATTTCAAATATATGAAGATCCTAATAATTGATGTATCAGACTATGAAAAGTATATAAAATAAAAATGATCGGCAATCAAATTTATAGGCAGGAGTGAAAAAATACACAGTTTAAAATCAGTATGACTTAATCTCCCACGAAGTTCGGAGATTGACTTGCTTGTTTGATTGAGTTATTCGAGTTATTCCAGTAATAAGAGACATTGTGCCTGTACACGTGTGTGCTATTAATATCCTTGTTTCAAGAACACATTCAACTCGTTGATGCATTGCATTTGGGGAGCTGTTTAGTACTCCTGCTATAGGTTTAAAATAGGTGATTGCTTTCTTATAAGACGCATTGCAAAATTGATATATCTTATATCTCATATGATGTGCTGTGCACTGTAATGAGTTGCTAGCTGTACCTGAACCTGTAGTGTGTCACTAAGCGTCTATAAAGCTACATTTTTGGTCGTTCATGTGCATATGTTGTGACGTTCATCTATTTTCTCACAGGGACGCTCTATAGTTCGAGTTTGTGAGTCTCTAAGTAAACTACACGAGTATATTAGTTCAAGTGAACTTAAGTTACCAAGTTCCACTGTGTCCCTCGAGGAAGACTTAAAGGTAAGCATTTATTGTGCACCGTTTGTCGCTATCTTCGATTGAGTATCAACGCAATACAGGATTGCTTTGGTCTCACTTTACTTCGCTCTATGTTTGGGCGAGAAAACTCGCGCCATCTTCTCATCCAATCAGATACCAAACTGAAACCAACTACGACTTGGTCACCTGCGTTTTCCCGCGCTTTAGCAGGTCGTTTGTTTTACTTGTTGATTGGCCGTTGTGCTAACCTTTGGCTCTATTATTACAAAGCTTTTTTGACATACGCTACATTGTGCTCGACGTTCACAAAATTTGTGGTTTTCTTGTACAGGTTTTTCATGCTTTCAGGGTGTCGAGCAGGAGCAATGTTTTGGTCAAGGTAATAACTTTCTGTGTTATGTGCAATTGGAGAACTCATAATAACCATTTACTGATCATTTATCAAATTTATTTTGTCGCGTGTTAAGGTTGGCCCCACATCAGTGCAGATCACCACTCCAGAGAGACACAGAGTGTTAGGTTATTCAAGCATCCTTAATGATGTATATTATGCCTCAGAAGTTAAGGGGGTAAGTTGGATCAATGGGAATGTCGGGCCAAGAAAGTACACTTTGAATGAAAGCGATCTTCGCAGATGAACACTACTTTAGGAGTAGTGAAAATAATTCAGGCCTGTACCTGTTCTTGCTGAGTGACAGAAGTGATAACTTTTTCATAATTGAACTTTCACTTCTATTCCTTTATTAGGCCACTGTGGAGGATGAGAACCTGTGTCTATTAAAGCTGGCCAATGTTGGTCCAGGGATTCTTCTGATGAGTAATGACAGTGAGCAGATTGTTCAAGCTGTTACACACGTTAAGACCAGATGGCAGCTCTCACAACCCGTATGTACCACGCTCTATGATTGTTTTATAAAGTGCGCGCCAAAATTTCAACCAATCAGATGCAGAACTCAAATAAATCGGGACTTGGTCACTCACTTTTTCCCGCGCTCCCGGTAGCTCGAGCTCCAATTGGCTGCCGTCATAATTTTCTTTGTCCTGATTAGCTGTGGTGATTACTTTGGTCTTTATCTCACGACAACGAATTAAAAAACGTTCTATAAACTGTGAGTTTGCCTTCTTTTCCTGTAATCCTAATATCATCTCTGCAGGTAACCAGGTAACCAGCAGAAAATTTCTTTACCACGGCTAAAGGGGTTATTTTCATTATCGTTACAAATGACTTCGAGCGGGCAGTGTGATATTCAGTGCGTTATAAACGTCCTATTACACCTCTTTGTTGTTGTCGATGTTTTTCAGTACATTGTGATTATTTCTGTTTACTTTTTCTAGGACTCATCCACAACTACAAGTAAGAAGATCAAGCCCAAAGATGTCCCAGGAACACTACTGAACATGGTAAGACATTATGTAGTACTGAATATTAAAGCAATCTTCACTGTCATTGATTATGTACAACCGTTGAGAAATTTGAAAAAGTTTACATGTGCTTTTGTTCTCTCTTATGTCTGTTTACTCCATATCACGAGACATTCACAGTTGCTGTAGAAGTTGACTTTGAGATAAAGTTGGTTATCTTTTTTCGATTGTAGGCTTTGTTGAATCTTGGTACATCAGATCCCAGTCTTCGCCTGGCTGCCTACAATCTTTTGTGTTCTGTGACAAAGTCGTTCAACTTGAAAATTGAGGAAAGACTTCTGGAAGGAACAGGTAACGTCAGTATGCATATTTTCCATATTGTTCTCTATACATTTCCTTAAGTACTCTCAAGGGGAATTTGTTCAATAATCAAAAGCTCCTTGAGTTGGTGATCATTTCCTTTATTCTCATGACCATAATGTTCGATTTAGAGGTGATATTATAAAGAGAAATTAGATGCTAGTCACTCTTAGGTGTCAAAGGATTAAGGTGTTTGCTTATTCGAACTACACCCAAAAAGAACCGTTGTTGATGTTTTTCATCAACCAAGTGAACTTCGTCAAAAGAAAATGCTGACAGTTATGTTATGGTACAGAATAAATGCTGAGACAAAAACATCGATCGAAACTATGGTTACGTCAAGAACTTTTACATCGAAATTTTTCGATGTACCAAGTGTCAACATCATTTTATCTCTCAGGTCTGTGCATCCCTGCAAACAACACGCTGTTCATTGTTGGAATCAGTGAAAAACTTGCTGCTAGAGAACCACAACTGACTCTTGAGGTTAGGGAAGGAGTTTATTGAAGCCGCTTGCTAATATAGCTGTTTATCATTGTTTGTTTTTCGTTCATCAAACCAGTTTTTTCCTCTCTTGTCTTCCACCCTTACAGTTCCTGGAAGAATGCATTGCGGGTTTTGTGAAGTCAGATTATGAGTTGAAACATTTGTGTCTGGAATACATGGCACCATGGTTACCAAACCTTGCAAGGTTTGTTAATGTGAGAGTAGCGTCAAACCAAATAGTAAATAAAGCACGGGAGACCTTCCTTGTTGGAATAAATGTCTAATTAAGTATTTTGTGCACAATGATCCAAGCACCTTACTGTGCAGCTGTTGATTTTCGATTTTCTTGTAATGAGGGTAATCAAGTTTCTTGGAAACAGAGCTATTATCAAATTGTTTCTAAGCGAATTCGTTTTAACTTTGGCCCGGTAATTTTTCTGAATGCTATTGCTATGCATTTCTTATTGTTTTACCGCGATAAGGCGGCAAAAAAAATTAAGCTTGGTTCGTGGGGTTACGTGCATTACTGATGACTGACCTTGCGAACGAGTCGTCATAAAAACTTGGTAATGTTTTCAGACTTCGAAGCCTTTCTACCTATTTATTTCTTTTCAGATTTTGTCGGTTCCCGGCGGATGATCCTCAGAAAGTGAAAATGACCCGTATCCTTGAAGAACTCATAAATCTAACGGTGAAAGAAAAAGGAGTAAGTAGTGTCACAGTATTAGAAATGTTGTACTTGCGAAAAGTCTCCTTCACCAGTAGTGTCCGTGAGTCTGTTCAGTAATAGATCACACTTGATGTCAAATTTGGTAAGAATAAAAAAGCGGCACTGACACTGCACCAAGTGTCGACATCTACTGTGATCTATTACAGTACAGATCCAAAGCAAAATGGAATGTCTTTTATATGATTAAAAGAACAAAATATTGGTAATGGTGACGTCATCTATGCGTTTGTCCTTCAATAGATCATAGGTAGTAACCAATCAAAAGCGTTTATAATTCAGCTTATCATATAAAATCCTTCTACTTTTGTAACGTCGTTAATAGAAGAAATAAAAAAATCTCAAACTTTTGCCTGAAACGCGAGTACTGAATCTAAACACCAATCCCGAGTTCCAAGAAACCTCACTTTCAAAACGAGGCTGAATACCAGACCTTTTTTTCTTTGTTCTTGTGAAAATGATTTTTTTTTTGCACGAGAATAACAAAACATTTTCATATCAAAGATTGTGCACTTGCGCTTGTTTCGAAAGAAGGGCTTTAGGCATTTTGGAAATGGCTTCTTGTATATACTGTCAGGTTTTCAACGTTTTTCTGTAACTTGTCGAGGGTGAGTTACTTTGAGATTTATTATTGCCAGCATGACTTCCATAGTTTGGTAACTTTGATGAGGGAATTTCGATGTTTTGAGAAAATAGGCCTGACTCATTAGCCGAGTCATTTTTTAACTTAAGGTGTCCCCTTAATTCTGTATATCTGGTAGCGTGGCCGAGTGGTCTAAGGCGCTGGTTTAAGGCACCAGTCATTTCGATGGCGTGGGTTCGAATCCCACCGCTGCCAATGTAGTGTCCTTTTGAACTTTGTTTTGTGGATCAATCACGTATATATACAATCGTTGAGTACTACCGACATTCAATATATAGTTACTCTAACAAAGCTGTTACATCTTTGTTGTAGACAATGTATCCTTCCGTTCAAGCGACAATTTGGGGAAATGTGGGTAAAGTGACCGAGTTACTGGATACAGTCCTTGACTGCTTCATCAAGGTATTTTCGCTTGTTTCTTGTTGCTTATGTCTCCCTCTTTCTTTTCAATTTTATGAATATGGGATTGCTAGGTATACGTTCTTGACAGACTCCAATGGTTCTCGAAGCGAATTAACGTCTCATGACTAGAGTTAACTCGTTATGGTTCGCGAATCGAATGATAACGTCTCATGACTAGAGTTAAAACTCGTTAACATCTAGATCTCGAGGTTTTCGACGGATATTCAACGCGGGGCAGACATTTATGTTATTCATAAAAATGTCTCTTGAGTCTTTTTTGTTGTGACTAACGGTCCTGCCCATAAAAACGTTGGGTGTTCTTAAACCTTTATTCTCGGGAACCTGCCATAAAATGTTGTTCATAATAATTGTGAATACTAACCGCATTTGCAAGGCATAAAATAGTGGAACCAACTGAAAGAAAACTGTCAAGGAACCACAATTTCTTCTAATAATTCACTTTTGGTCGACTTCAATTTGCAGTCAGCCGACGTCTCACTGCATTTTTTTTTTTTTTTGGGGGGGGGGGTGGGGACGGGGTGGGCAAGGGAATCTAGATCAATGTCCGGTCGAGCAACTGCGTACCTACCCCTCCCTTGACCCAACGACAGTCAACTAATAGCGAGTTAGGATTAATGTTGGGTAAGGGGAGGGGTAGGTGCGCAGTTTCTCAGATACTGAACTTGATCCAGAAATATACATGATACTTTGAATTTCCTGTCCAATTGTTTCAAGAGTACATGGTCCCAACATCTCTTCATTTTGTCCATCTTATTGGATGTGTCATAATGATTTTGTATCTTTCAGGCCAGTGCTACAGGAGGCCTGGGTTCTGTAAAGGCAGAAGTTATGGCAGACACTGCAGTGGCTTTGGCGTCAGCTAATGTTCAAATTGTGTCACGCAAGGTCATTGGGAGGCTCGACTCGGTAATGCCTTCTCTTTTGGGTACTAGTTAGGGTCCTTGTGATCTGTAAACTCGACGTAAAAGTCTATCAGCATTTGCTTGAACTGGCTTGCTAGACCGTCCTATCCGGAAAAAGAACGGGGCTAGTTTTGAGAACTGACAGAAATCGTTTTGTCTATTCTGGTAGAATTTTTCTCCTACTCTAGTCCCAAGAGTAGGACGAGTCAGTTTTCACGCGGAATACTCTAGGAGAAGAGATTTGATTTCCAAATATAACAGATAGGACGAAAGCCAGTTTGCAATCTGCTAGTCACTGAGAACGCGCGTGACAGCGCAACGCGCGGGTGCGTTCACATAAAGTGGACTTCCGCTTTCGTTTACATCGCTAAGAACTAGTTCTTTTTGTTCGACCAGACTGTATGAATGGAAAGATACCTTGATGATAATTTTAGGAGCATTTTATTATTGATCGGAGTTTCTCTCCAAAAGACTGAAAGTATCGGGTTTCCTCTAACGTGTTATTTCCACATCTTTTGTTCTCAGCTTATCAGCAAGACCTTTATTTCTCCGACTGTCCGTCTTGAACAACATCTTATGTGGGACGACATTGCTATCCTTACAAGATATCTGCTTATGCTTTCATTTAACGACTGTCTGGACGGTAGGGAGCTTCTTTTGATAAAAAAAAACAGCTTGCCTTACCCTCCTTAGGGCAATTTTCAATTGAATTTGCAAAGCAATCCAGAATTACATTGGTTTCACTTTACTTCGTAATGTGATTGGTCCAGAAAACAAAGTTGAAAAGGAAACGAAAAGGGAGTATGTCTCTAAATAAACTGTGGTGCTCTGTCGGTGGGAGAGTAAAACGGGGTAATGAAGTATCATCAACGAGTTGATTGTGTAAATTGGCCACCGTAAAGAGTTTCAAAGCTGACGTTTCGAGCGTTAGCCTTACTTCCTTTCCCTTGGTACAAAATGAAACTCCGCTGGCAGCGGTGGGATTCGAACCCACGCCATCGAAATGACTGGTGCCTTAAACCAGCGCCTTAGACCGCTCGGCCACGCTACCATTTACACGCCATGTACGGAGACACCTTACTTTATCAACCAATCAGATGCAGAAACAGACCCAATCGTTTTGTGATTGTGCTTAAACAACGGGTGAACTCTGTGTAAACAACCGGCCCATGTTTAACTGTGATGATTACCCAGTTTGTTTGGTTTTACGCCCCTTGATGTTATCCACTCTCTAACACCCTCTTTGTTTATTTGTCTGTTTGTTTTGCTGACAGTTGCCAGTCATATTCCGTACTTGTTTCATCTCGTTACTCTTCTCGTCTCCACTGGTCCGCCAACCATCCGCGCCTCAATTCATGGCCTGGTCATTAACATTATCCAGTCTCTCTGTACGTGTTCCTGTATCAAGTTCAGTGGTGAGTACATAATACGCTATTCCGGCGAAATCCCCAGCATTTGATTTCACAATTGCTTAGACCAATTCGACGCAAAAATATGCTCGAATGTTTGCCCTCAGTTATTATTTGCTCATAACTTAGTTATAACCAAGAGAAAATGTTTTTCAGATTTTTTTTCTGCAATTTCATTAATCACAGCCCTATTTCGAAGATCAATTTCTTTCTTGTGTACCATTCTTAGTTGGTAGTAGTCCCTTTCTAATGAGGGCGCAGCTTCGAATCTCGTCGAAGCCTGAATTTTTTCATGCGTCTTTCGTGCAGCCAACCTGCTGGATGATTTCTGTACTTGTAGTCTCAGCTTAGGGGGTCATTTATGGTTAAGAAGGAGTGTACAAGCGTGGGCGCAAAATGAAGTTTAACGTGTTGTTATACCTCAACTATTTTCCTACAGAGCGCAGGAAAATATTTGCAAAAGCGTACCGTTTATTGCTTTGGATGTTAACTTTTCCCTGTTATTTGCACAACGCCACAAGACCGGAATTTTAACTCTTCTTCCATAAAAACTTACTGAACTTAATTAAAACGAAGAACATAGAGGAACGATTGGGTATTATCTCTTTTAGTGTACCATTCGAATATTCCACAGTGGCAGCTGGCACGTGGTGCATATAAACGAACTCAGTGCAGAGTGAGATATTGGATGAGATTTAAAACGTGATATTCCTCATCCCAAGTTAGTCCACTATCAGTTATTGAGCTTCTGTATGAATTTGTTTCCTTAGACGAAACTCATCGGCTTCTTCGCATGCGGTTGGCCGAGCTTTCGTCGCCCAAGTTTTATCTTCTTTTTGGTAAGTGAAACAAACACCTATCAGTGTGGTGTCACTCCCAGAAGAGACCAACATGTTACTCCCCTTAAGGATATCAATTCAAGAATTAGCAAACAGATGATGAGAATCCAGAATCTCATTGGCAATAAGAAAACCAGATTCTCCTGAAGTGAGCAGCAATTTGAGTACGAAATTGTCAATCAAATCTTTGGAGTCAAAGAGTTAGTTGATTCCTGTACTTCATCTTCTTCTTATTTTTCTCTTTTTAATTTTTTTTTTACTTTTTAAAAAACAAATCATTTCACCTTCAACTAAAGGCATCTCAAAAGTGAAGACACCAGCAGTCAGGGCTTTTAAAGCAACATACCAAGGCAGGTACACGCTGAGGGACTGGGAAGGAGAGCCCCTGAGCATGACCGCCATGGAGACTGTCACTGACCTCCTACTTGAAATAATGGAGGTAACTTATCGCTTTACTCCTTGTTTGCGGATTGAACCATGCTATAATTTAACAAGACAGTGGTTAGAAGTTTGCTGGAGTTTTTTCGTTAACGTGCGTGTTATGTGGAAAAAGATATGCCATGCAAGTTTTCGAGTAGTCTTGGACTCAATTAGAATATTACCCTATTTAAATATTATTTAAAACTAAAATTTAAGAAAAAGTTAGCCTAACTCTTGTCAGGTTTATTTGAGTTTGTAAATGATATTTCTTCAATAGTTCTCGGAATTTCCTTAGCTATGTCGCCGTTGTTTAAGTTCTGTTTCAACTCATAAGTGATGATTTTTTTATAAGAATACGCAACACACCTAACCCGTCAGACAAATAACTGCAAGCGTCAATTCTGATTCAAAATTGTTCAATTCGACTTTTCTTTGTCTCACAGAGTTGCATGAAGGATATGCCAGAATGCTCTTGGCTAAAGAAGTGGACAGAACTCGCTTCAAAGTAAGTTCAATTTTCGCTTATGCTGTTCCATTGGTGTGCTCAAGCGTTTTTTTCCAAATGGATATTAAAAAAAGTAAAGTTGTGGCAGCGGTGGGATTCGAACCCACGCCATCGAAATGACTGGTGCCTAAAACCAGCGCCTTAGACCACTCGGCCACGCTACCCCTCACATTAGATAAATCATTGTGAAACCAGTTTGTTCAGTTTCTTATCACACGTTTCCTACACCTTTATCTTGCAGGTTTGCGTTTGACTTCAACCCAGCACTTCAACCACGTTCTATTGTGGTTCTTGGTTGTATCAGCAAAGAAGCCAACGACATGCTTGTGCAGAAATTGTTACAAGTGTTGATCATGGTAAAAGCGTCTTCTCTTTTGCTATATGTACTGACTGAATTTTATTTTCTTTTTTTTTTTTTTTTTAGATATTTTATTTAAGAAGGGAAGCCCAATGACATGCTCCGCTGATATGTAACTTGTTCCCTCCACAGGCTCTAAGCTCATATAACGACCTCGTGTTGATAGAGGCGGCGTTCATGTGTCTCTCAAGACTTCAGGTGATTCTTTGTAAGGTGAGTTCAGTCATCTATAACAAGTCTTTTAAAGATTCTGGTAGAAATCTCACCGCCCCGAAAAGCGGAACTTATTTAAAGCCTTCAATTCGTAATTTTTGGCTGTCAGTCAGCTAGTCAGTCAGTCAGTGATATATTCAATCTGTTTTTGTGTCTGTCTTTTCTTTGTCTCTTTCACTTTCTGTCTGTATCTCAGCTAGTTAGTCTGCCAGCAGTCAAGATAATTTGGTTTTTATCAATTGGGTTGATGATGTAAATGGGCCGCCGGAAAGAGTTTCTGTAGCTGACGTCTCGATCGTTAGCCCTTGGTAACAGTGATTACATTACCAGCTTAGTTGATGAAACCAAATTAGCTAGCTATGCCCCCACTTACACAGTACCACAGTTTCTCTAGAAAGTTACTCCCTTGATTCATTTGTCAGTCAGTCAGGCAGTCACATTCAGTCTGTTATATTATCTGTGATCTGTTTGTCTCTCACACACTTTGTCTGTCCGTCTGTCCTTTTGTCTGTCTGTCAGTTAGTCAGTCATTCAGTCTATTTGTTGTTAGGTCTTCTGTTAGATTCTCACTCTCTGCCTCTCTGCCTATCTGATAATACCAGTCTGTCTGTTTTTGTGACATTTTTGTGACGCGCTAGCAAATGTATCTTATCGTTTTCAGGACTCCATGTTCCACAAGGCATTTTTCTGGATTGCTATAGCTGTGCTTCAGGTAAAGGCACTGAACACTTTTTTGTAACCTTTGAGATCTTTATAGCCCGTGCGTAATGCTTTGGTATTAATCTTTCATTTCAGTTGTCTGAAGTGTCTCTATATCCTTGTGGTTTGGCGCTTTTGGAGCAGAGCCTTATAACAATGGAAACACATGGTGCCTTTGAATCAGAGGTTCGTGAAAAATGTAGGAAATTACAGTGAGTCTGCCGCTAGAGACTTCTCTTCTTTATATCCATTCTTGGAACAAAATAGATGCTATTTTTTTAAGTAGCTGTATAAAAGTTTTAAAGCTGACGTTTCGAGCGTTAGCCCTTCTTCCTTTACCCTGGTACAAAAGGAAACTTTGTTGGCAGCGGTGGGATTCGAACCCACGCCATCGAAATGACTGGTGCCTTAAACCAGCGCCTTAGACCACTCGGCCACGCTACCATTCACGTGTAACGTTAGGGAGACACTTTAGGATAAAAAGTAACTTGACTAAAATTTTGTCTCTATTTTCTTTCTTCTTCAGTCTGTGGACAAAGTTCTGATGGCGGTACGCGAGGAACCTCTGTTAGAGTTTCACTGTAAGCAAATGGACCATTTTGTGGGTCTTCACTTTTCAAACAATTTCCACTTTGCGCTGATGATACACCTCGTGAAAGGTATGGAACTGTTTCTCTAGTTACAACTTTTATGTCTTGTTGGCTGTTTTGATTTGCTTTGGTGTCGGTAGGGAGGGAGCTTTTATATATACCAGGATAAGTAATATGAGGCAAAAGAGGGAAACACAACGAATGTAGTAACACGTGCGCTTTGCTTTACAGTTACTGGACAGTTGAAATAGTCTTGATCCACCAAAACTTATGTCCTTTTTTTTTTTTTTTTTTTTTTTTTTTTTTTTTTTTTTCCTTAGGAGTATATCATCCCCAGGCCACCTCTTCTGCGCGTGCCATTCGCATCCTGAACTTGATGTATAACATCGCAAGCAAACGTAAAACAGGGTAGGTATGGAGTGGATATGATTATCTGCAACTGATTGGTGAAAACAAAATGGGAGTGCACTAGTTTTTTCTTCCTTTGCTCTGTGATTGGTCTAAGGAAATGTGCCACCCTTTCAACCAATCAGATGCATCATGGTCACGTGTGTTTTCCTGCATGCTCATATTCTGCATGATTGATGGTACATATACATTTCTTATGGTACTGAAAAGAAGAATTTGTACAACAATCAACAGCTTCTCCAGTAGGTGATCATTTCCTTTTTTTCTCATGACCTCAAAGTTAGATCCATCAGTGATACTGTAGGAAGACACTATATTCTACTCACTCTAAGGGGCTAAAGTATTAGATGATCATTTCCTTCCTTCTAATGACCTCAAATTTTGATCCACCAGCAATACTGTAAGGAGAAATTATATGCTACTCACTCTTAGCGGCTTAAAGGTCCGTAGCTTTTCTCTGTAAATTGTAATGTGGCATGTCAATGTAGTCTATTGAAATAACGTTAGATAAAAGGAATGAAAGGGGTATGTTTCTAGAAAAATGGGGTGCAGCGTTGGTGGGAGAGTATAACAGGGTAATGTAGTATTATCAACCGAGTTGATTACGTAAATTGGCCAACGTAAAGAGTTTCGAGCGTCAGCGTTAGACGTTTCGCTCTGACCGTAGATAGAGTGGATACGGTAGCGTGGCCGAGCGGTCTAAGGCGCTGGTTTAAGGCACCAGTCATTTCGATGGCGTGGGTTCGAATCCCACCGCTGCCAACGAAGTTTCGTTTTGTACCAGGGTAAAGGAAGAACGCTCGAAACGTCAGCTTTCAAACTCTTTACGGTGGCTAATTTACGTTTTCAACTCAGTTGATAATACTAATATCCTATTACGCTAGATACAGTCAACTCAAGGAAACTGATAAAATTTTAATTTCTTTGCAGTCGTGGTTCTTTTATTGTCAACAAAGAAAATCTGGCATATTTGGCTGGTAAGTGTGGAGAGCGTTGTGGCACTGCGTGACTTACTAAGTTATTAATTATCTGAATTTCTGGAATTTCTGATCATGTGATTACAAAGAGCCGTTTTACCCGACGCGGGCTTTCTTGGGCATCGCTGTGACAAGGTTAGGAGGTTTTTACGCGATAACAAATCTCTTGTTGATTCAACTTGCGAATCTTCAGTGTCTCTGGGAAACATGACCAAATATTCCGCGACACGATTGAAAAGAAGCTTCTTACTCATGACAGCGATGTGTTTTTTTTTAAGTTCGTCTTTGCATACCATTTTCATCTACTTCATTACCTGTCATCCTTGTCCTTCATGGCTTATCCTTGCCTCCTTTGTTTTTTCCTGTCGTACCGAACTAATATTTTGTAGTCCCCTTCAAGCTGAAGTTAGTTTTGCTATGTGCAAACGTTGTGTTGCAAAAAGTTTGTGAAGTTCGAAAGACGTGAAAACTCGGTAGTATTTATGTTCTTTTGAAGTAAAACCTTTATCATCAGCATCTCAATTCTCTTGCAAAAGTTGTAGTAATTTAAGATCCAGTAAAACCTTTATAGTAATTAATTATGATTATGATAAAAACTAAACAATGAACTAGATTGACATGCTCAAAGATGGTCAAAATGCTCAAGATGTTCAAAGATGCTCAAAGTTTTAGGTCTGCTTCTAAAATAAAACGTCTAACGGAAGACAAATCGTGAGCACCGTAGTTCTTTGTGGGAAAACTACTATTAAAAAGTTCAGTTACAATTATTCTTCTAACTTGACAATGGTATTTCAAAATTATCATGTTTGACTGTTATTCCTCGCTCAGACGAAGGGCTGACGCTCGAAACGTCTGCTTAGAAACTCTTTACGGTGGCTAATTTACTTCATCAACTCAGTTGATAAAACCAAATTAATTTATTATTCCTCGTAGCTTTGTTGCCTGTATCTGAAGAAGTTCGCGCCAGTCTTCGCCCGGGTGGCAAAAAAGAGCCCGAGAGTCCCACCCTGCACTTTCCAGGCAAACTGGACGGCAGTATCTCCGGAAGCGCAACATCTTTGAATACGGAGCACCAAGTGTCCATAGTCATTACAGTTGATGACAGTGCTAGTGATCAGGCCTTTGTTTGCCCCTCGGAATGTCGCAACATGCTCTTGGATCCAAGCATTGCGAACGACAATCAGACTCAAGCTTTGCTGTTGACCACTTTGGTAAGGTTGTTTGGATAATTTCGAAATAACTGCTCGGAGGGAGAATTGATTCAGAGAAATTTTCAAATTGAGTTTCGAAAGTTTCTCGGAATTGCTTAGGTTTTTCTAAAGAGAAAATCGTGGTGATTAAATTCGCCACGATCGGCGAGCAAAATCGCCAGGTGTGTCGCCGGCTTAATTATTTTTAAACTGCGCGTCGCAAAGATAGATTATTGCTTTGGTTTTGCTTTTCACTCAGAAGTTTCGCAATCAGAAAGTGTCTTAATTGTACAACTCAAAAGTACCGCGTGCGCTTACCAGAAAGTATTATTTAGTCCTCCCGGTGCGTCCATGCACATGGAGCTTCGACCAGAGGACTCCATTGATTTCTGTCGGTTGCCCATCGGTCAAGCTTCCCACGTGTCCAGCCTCTGTCCTCATTTCCCTTTCTACGGTTCTCCTCCAAGTTTCCGTGGGCGGCCTCTCTTATGTTGGCCGTCGGGACTCCGTCGGAAGACGACTCTGGGCGGGGCTTATGATGGCATTCGGAAAGTGTATATACAGAGTATTTGTCGAAGGTCAAACGAGCTATTTGTGGGCGAGTTTCCGTTAACAGCGAGACCCAAGTTTTAATGATTTTATCCGTCGGTTTCTTGATAGGCAATGCTGCTCGAGCACGTCACTGGAGATGTAGAATCACGGTATTTGTACGAGGTACTAGCGGAGGCTAGTTTGGTATTCCCTGGAGTTTTCCCTGTTATGTGAGTACTCCAAAAAAACTCTTATTAATCTATATTATCCTAGTCTTGACCGCGACCCCCATAGATTTGTAGGAGGTACAGTGAAACATCGCCAACCCTTTCTATACTTGTTTATCGATCGTCGAGAAACCAAAATAAGGAAACCACGGAGACCAATCAAAAACAAAGTTAACATTATCGCGAGGCAATGAGAATTATGATTTCAAAAGCAGGAGAGGCTCATAGAGTAATTTTCGATCAAGTGTCGAAAGCAGTCCGATATTGCTCTGGTATTGCTTTACTTCGGTCTGTGATTGGTCCAGAAAACCTTCAATACCCTGTATTAGCTTAGTCTTTACTGCTGCCCATATACTTGGCGCAGGTACTGTGTAACATCGCTAACCTTTATTTCCATACTTGTATAACATGTAACTCATTTTTACGATATTAGCACATTACCCAGCAAACAAATCATGACAAAAGACAGCTTGATCTGACACTAAATTATCTAAACTAGTTCAACAGGAACGGCATAGTAGTAAGAAGAGAGGAAAACGAATCAGTGCCAAATAGTATTTTTAACTCTTCAGCACAAGCGTCTCTTCGCCCTTGGGGAGGTTTAAAGCGTCCAGCGAGAGATCTGTGAGGGGTCTGGAACTGTACTTGGAAAACAATGGCATCCTCGTCGGCCATCATTATTAGTGCCAGACCTCTCGCAGGCTGGCGTCAAATTTTTCTCGCAGGTGAAAAAACGCACGTGCTGCAGCTGGAATAACGAAGACCTGCTCTCAGAGGGGAATTTATTGCCAACCTTCATTAAAGTCTCAAGCGAACCGTGCTAGACAAATTTTTCTTGTGTTTTTGCAGTTATAATCTGTTAGACTCGGATCTATCCATTGTGCTCGGCCATTCTGATGATGTAGCCACTCTGAAAGCGATACAAACAATTGTACACTCGATGAGCGCTGTCAAGCTAAATGACGATCCTGTTATGAAGTCAAGCTATCTATCAAGTAAGTGAAAATCAAAGTACCGTATGCAATTATGTTTAATTTCCAGGTGATGAGAAACGAAGAGGTTGATGAAATAATTTCAGTTATGGGCGAAGAAGTCTCTGTTTTCAATGTTATGAGATTATTTGTTTTGCCCGCGCCATCATGACGGCCTCCTGTGCGAATTTTAGGCGTCCTCTTTTAAGGAGAGATTAATTTGCTTGTGTTTTTGCTTTTCAGCGTTTGGATTTTCCGGATTCAGTCACTTCACGAGGTTCAAGGTAGGCATTGTGTACTAATGCGATTCAGTTCAGTTCAGAGTGACCTTTTTGGGTCTTGAATTGATGTAGTTCACCTCCAGCTATTGTGGGAACGAATCTTCAACGAATTTCAAATCTCAGACCTTCGCATTTCGGTCTTATAGTCTACCACTGAGATAGAGAACTTTATGAAGAGCTAGCTAGGCCATTACAAGGTTCATTTGAAACAAGGTTCCTGCAATTTGTCAGGATCTAGAGCTTTGTGCTAGTAAATATCTTTGTAATTTTCTTTCCGCAGGAGCAGAGCGGTCAGGCAAATCGTGCGCAGCTCTTTGTAAAGTTTTTGGAAGCTGTAGTAGAGGTTTATGGTATACCAACGACCGATCAAAAAACACAACGTTCAGGTTCTGTTGCGTCTGTCAAACCAATACTTCTCAGCTCTAGCACTGAGGACCTGAGGGTGGCGTCTTCCGGGTCGTCTCTGTCTTCTTCCCTCAGTTCTCTGTCTGGTGCTGCACCTGGTAAGCACCTTTTCATTCCATTGCCGTTCAAGCGCTCATCGTCTTCATACCGAGCGAAGAAGGCCGATAAGGAATCTCCCAAATTCCGACGGAACTGGTCCACTAGGGGAACAAGAAGTCCCTCTTCTGGGAAAGTTACGAAGTGATAAGGCAGTCAAAAATCTGTGGGGTTAGCACAGGCCAAGTTGCAGGACAAATTGTCCTTATTACCAAGGGAAACGTCTCTCATCGACAATCAAGCTCTTGCAACAAATACCAAACCAAATGAACGACGACTGTAATGGGGAATTTGAAAGTTGGCTTAGGGCTTTAAAACGAGTGAGAAAGAGTCAGCTAGATAGACTGTAAGCCTTGCTTGACTCGGATTGGTTTCCATTATGCAAGCAGATGTATGTGAACTCTTCTTTCCGCGAGGTTTAATTTTCATCCTGACAAAACGCAGAAGTAGCCGAGAGAAACCAAACAGAACACTTATAAATGCGTTTGTGGCTCGCTTTGAGTTTTTCATCTCTTATTGGTACTAATTTCCGCAGGACTCAATTTTCGCTGTTTCAGAACAATCGCGAGATTGAAGTCCCGCGAGAAGCGGTTGGTGTGAAAACAAGAAACACAAAATTTCATGATATGTTAAAAAATTATTTTAGCAAATTGCATACAGTCCATCGTTTACTATACTTCTAGACCAAAGAATGCTTTGGCATTCTTATCTGGTTAACGCCGTCCCTTTTTTCCTATTATTCAGTTTAGTGCTGTTATTGGTACTCTTATTGCCTTAGAATATTTAAATAGGAGTAAGGAATCGTCGCCTTTCGCTAAAATTAATTCCATTGGACAGCACTTTTCGCCAAATCTTTAAATTTCATTCGCGCAAAATATTCCTCTTCCCGGCATTTTCGCGGGAATAGTGACTGCGAAAATTACTACCAAATGGGTAGTTTTCCGATTGTTGATTTTGGTTTATTTTCGACATTTCTCAGAATTTTAAGAGGTCTGTTTACTCTAGAGTCCAATTTGAAACAGATCGTTGTATTGGTATGGCGTTCTTTAAGAAGATAACCGTGGGACAATTCGTGGCCACACCCATTTTTACTCTGTATTTCTCCGATTTCTAGAAGGTTGCTAGACACAATCACATGTAATTCCGCGCGCTTCATCTCTTTAACTACCATAGGTAATTAACTTGATACTTCTCTTAACAATCTCCCCATAAGGTGAGGGAAATTCAGCCGGAGAATCGGCATCTGCATCAGATGGAGAAAGTTATCTCGCAATGAAACCAAATTAACGGAAGTGATTTTTATGAAAATGACGAAGCTGTCGTTCTGTCTATTCTCGGAGATGAGAATTCCGCTAACCCTGAACACTTTTACTCCCATGAGTGACGTGACAGAATTTCTCCTTACAATATCAATACAATATTAAGCAGACAAGTGATGAGAATAAAGAAAAATATCAACAAGGGGATTTAGTGGATCCAATACCAAATTCTCCAAACTAACGTAAGAATTGTATGGCAGAAAGAAAGGAGAATTGGTACGGCAATCTTGGGAGTAAAAGGGTTGACACTCTAATTTATTTGTACATATGACTGTATCCTATGAAATACAAATGCCTTAGTATAACTGGCACCACACTGGTTTGTGGACCTGATATGAACGTGAAAACAGATGAGCCCTCTTTAAGGCATTTTCTTTGATTGTTAATTGGAGTTGTAAATAAAATCAGAGAAATTTATACACAGCAGTTTTTTTTTCTTGTTTCTGAGTCTTTTAGGGTAGAATGAGGTGTGCGCATTGATTACGGTTGATTTTGACTAACGGCGGATTCGATGAGAATAAAGCCCACAAAATAGTAATTTTTTTCCTTTGCGTTTTGCTGGCTAGTTCATGCGTGCGCTTGTCACGAGTGAGAGGAAGCATGTAAGCGTTTTGCGACCAGGTTTTCATCATAAACGTTGCAGCAGGTACGTCAACGCGCTTTGCGCAAAAGAACGGATAAAAAGTTGTATACCGGAATGCAACCAAAAAGTGAGACAACACCCTAGTTCAATAGACTTCTATTCAATATCTACGAGACAGGAAACAGACGTAGGGATCAAACACCGAGGAAAAATGAAAAAAAAAATAGGAAGATTTAGCGCGCGCACTCGAAATCTCAACGCAAGTACGTTGCTATCAAACTTTACGTCACAATCACAAAATAACACGACAAGTGTTTTCCTTCCAGTTAAGGTTGATACTAAAATGGGAAACTGTTTTATATTGTTATTTTCAAATAACAAATCAGTAGATAGCGATACGAAAATGAACGAAAAGGTTGAAAGTGAAGAATTACTACAAATACCCTCAGTTGAAGTGTACGCTCAACCTGCGTCAAGTATTGTTTCGTTTCAGTCCGAACTGGATTTAAGTGTAGAAGGTTCATGTGCAACGGTTGATTTTGATGCAGATGATGAATCCTCATCGTCTGATACATTGTTGTTTGATTCGGAAGATGAGTACGACGTCTCCAAGCTACAAGGAGAGGCTCTAAATCTTCCAAAAAAATCACGGCAACTCGCTAGAAACACAAACAGAGCTGTCCAACTTCACGGACTGGGCCGGAAAAACGATGTTCAGTCATATGCATTGCCACCGGTGGAGAGGCCTGCTTTTTCAAGTTTCAAGAATAGAAAATCAGTGAAAGAAGTGGGCGATAATGCCCGAGACACGGCCTTGGTGAGGCAGCGCTCTCACACTTCCAACAGGGCAACAAAGCCCATCAAAAGAGAGCAGCTTACTGAAGAGAAGGCCGAGAGAAAACCACGACGATTTCTGAGGAAAAAACGCCGAGATAAAAAGATGCAAACCAACAAAGTGCAATTCATAAAGAGGATTAAAAATACCATCAGGAGAAAGGCGTTGCGCAACACTGACAGTAGCTCTCCAGTCTTGCCACCTGGCAAAACCGATGTGCAGGTTTTTAACGCGGATGCAAAAGACTATTCTGACAGCAGATCGGATGATGGCGCCACCAGCTGTAGCCGGCCATCTACTGCCACCCTGGGTGAAGATACCCCAGGAACGAGCACTGGCTATCGCTTCAGATATGTCCTGTCAGTCCAGGAAAAAACGAGGGTAACAAAGACAAGGAGTTCTTCCACGAACTCATCGGGCTCTTCAACCACCGTGGGAGATAACCACGGGAAGGATGAAACCAAAAATGAGTACGTAACTGGAGTTCCAAGACTGGCTGCTGTTACGCCGTGGTATAGCTCTACATCCTCTGAGGAAGATTTGGGGAGACTAAGATTTCATCGCCCCTACAGAGTGAGTAAGTCAACCACTGTGAAAGCGCAAAACGAGCTCCACGTGATGGCAAGGACTCCTCCCTCTACCAACTCGTGGGATAGTTCCAGTACTTTAGTAAAGTCTGAAGAATCCAGCGTTAGTTGCAACGAAAACGATGTTGCCCAAACGCCTAAAGATCAGAGGATTGAAAAGAGTAGTTCTACAGCACAGTCTTCCAATTCCGTTTCTTCATGGAACAGTACATCCAACTGCAAAGAAGACACCGAAAAAGAAAGCTCAGAGAGTGTGTCTAGCAGGCAGAGAGGTGTTACATCTAGTAAATGGTTCCGATTTAAAATTTGCAAAATTACTCCACAGTGAAAAACTGGTGCAAAGTTGCAAGAAGCCCTGGGACCATTTACTGTGGGTTTAACTGAAGTGTGTACATAGTGGACAACATGAAACTTGCATAGAGGACTTCTGTCCAACACTCAATATATGTTAATCGCAAACACACCGATAGTGTTCCCTTATTTAAAATCACTCGCTTCAGTGCTACTCAACTGGTATGATTGTTCTTGAACTGCCAACAAATGGACCACTAAAAGTTTTTTGAGAAAGATTGAGAGCAAAGCTTCTCCATGACTTGTTGAAACTATTTATTTAAGTGATGAGTTGCAACCAATATTATATTAGATTCATCAAAAACAGTGTCCAGCATTAAGTGCAATAATTATTACCCTTTGAGTTGTTTATCCCTTTATTCAATAATAAAATTGTCTTTTCAGAAAATAAAATTTTTGTTGCATGGATTCTGACATTGATTGCTGCAAGGACAAGGAAGTTAGATAAGAGCCACTGCCCCCCATGGCTGTAGAGGATTCACACTAAATTACAGCTGCAGTCAATATATGTTACCCACTTAAGCCTCAGTACATCATGTGTCCTCTATCACATCAATCACATCTATCACATCAATTATCACCTCTATCACCCAATACATCACATATCTCTAACACAAGAGGAGTTCTGACTAATCAGTTGGCAATCTTTTTTAAACTAGTTAATTGTCACAACTGTTCATAATTACATGTCCAATGACATCTATTTTGTCATATGACTAAATGCTGCTAAAAACTGCTCAGTGCCTTGGGCTCCAGACAAAGATATTGTCTTCCTATCTTTATTGTCACTTGATATGACAAAGTAGGGCACACCAGATATTCTCAATTGAGATTTTGCAAATGAATCTTGAGACAAAACCAAATCTACATCAGAGGAAGATTTGAGATAGTCCTCTGCACCTTCCAAGCCCAGTTCTTTAGCAGCTTCAATCAGTGTACCAGTGTCACTAACATTTTTGCCATCCTCATAAATCATGCGCAGTAGGAGATCTTTAGCTTTGCCTTGTCCTTCCGGTCCTTTCTGCATCCCAGCCAGGTGAATGAGGCGGTGACCATGTAAAGAATTTGGCCATGTTTTCCAGTTTTTGAATCCTAATCCATCCTGTTGTCCAGCCCTTCTGAGTGATTGTGTCCATCCATCACCTCCCCACCTAAATTTCATCAGTAAGTCCATCATTCAATAATAATAATACTTTCTTTATATAGCCCTATTTCTATCACTATCAACAAGTGCTTTACAATGACTGAAATAAACATAAATTGCTTGAAAATCCCAGCTGGCTGGAGGCAGACCAGTTGGCTATTTAAACAGCACAGCCAAGGAGTTGAACTCAGGGTTCATGAGAACAAATTCAGTGATTGGCAGGGTGGAGGACTTGAACCCAGGACCACCAGATTACAAGTCCAGCACCCTAACCATTTGGCTGTGTTGCCTCCTAATAAGATTAGTAGGGGAGGGAGTGAGAGTCATTTGGTCAGTCTGCTAGTTTCTACTACACTCTGAGTGGTCAAACTGATTGGTTGCTGCACAACCTAGCAACAAATTTATTCATTTGTCTTTTTATCTGTCAGCATCTGTCTTTGAGTTGGTTAGTTTATCTGTGCATAAGTCTGTCTAGCTATCTGTCTATCTACATGTGTCTGTCTGCTTGACTGTATGTCTGTCTGTCTGTCTTTCTGCCTCTTGTTGTTTTAACTCTGGATTATTTTCTAAAATGATCAAATGGCTTTCCAGAAGGTAACTGGCTACCCTCATTTATTGGCACCCATCTGCCAAGCAAAGATTTCGCCCCTACGTAGTCTTATACACCCTTTGGAAAAATGCTGTACAACTGTTCAACTATCCACCCTCTGTACCACTGCTTATCAGCTTGGGTGCCTGTGCATGTGTGTGTTTGTGTCATCCTTGTATATGGAGAGGACTCACATAAGGAAGAAAAGTAGATTTTCCTAATCACACTCAAGGGTGCAAGTTATAGAGATGTTGAGCTATTGTGAATTAATAGTTGCAAATAATGTAAAAGTAATTAATTCCATTACTCTCTTTGAATTGAATTGGAAATTTATTTATTCCCTGCAGGTATTCCTAGATCTTTGATTTGGCATTCCCCCTCCCCTGCCACCAAAGGATTGTTTGTCCTTCTCATTATCTGTTTCTAGATATACCATCTTTTTAACCCTTTACAACCAATCATAAGTATGCATATTCTCCACTCTGTAGTCATACAATTCCTTAGGTGCTGACAAGGAGAATTTGTTTAACAATCACCTTTAGTTTTAGCAGGTGATCATTTCCATTATTCTCATGACCTTAATGTGCATTTCAGGGGTGATATTGTAAGGAGAAATTAGATGTTGGTCACCTTCAAGGGTCAAAGGGTTAGGAAACTGAAAAAGCAGTGAATGAATCGACCAATTAGGAGTCACAATTTTACCTTCTGGTATTGTATGCCATGTAATCCTCTCCCATTTCGGCAGTATTTTTGTCAATAATGTAGGGATGCCAATGTACAGTGATACCAGCTTCAGTATACTGCTGAATGGCATTGTCGAGCCGTCTCTTGCCCACGTAACACCAAGGGCAGGACAAATCAGAATATACATCAACAGTGATCGACTGTGGAAAGGCAAACTTGTCATGTAAGCTAGCTTGTAGAGCGATTCAAGCTTAACATTAATAACATAAAATACACGAATAAGCGGTAGATGGATTGATAGAAAATAGAAATTTTGTAGTGAGAAATCCTCTTTAACATACCATTTTAGTTCCAAAACTTGTTATAGAGATCTGAACTACAAAATTAGCTGTAAAAAATTTTGAGAAATAATGCTGAAATGTCTGGTACGATAGCAGACAGAGGGCTAATTGATTTGTTACCAGTCCTAATACGATAGCTGCAGTTTATCGACTATCTTCCGAGTTTAACCGAGACTTGTCGAACATCATTTTTCCACTCAGGATCATCTTCGAGACCGATTCGGAACCTTTCGCGTTTGTAACCAAATCGCGGGATTTACATTTTTGCGTATCAATATTTTGTGGTGTCTAAATTTTTCCTTCCATTTTGTGCACAAAGGGAAGAGCAATATCAACAGTAAATAGGCGAACAAACCTGTCATCACTGAGAATCGATCCTAATTTTGGCATTTTGTTGATTAGGGGGTCGGATTTCTTTGTTTTAGTTTTGTTTACTTTCGAAGCGATCGATAATATGGGCATACAAGTATTGATGCCTGTCTTCTTGTCATGCCCTGGTCTTCACCCCGGAAATAGAACGTCTGCAAAAAAATTTCCTCCAGAAAGTGGCAGCAACTACCGTACCATCTCTGTTATCGTCAACCTGACGGAACAACGAAGTCTTTGCGTTGAGCAAGCTCAAGAATTATAGTTGTTTTGTGAGTACAATGTGCAGACTGAATGTTATTTTGTTTCCATGCATGACTATGGGTTGCTTACCAAGACAACGATATTCGCTCGCGTTGGTGACATGTAATGGACACTTATTTGATACGATCAAACATATTTTTGGTGTAATTTTTGGTTTTAAGTGATTGTTTTTGCTCCCTTTGGTTGTATTTGAATGTTGTACAAGTCGGATGTTTAAAGGCAAATATTTATTTCGTAAATTTATAATTAATCCCACATGAACATCAAATTTTCATGGCATCGAGTCTGTTTTCATGGCATATGAGTTTAACTAAAACGCCAGATAAAGAGAACACTTAGTATATATATATTTTTTTCTGATCACGTAATAGGTGATTCTACGCGATAAACTAGTAAATCTCTACTCTATTTGCACATCGCATGCTTTACTTCACTTTTTGACAAAGTTGAGGTAGTGACAGTTCATAAGGGGAAAAAAATCACAAGTTCAATTCTTTATCGAGGTTCCTATTAGGTTTCCGTATCTCGGTATGCGCATAAAATAGGTTAAATAACTATCTGTTCTACCCTCTTTGTTTGAAAATCTATTGTTCATCAAAAGTTCAAGGTTCTTTATGCCAGCTCCTTTGTTCCTTAGTAAAACCTTCTCTCTCTGCTGAATAATTAAAACGTTTCTTCAAACTAACGGACGTTTTATGCGCCTTATGTTTACAGGAAACTAAGAAAATGATATCTTACCGGATCTTGCTTTCGAGGTTTCTAAAAACTGGAATACTCATTTGTTTTGGTGAGTAAAAAATGTATTTACTCTGCTTTTGAAGATGTTCAAAGGTAGCCAAAAAGAGACGACTGTGTAGAGCATGATTTTAGTTTTGGTTCTTTCTCTGGAAGTTTAAATTAAATGTATTATAAAATTGATTTTAATGGGGTCTGTTTGTCACAAAGAAAGAAGTGTAAAGAGTCAGATGAAAACTAATACCCTGTTCACTCAAAGGCTAAAACATATTTTTAAGCTGTTATGTTAAATGCAGTCTAAAATTGTTCTCTTCATAAAAGTTGCCTAAACTGATGTTTGTTCACTTCAGATTCAGTACAATAAAAATGCAAATTAGAGATTACTTGAACTCCATCCAAAATTCAGTTTTCTGTTGCTGATTTTCATTCATAGACAGTTAGGTCTCTTTTGTTGGTGTTAATGCATGGGGCATCATGTAAGCCAGCTTGAGTTGTTGTGATGAATACAGGGACAAATTGTTTCTGTTGCCTTTACCTGGATCATGTAGCTTAGATTTGTACATATAATAAAGACTTATGAGTCCTGGCCTATACTGAAAAAATATCTGATTTAATGTGACCTGCTTTTTCCTCTCCAGCTCTTATCTGCCTTTGTCCACTGTCAACGTCTCTCAATGCAGAGCCCTTCCTAATTTTTGGCAACACTGTTGACATCCGGCGAGTGAGTCTTGATGGAACTGGTTATAACTATGTTGTGCGAGGTTTAACAAATGTTGTTGGTGTGGATTTTGACATAAAAACACAAATGATATATTGGTCTGACATAGGTGTTAAGAAAATTCAAAGGGTGTATATAAATGATGGGCTTGATCCTGTGAATATTGAAGATTTTATAGTTGAAGACTTAGGAATCCCAGAAGATGTGGCCATTGATTGGACGGGTCGTAAGCTTTTTTGGACTGATGCAAACAAGAAGATTATTGGTGTTATAAATCTAGATGGCACACAGCGAAAGGCACTGATTGCCACAGGTCATGACAAACCAAGAGCAATTGTACTTGATCCAGCAGATGACAAAGTGTATTGGACAGATTGGGGGACTGAGCCAAAAGTACTGAGAGCTAAAATGAGTGATGGTACACACAAAGAAGTTCTTGTAAATTCAGGCATTGTTTGGCCAAATGGACTTACTTTAGACTATGGTGATAACATGCTGTATTGGGCAGATGCCAACACAGATAAGGTTGAGAAATCCCAATTGGATGGTCAGAATCGAAGGGTGCTCGTTGATCGCACAAGGGTGTATCATCCTTATGCTTTGACACAGTTTGGTGATAGGCTATATTGGAGTGACTGGCAGCAGCATAGTATTGAACACTGTAAGAAGGATTCTGGGGATGACCGTGTCAGCATCAAAGGAGGCATGACAAGGCCTACAGCCTTACATGTCTATCATCCTGACCGGCAACCTGGAGCAGGTAATTTTCCCTTTCAAGGTTGTTCACAGAAAATTTGGGAGAGGCATGCTAGTTCTCTTAAGGGAGAAAATGGCTGGTAATTAGTTGTGTAGATTACCTGACAATATGGTTAACATGGCTTTGGACTCACAAGGAGCAGCAGTTTTCCTTCTGGCTTTATGTTACAAAAGGAAGATGAAGCTGGTGGCTATGCAAGTCATTCTTTTGTATTTTAAAAGCACTTGATAAAATTCTTGGTCATGTTGTTAGTCTACTTGCCTAGGTAGTGGTAACAAATGAAAAACCTTTTTGCTTGGGTAATGGTATCAAATGAAAAACCTTGCTTGGGTAGTGGTATCGAGTGAAAAACCATTTGCTTGGGTAGTGGTATAAAATAAAAAACCTTTTGGTTGGGTATTGTAACAAATGAGAAAGGTTTTGTTTGGGTTATGGTATTAACTGAAAATAATTTCTTGTTATTGCTAAATACTCTGCATATTACATTTACACCTGGATGAAACATGTTACCCTGAGTTATATGATGTGTTCAGGCCAGTTTTTAAACTCCCATTTTAATTCAAACCTTGGGATGCTGAAATGGGCACTTTATTTGGATCAGATAGAAGGTTTAAACAAGATGCTTGAAGAGCTCAGTTAAAAAATACAGTGAGCTGTAGAAAACTTGCACATACCATCAAAAAGTCAATGGCTGATACTTGGCTTGCGTAAATATTACAGTTGATTTGTACTTTTATTTCTTCCAGATTTTAATGAATGTGAGGAAAATAATGGGGGGTGCAGTCACACATGCATGGATTTAATTGGTGGATACAAATGCATTTGTCCATCTGGATTTGAGCTGAAATCTGACGAAAAGACATGCCAAGGTAATGAACAAATGGTAATTGCTTACCGGTAATTGCATGTATAAACTTATCAGTATGTTGTTACATGTCTATGTGTAAAAAGAGACAGAACAAATCTGGCAACTCAGCACATTTATTGATAAGGATTAGGACTACTCATCTCACAGTGTGCCTATGGTGCTGGAAAGTAAGGCTCTGATGCAAATATACCTCCACACTTTTGTCTTGATCACTCCTTGTATCATGATATTTGCAGATATAAATGAGTGCAGCTATAATCGTGGAGGATGTGAGCAACTGTGTATCAATTCTCCAGGAAATTACACCTGTTCATGTTTAACAGGATACACTCTGCAGAGTGATGGAAAATCATGTCAAGGTATGGTAAATGAAGTATCCTATGAGTGGCCCAGTGTTAAACCAGTATGCTGATTTAATATGTAGGGCTGAGCCATGGATTAGAGAGAAGGGGGTACTCAATTATTTTTTTCACCACAATTGGCAGTAATGTTGCAATCTAATTGACCAATTTGCCCTTGTCTATAAGAGTACAGACAACACTGCTTGCATCAATGTGTCACGCAATGGTCACGCACTGAAAGAAACGTTTTATATGATGTCAATGTGGTGGTAATAAATGAATGGACAGTGGTTTAGTGTGGTCTGTACTCTTAGTGACAACTGTATTCATCATTATAGTGGTCAAAATTTTTTGCAGACTCACTTGGCTGCACTTCTTGGGTAATCTATTTTTCCATTTGGTATTTGCTATTTTTGAAAGTATTTTTGATTTAACTGTTGTGTTAGATGCTGATGAGTGTCGCATCAATCATGGAGGCTGTGAATTCAGTTGTAACAATACAGAGTCTTCGTACTACTGTTCCTGTCGCTCTGGCCACATACTGGCAGCAGATAAACACTCCTGTCTGGACATAGATGAATGTCAGTCACTTACCCACCAGTGTCCTGGTAAAAAATTTTTTCTGATTATCACTGATTCATTGAAAAATAGGATATCAGGATGGAACATTGATTATCAAAAAGTTGATGATAAAGTATTTTTTAAACTTCATGGGAGAGGAATAAAGTCTTGCAAAGGATATCCACGGTTTGGACACTTTTTATTTTGTTTTAGATCTTTGTGAGAACAATCCTGGTTCCTACAAATGTCTGTGCTCTCCAGGCTTGGCCTATAATCCAGTGAACAAGACCTGTGATGACGTAAATGAGTGTTTAACCAATCAGAACTCCTGTAAACAGCGATGCGTCAACACCAGAAGTAGCTTTCATTGTGACTGTAACCCAGGCTTTTTCTTGAGTGGTGATCATGTGACGTGCTCAGATGTTGATGAATGCAGCCAATCAAATCACTCCTGTCAGCACCATTGCATCAACACATATGGTTCTTACGTGTGCAGCTGTGACGCTGGTCATACATTATCAGATGATGGACGTACATGTGACACCTTGGATTGTGGGAAGCCAGATGGGATGGCAGGAATTGTGGTGAAGTGTGATGGAACTCCGGATCAGTACAGGTTGGATGAAGAAAAAATAAAACTCTTTTCTGTGTTGCACTTTACATTCGAAAGTTATAATAATGATGATAAATAACTACGTTACGTACGCTAGCGTGCAATTTTCAGCCAAGTGTTGGAAGTAATCTGGGATTGTACTGGATTTGTTTTACTTCACTTTGTAAATGGTCAGGAAAACTCGCGACGCTTTCTTGCGATTGGCTGTTGAAAGAAAGTTAGGAAAAAAAAAGAAAAGAAAGAAAACGTCGCAAAAAAACAATATCCAGGAGTGTTGCTTCTCCTCCCTGGAGGGTACGCCAGTCTTTCAAAGGGTTAACAAACCCCACTCCCCTCCCTCAGCATTTCGTCAGGTTTTTAGTGTGTCCAGTTTTTTCTCATCAGCGATATTTGTTTCTGTAGCTCTGTTGACCGTTAGGATAAATTAGTTTAGACTCCTTGTTTTAACTGAGTGATCATCACGTTGCTTTTCATCTTGTTAGGTTTGGTAAATTGTGTACTCTATCCTGCACTAAGGGATTCCTGATTGGTTCAAGTTTTATCACGTGTCAAGCATCGGGCCAGTGGAACGTCATCACAGCCCAGTGCGCAAGTCAGCTCCCAGGCTCCAACAGCCTACCTCTCGGAATCTTATTATCATGGCGTTTTATACCGGAAAACTCACCTGTTAACACTGTTGTAGGAAGACTTACAACAGTCGACAATGACGAGACGCAGTTCTTTAATTATACTTTGATTGATGGTGCTGGTGTGTTTAATGTTGATAATAATGCGGGAACCTTGGTCCTTCATGGAGACGTAGACTACGAGCGACAGTCAGTGTACATGGTGAGCCTGATTTCTACCGACGATGGAGTACCACAACTGTCTGTCCAACAGAACCTGACTGTTTATATCACAGATGTTAACGAACAACCAGGTAAGTGCGCAGGAGGTGGATGCATTTGAATGCACTGTTGCCTGTATCTCTTAGGACCAGTGAGCACAACTACGTTTCCAGGGTCCACTTTCTTTCTCTCTCGAGAAAGGAAGAGAGGAACGTGGGAATGATGTGTTAGTTTTTGACGGGCTTGTTTGATGCTTTTCAAGCCACACTACTTGGGAAATGCGAAGGGATTTTGGGTGGCTAAGAGTTTTCCGAAGATTGTGCAAGAAAGATCTAATCCGTAGAGCATTCGAAATGTAGGAGACAGCACAACTCGCATGTGCATACTCGCGGTGAGTTGATCACCGCTTTTCATTTAATACTTTGAAAAGAATCTTCTAGACCACACGTGATAAATGGAGAGCGCTATGAATTCTTAATGGAACGCATTCTCTCTCCCATTAGAAAACGCGTTTCGTGACGTGACAGAACAAAGGCTTCGGAGGGAATTAACCTAGACTGTAACTCAAAAGGATGTTTAGAGACCTTTGTGAAAATTGACTTTGAAAAGACTCTACTTTTCGTACTCCCTGCCATAAGCCAATCGAGTCGCTTGTTCAACTTTCCTTTACGATGCAGAAAATAAAACCCATTGGGTCCCAGATACCTTTTTTTTTGTGAAAATAAGAAACAGAATCTTTTTTTAAAATTAATGGTACCGTTGGAATATTTGATTGTAGCTACGGAGGGAGGATGGTGAAATATACCGTTTTATCTTGTCCTGCAGGCCCCCCAACATTATCATCATCAGTTGTGTATGAGAACGCCTCCATTGGAACTGTCATCGGTATAATGAATTCTTCAGATGTCGACTCTGGCCAAGAGATCAGTTATTCGCTACTCACTAATGCTGGTGACAGATTTCGTCTTGTTCGCAACGAACTGCGTCTCCATTCGGAACTGAATTACGAACAAACCAATAGTTTTATTGTGACAGTTGAGGCTAAAGACAGTGGTTCTCCACGACTTGCGAGTGTTTCGGTCCTCAACATTGCCGTGATTGACTGTAATGACCCTCCAACGAAGCTTATATTCACGGGGAACCCAATCCCTGAGTTTGGTGAACATACTCCTGGAGGAACACAAAACGGGACCGTGATAGGTAACTTCTCAACAGTGGACGAAGACATTTGGCAGTCACACGTTTATGAGATCATCAGTCCTAGCGGTCTGTTCTTTATAAACGGCTCCTCTCTTGTAGTAGCTTGGGCAGATGAACTGGACTACGAGTCACGTGACCTTGTCACTTTGAAAGTGAGCTCCACGGATCCTCTTGGTGAAAGCGTGACGTCATCCATTCAGATACGTTTGCTGGATGTGAACGAAAATCCAAGCGGTATTTTATTGTCTGCGGATTCCTTCCTTGAGCATGCGTCACCGGGCACCGTTGTAGGCTCTTTGAGCGCGCGGGATCCGGATCTTCACGATAACCACACATTCGAGCTACTTACCAATCCCAACAGTGTCTTTTCGGTTGAAGGAAAAACTCTCAAAATTGCCGTCGATGTTGATTTCGAAACAGCAACAGTAAATCCTCTGTCAGTTCTCTTAAAAACTACCGATAGTGCTGGACTGTCATTTCAGCAAACTTTCAATATCACAGTCCTTGACAAGAACGAACCACCGACGAACATTCTTTTCCACCCGAGAAAGCCTTGCGTAACTTCAGCTGGGATATGTGTGGAAGAGAATCGTAAGATTGGTTACCGCGTAGGAGATATCACTGCGATAGATTCAGATATCGGTGATACTGTCACTTGTGATGTGGTTAGCGGCAATGTGTTTAAAATTGAAAATGATGCTGTACTCGTCAACGGAGATATCAATTTCGAGGCGTTAGATAGTTCACATCTCATCAGTGTCGAAATTAGATGTAGAGACAAAGGAGGACTTGCTATCGAAAAGAGTTATAACATCAGCGTTTTGGACGCTAATGACGCTCCAAGTTCCGTGTCCTTGTCACACCATATTGTCAGCTCTAATGCATCAGTGGGTAGTCTCGTTGGGTCGTTTATTGTTGTTGATGAAGATCAAAGTGATTTCCACACCTGTTACCTATTGGACCCAGACAGCTTATTCCGGGTCTCCGGGATTCAGTTATTTGTGAAAAAACCGCTGACGAATGCTACGTCGTCTCGCCAGCCCATCCATGTATTTTGTAGTGACCATCAACACATCAGCTTTCCGACGACGTTATTTATCGAAGTAAGGAACAACCAGTTGTCAAAACAAATAAATATCTCGTTGGACTCCACAGATGTGAAGGAAAATGAGCCTGCTGGCACTGTAGTGGGCCGTGTTACGGCCAAGGTTTTGAATCCAAGTGATTCCTTAGTGTTTCAGTTGGATGATGACGGCAATGGAACGTTTGGGTTGGTCAGCGGTGCATCGGTTAATTTTAGGGATCTGGTAACCACACGGCCGCTGGATTATGAGATGGAGAGTGGGTACGATGTCATTATCCGTGTATATGGTAATGGAGGAGCGACGAATTTTAGAGTGTTTCGTATCCAAGTAAGACATTCTCTTTGAAATTTGATCGATTCAATCATGAAAAGGTGTTCTGAGGTGTATTTTTATGGTGATTTTTTCCTAAATGTTCTTGCACTCGTAGGTTGTTGACGTGTACGAAGCTCCAGAACACTTGGTACTTCACCATAACTCCGTGGCAGAGAACCGGCTGGCGGGAACATTGGTAGGTGTGATCACTCTGAAGGACCCTCAGCTGAGCCTCCTGTCTATTAAGCTGCTTAATGGCCCAGCATTTGAGGTAAGTGGATTAAACAGATTTTCATTAAACGGTTTTTCTTATAAATGTTTTATTAAGACCTTTTGAATCTGAGGAAGTTATTACTTTTTTTTCTTAAGCTTCGTTCCACAAGCACTCCATACTCTTGGAAGCTTTTGACTCGCCATCCCCTTGACTTCGAAACAGCTCAGCTCCACCAGGTTACCATGCAAGTGAAAGACATCAACAGCTCTTTTGCTGTCAATCAGAGCTTCACCATCCACGTCACGAATGTAAACGAGGCTCCCGCGTTCATAGCACTAAGTAATCGGATGATTGCCGAAAATTCACCCCACGGAACCGTAGTTGGGATAATTAATGTCACCGACCCAGATGAAGTGTATGTACCGCAAAGGATCACTTGTGGTTTGCGAAATGATGCCGGCGGCAGGTTTAAGGTCAGCGGTCTAGCATTAACAGTACTGGATTCCCGGATGTTAAATTTTGAAGCCCCAGATGGTCCGGATCATTTGGTCGACATTGAATGTCAAGATCAGGACGGTGATGCAACTCAGCAACAGTTTATTATAGCGGTGACCGATGTCGATGAGCCACCTGTCAGAATAGAGTCATCAAGTGGAAAATTTGAGGTATTTGTAATGCCACATTCTTTAGTAACACGTCTCTTCCTTAGGTGAATTCTCATACAGTGAAGGTTGTCGCCGAAAATATTATCCGCCATTTACTTTTGGCAAATAGAAATTGCCTGGGCGAAAATTGTCAAAGAGTAGTTGGAGTATAATTTCACCCTAAAACCTCCACAATCTCCTCGACTAATGTCCTTGTCAAGTGATCTACAGTAACAATTTCCGTCTTTGAAAATGAATGGAGTAAATTAAACAAAATTTCGTATGTGCTTCGTTCCAAAGGAGAAAAAACTCATGAAAGAGCTTGTACAATCGGCTTGTATGTTCATTTTGGATTTCCTTTTATTTTTGTCGTTATATTTTCCGTGAATTTCATTGCTTCTCTATACCACCAGTTCTGAGAATTTGTTGTTTTGTAAGGGGAATTTCTTTCGGTGGTATTTTTTTTTTTGGGATCACTCTTTTGCATCACTTTTATAGTGTTTTATCATGCTTATGTTCTCTAGGTCGCGGAAAATTTGAACCCCGGATCTTTGGTCTCTGTTCTTCTCACGATCGATGAAGACAAAGGTCAAAATTACTCCTACAGTGTTACACCTGGTGAATTGTTCAGCATTGTACAAAACCGGTTGGAAACTCGTCAGAGGTTCAATTACGAAGAGCGAAACGTTTACTCCGTGAACATAACATCTACAGATAGCGGTAACCAAAGCTTGACGCAGGAGGTGGTGGTTAGTATTCTCGACGTCAATGACGCACCAACGGGAATAGTGCTACCACAAGGAACAGCAATCGCGGAAAATAGTAAAGTGAGTCATGATTATAAAGTGTTGAATTTGACAACTTTCCTGCACTTGCGAGCAAAGTTGATGAAGAGCATGTCTATATATCCCGCGCAACAGTCGCTTCCGTTTCCTTTAAGTTAGGGCTAAAATGGCGAAATCAGGGCGAAAAGGAACAAATAGTGTTGGAGTAGAGTTGGAGGGGTGATGAAGTCAGTCACCGCTACCGTTTCCTTTAAGTTAGGGCTAAAATGGCGAAATCAGGGCGAAAAGGAACAAATAGTGTTGGAGTAGAGTTGGAGGGGTGATGAAGTCAGTCACCGCTACCGTTTCCTTTAAGTTAGGGCTAAAATGGCGAAATCAGGGCGAAAAGGAACAAATAGTGTTGGAGTAGAGTTGGGGCGATGAAGTCAGTCACCGCTACCGACAACACTCCTTCTCAGAACTGGCCTTATGCTGACGATCCGATTACAGGATCAAATGTTACCACCGGGCTCAAACCACTCACTAAAAATACCCCTTTCCCCCCCCCCTCCCCGTTCCCACCTACCACAAACACTGCTCAGGTGGGCGGGCCTGCACCACTGTCCTCCGTCCGATTTTTTTCCTCCTCGTCGGAGTGAAGCTTATTGGTTATTTGGAAAGTCGTGGGGGAGCGGGAGGTTGCTATAGTCGAGGTGTGATGGACCGTGAGTATGGAGAGCCTCACCAGATTAAAGAATTTAAGAATCCCGCAGTATTAATTCATAATGCTAGGAATTTAAAATCTGCTGCTGGTATCTTGCCATTTCCAGGTTGGTTCACTGATTGGAGAGTTAACTACAATGGACGAAGATCACGGCCAGATGCACACTTACGTCATTCAAGCCCAGACTCCCAGCGGCGTTTTGTCTCTTGGAGGCTCAAACAAGCTTTACATAGTAGACAGCAGTGCTCTTAACTATGAACTACACCGTCATGTAAATATCACTATAACAACGACAGATAATGATGTACATTTGCGACTCTCTAAAGTTGTGACTTTGACGCTTGCTATTGTCGATGTAAACGAGCCACCGAACGACATCCAGCTTTCTTCGGCTAGTGTGAAAGAGAATTCCCCTATCGGGACAGAAGTGGGAACAGTGACTGTACGAGACCCTGATACCTTTCCCCAGAGGTTTCGATGTCGGCTTCGGAACGACGCCTCCGGCAGATTTGGAGTCAAAATGAATGCATCCAGAATCGTGTTATTTCTCACTGGAAACGGTTTAGAGGTGAATTACGAGAAACACACATGGCACAATATCACTCTAATTTGTAGTGATAGTGGTGGTTTATCATACGAGAAGGCATTTGTTATTAAAGTTTTAGACGCGAACGACCCTCCCTCCAATGTGATATTTACCAATTCACCAGGCGATACTATTTTCAACCCGAATCCACCGGTCAATATTTCAGATATCAAGCTAGTAACCCAGGCTGTTGCGACTGTTAACGAAACGGCCGATGTCGGCATCACAATTGTGGCCTACGTCAGAGTCATTGACGAAGATAACTCTAACAATCCTTTGCGGCCTCAAACGCACACATGTGAACTTGTGAGCGAGGCTGAAGCCAAGCTTTTTGTCACTGTCGACGTACACGAGCCGCCGAAGAAGAGAAGAAAACGTTCAAGTGATAGGAACTCCGTGCCTTCAGAATTCATGATACAGCCTGGTACAAATTCATTATTAGTTCGTGAACCGCTCGATTACGAAATTCGAGCTAATTATTCCCTGTATGTGAAATGCTCAGATGACGGTGTTCCTAAGTTATCCACGGTCGGTCCGCTAGTGGTGTTTGTGTTAGACGTTCCCGAAGCGCCAACTGATGTTTTATTTTCTTCACTGACGATCCCTGAAAACGCAAGTAACGGTGATGCAGTGTGTAATTTTACTGTCGTGGATGCTGACTTCACCACGTCGGGTTACTTGTATGAACTGACATCACGTGGTGTACCGTTTCGGCTGATCGGTAATCGCATTATCGTGTCACGTGTTCCACTCGATCATGAGGTCACGCCCCTCATTACAGTCCAATTGACAACAGTGGAAATATTCACCGATCTGAAATTTGTCAAAACGTTTGATATTACGATAACCGATGTCAACGAACCGCCTAGTAGTGTTACGCTTGACGGAAAGACGAAAGTGAGTGTTCTTGAAAGTTCAGCAATCGGACATGTGCTCGGAAGATTCGTCGTGGAAGACCAAGACGTGAACGACACCTCGTTTACTATTACAATCGAAGGAGAGCAAAATGAAATCATAGGAGACTTTGAGGTCAGCGGACAAGACCTTGTGGTGGCAAGCCAGCTAGATGCATGGTCACGTGACCGATACCTACTCAAGGTGCTTGCAACTGATCGTGGAGGACTAAGTGCTGTTAATGTAATAACCATCACTGTAGAGGAAGTTGATTTGTGCGCATTGAACAAGAGCTATTGTAGTCCTTACGCTATCTGCAGCCGAGCAGGCCCGGGCCGAGCCTCATGTGGGTGTAAACTCGGTTTTGGTGGTGATGGCTTCCGCTGTAATGATATCAACTATTGTAATCCAGACCCATGTCATCCCGGAAACGCTATCGGTGTTTGTCGGGATGGTTTTGGCGGCTGGAAGAATTACTCGTGTGACTGTAAACCCGGATGGTCACCTCCTGATTGTGATGTGGAAATCAACGAATGCCGCCCTGATCCTTGTAGTGTGAACGGGTCAGAGAACTGTGAGGATTTAATAAACGATTTTCGATGTAACTGTAAGCCGGGTTATAGCGGCAGGCTTTGCGAAACAAACATTAACGACTGCAAGTCGGGTAGCTGCCTTCACGGCGGCACATGTGTAGACAAGGTAAACGGTTATATATGTCTTTGTAAAGACCCGTATATTGGGGTGAATTGCGATACTGACGATAGTATCTGTCGTGAAAACCCGAATATTTGCCCTCATAACGGAACTTGTATCTCATATGCCGAAGATCCGTTGAAGTTTTCTTGTCGATGCGAGGAGCCCTGGGGTGGAAACTGCTCAGGCTGTGCACCAGGTTACGGCGGACAGAATTGCACGCCGTGTGTATATCCGAGGACTGGGGAAAATTGTGACTTAAACTGGGAAAACTGTAAACCAGAGCCTTGTTTTCATGGCGGAACATGCTATCCTCTAAGAGGTGAAGACTTCTCGTGTGTCTGTCCACCAAAGTACTCAGGGAAAACTTGCCTAGAAAACATTGTCGTAAATACAGACGCTGGGGAGAGTGGAAAGCTTACGAGACTCAGTCCAGCGGGACTGTACTCCTTAATCGGCTGCGTTGTATTCCTATGCGTGATTATTTTCGTCATAATCATCATCTGGAGAAGGAAAAAGCGTCGAAAATACAGATCGAACAGTGCTCGTGTTGAATACCCGAACAGACGACAGAAACCGGAAGTGAGCTCAACTTTTAGAGAAATGATGCAGCATAATGAAAACACTTTTGAAAATCCGGCGTACATCGCCGACCCAGAACTCGATGCTGTCATGGAAACGGTCGTCGATGGTACGTCAAACGTCGACACCGTTTCCAGGGTGACAGAGATCAGGCTTTCAGGTACTGCGGTAGCCGTTGCTCGAGATAATCCCATGTATGAACCAGCTGAAGAAGTCTTGAGAAAGAACAAGGCTGTCGTGTGTAATCCGATTTTTGAGGATGACTCTGTGGCGGAAAACGTGAACAACAGAAACTTGCGACTTTGGAGAAGACCCGAGCAACTGACTTTCTCAAAATGTTAAACTCCACATGGATATTTTTTAATGTTATTGATTGTATATCAGCCTATTTATTTTCAAAGTCTACTTTTCATAGATCATCTTTTGCAAAGTTTTTTCTTTTAAATCTACGCAAATAGCTTAGAGCCTCATTAATTTTTGAATATGTTAAGGTGGCTCTGAACTGCAAATTGCAGATAATGTTTAAAATGAACGTATTCGTTAATAGGTACATTAGAAATATTGTTCGCAATGTATTTTTACGCTATTGTCGGTTGTTACTTCTGTCATACAGAATTAACTTATCGAAATCATGTTCAGTGAGACAAGGTTTAGAACCTTCCATGTTTTAGGTATTTATTAATTTTCATTCGTGTCTTGAAGAGTTTTTTTTACCTTAATTAAGTGGTACTTAATTATCTTTTCGTGAATCTAGTGACGTTCCCTTCCATTCAACCTTTTACTCCAGATCAAATGTGTGATTCTCCTCTCTAAAATTAATGTATTTCCTAGTGTATTAATTTGGAGAGTTTGCTGTTAGATCTGTTTATACCATGTGGGTGATAACTTTGTCGATTGTCATTGCCTGTTTGCTCCCTCATCGTAGCTAGACGTAACACATCGTACAGACAAACTGGGGCCCTGAGAAAGAAACCGCTCCAGACGGCGCAGCTCTCAAGCGCTGTTTGTGTTTTCGTGCAAAGCTGCTGTAATCAATTCTTACCACGTATAAAATCAATTGAACGTGCTCTCTCTAACGCAGTCTTTGTAAAGTTTAACTCTTGTAAATAAAATCACAGCGTTTCGCCTTGTATTTAGCTTGGAACGAGAAGTCAAATAATAGTTTCATTTATACAGCTTAACCCTTTAATCCCTCGGGGTGACAAGGTTCTAATTTCTCTTTACAATCTATCCCTTGAATTAAATGGTTAATTCACGAGAATATAGGAAATGATCAGGAACTAACGAAGCTCTTGATGGTTTTATTAATTCTGCTTGTTAGAACCAAGGGAATATATATATAGAGAGAACGGTATTGAAACTATGCATAATGATGTTAGGGTTTAAAGTGTTAATTTGAGAATATGTACAAGTTGCGTGACGAAAAACATTGCGTGCAGTCTAGTAACGATTACGTAAGAACTCGATGAGCTCGGAAAGCAACAGTATTACGATAACTTTGGCTTAAAAAGTGCTAAGGGATAGAAAGAACTCTCACCTTGGTCATCACTATTGAGGATGGTTTAGTCGATTAAACTGATACATGATTGCATGAGAGGAATTTGGCGCGCTACTGCTATTTACGTAAGGACTAATTTTAATGACGCTAAGAGATCCGGCGGAAAAGGGGTGAGGGAGTGTTTTACACGAAGTTCGCCCCTAATTAAAATGGAGTGGATGTGAGATTAGAAGGAGCCTCTCCTGAAATAACTTGCGTCCTACGTCTACGTGTCTAAGTATAATATTTCATGGTTAATAATAGTCAAAGCAGCTGCGTAAAGGGTCCGAAAAGGAGTTAACGCGGTCACCTAATCACGAATACGCTATACGGACCTACAATGTACTCCGACCGCCTATGAAAAACTTACGTTATTGGATAAATTATTTTCATCAAGTAGAGAGGAATTTTATCCTCTCAAGCTACGTTTTCCACTTTCCCTGGCAAAACATTTAAGGCGGTTTGGTCAGTCGGGAAATTAATAAAGATGGTTGGTTGATTATTGATGTCGTTATTACGCAATAGACCGCGCTTTCCATTGGCGGTTTTCCGGCGTAATAGCCCACGCGAAGAGTTTGTAAACCACCAGCTGGAGACGAGTGATTTATAAACTTTTTAAGTACTCTCCAACATTCCGTGTGGGTAATCACACTGGTAATCTGATAAAATCTGTAGTTTATTGCTGTTATAAAATATTTCAATTGTCTATTGGTTTACCCGTACAGTAAACAATAGGCTTCTGACCAATTAGGGCACTCGTAATATCTTAATTAGATCTTTCATGATTCGCTTCAGCCAGAAATTCATTGCCAGTTATGTAGCAGCGAGGCGAAACCGAAAATTATTTCCTAGAGCACAAAAAATAAGTTCAGATCACGTTTTTTAAATTTATTATCAGGTTTCCATGTGAACGCACAAAGATGTTGGTGGAACTTGTCAGTCAGAAAGATATGTTGAGGTTTCGATCCTGAAAGGGAGAGTGATTTTTATCTCTGCAGAAATATGATAATGGCACTTATATTATTGGCATTGTTTTAAAAATATACCCCAGCTCATTAGGGTTATTATCCTTTTCCTTCAGTGTTTTATTTAATATTTGTTTTTTCAGAACGGTATGTGAATAGAGCATCATATGCATAATCAATTACTTTGTTTTTTGAAAAAAAAAATGTTTAGATATCTCAAGCCTAACTAGATCGCGCAATCGTTATTTGCATCAAATTTAGACGATTTTATTTCCTTTTTGAGGTCTCTTAGGGTTTACTTGGCTCTACTGAGACTTCGTTTTTTTGCCCTTTTTTCGACTTTTTGGAAATGTACTTATGTCGACGTAAATATAGATATGACATATTTTGACTCTTTCAGTTACCGATTGTAACATACGCTCACGTTCGTGTTTGAATAAGCACAGTAACTAAGATGGTCTTAAGCCTCTTCAGCACTCTGTTTGATTCTCTAACGAGATCATATATTTTTAGCTTTTTAGTTTGATATTCAACAAGTATACAAGGTGTTTTACTTATGTTTTGTGGAGTCGCGATGGACTCTTTTGAAATTAATAATCAGGTCACGTAGTTAGGTCGTGATTATAGTTTGTGTGAGTTTTTGAGCCAGAAACTTCCGATAATCACGTTTTGGAAAAGTAACCGGAAACTCTTTTTGTTGAGTGACATGCCCGCCAGGATGTCATGGAAGTGTGCGTGACGAAATATTCATGACGAAAACAAAAGATCACGATAGAATGTTCTGCTGCGTGCGTGGTTGCTATAAAAGTTGTTTACATTGGTTAAAGAGGAAATTTCTCAACGTCTATCTTAAAGATCGCTTAAGCTAAGCAGATCTTGTTTTCAAAACGTTACGTAAGTAATTTTTATTCCATCACGATGTTTGAATGGCCTGATTTGAACACTCTTCCATCGAGCCTGGCGGAAAGGAACATGCGAATGTTCAATAATTCTCTTATGAGCGACGTAAACTTCATCGTACGAGACAGCGAATCACAGAGGAAAATATCAATCCCTGCCCATAAGTATGTTTTGTCAATTGGAAGTCCTGTTTTCTACAAAATGTTCTACGGGGATTTGTCAGAGAAGAGCGATTCGATCGAGCTTGTGGATGCAGACTCGGAGAGTTTGTTAGAACTTTTTCGCTTCATGTACTCCGACGAAACCAATTTAACAGCAAGCTGCGTGCTCCGTGTCATGTACTTAGCTGAAAAGTACATGGTTCCTGCGTTACTTGACGAATGCGCGAAATTCTTAAAGAACGAAATCAACGCCGAAAACACATGGGAGATTTTAAGACAGTGCGAGTTTTTCCGTGACACCGAAAAACTGCAGGAAAGGTGTTGGAGTATTGTGGATCTTCAAACCCGTCAATGTATTCGCTCAAAGGGCTTCCTCTCAAACTCTCAGGGTATTGTTGAAGCGTTAGTAAAGCGTGAGTCCTTAGATATTGAAGAGTCCGAGTTACTTCGAGCACTCTTGTCTTGGGCAGAAGAGCAGTGTAAACTTCACTCACTGGAACCGAGATCAGAGAACATAAAGAAGTTCCTAAGTGCCAAGGTGTTGTCTCATATTAGTTTCAAGTTTATAAACGACAGTGATTTAATCAATCATTGTTTAGCTACTGGCGTTCTTGACCTTAAAGATTCGCAGTTTTCACAAGAGCTTGCGAATCTTGATTTTGTTCCCGCTGTATCCGTGCAGCCAAATAAAGGCAGTCGTCCTCGGCAAGGGATACAGCCTCTTCGTTGTCGCCGCTTGTTCGTAAACGAGCCACCCCGTCTTTTTGCTCCTTATGAAAGCACAAACAATGTTTGTTTTTTCGCGGATCAGTCTGTGTGTATAAGGGGAGTGCGTATCATTTTGAGTGGACGCAATTTACACGATGACTATGTAGTGATCACAAAGCTGCTGGATAGCAACCGCACCTGTGTTAGTTGCGTACAAGGAAACTACAAAGTGGAGTTTGGCGGGACGGAAGGTTTGCCTGGTTTCGACATTTTGTTTACAGAACCTGTCCTCGTTAAAAAAGGTGCCAAACATTTTATAACGATGTTTTCACCCGCTGAATTGGATTTGCCCCAACGCATTGGAAAAAGAGATGAGGTGAACTGTGCTGGAGTGAACTTTTATTTTCCTGATTCAACGCACAGACAGTTTCCGGAGTTAATTTTTCACCCTCTGCCGCCTCTATGGTAGGAGAAGAGGGAAAGAGAAGAAATTACAACACCCCATGATTAATAATAAATGCTGACAGCGCGGAATTATTCATCCAAACTATACAAACATCCTAAAAATATCAATCTGCCGCAATAGCGAATTTAGGGGAATCTGAAGTGGTTTTGACGAGACAATAATAAACAATTCATAACTGATCGTATGTCACGAGATATCACACTTTGTCACGGGTCACGACATTCGATCTTGATCAATAGCGTGTCACAGTTTAAAGGTCTCTTTGAAAGATACTGTATTCAGTTTTTCCGTCAGCTTTACTTACATGGTAACTGTATTTTGAGTAAGACGCACTTTTTAGCTTAAACATTTACCACACAACTAAATTTAGATGTACATTAAATTCGACTGTAGATGTTTCATTCATCACTTTATTAACTCAACAAACGATATCTTTTATCATGGAAATAGTGTAAATTGAGCTACTTAATATCAAAATACATTATTTCAATAAACAGAACAATACCTGAGATTTGCACACGAATTTTCTCTTCATGTTGTATTCATGTCACTTTGAAGATAAGAAGAAGGCTTGTTACACAACGTAGCCAATTGATTATTGTGCAAAGTGCTTTTGCCTTATATATCGCGGGCTCATATGTTCCACAACGTGTGATGCCGAAAAGTGAGAGGATTGTCTGAAATAAGGCATAAATCTGCAAAAATATTGAGTAGATACGATCTCACAGACCCCTTAATATGTTTTCAGTGTCATTAAGAGGGCTGAGATGTCAGAAAGGTAAGATTTCGGGATTGGATTCTTCTCTAAAGTTAAATAGTAAAGCTCTCTGGTCTGCATGGCGATTCGATATTCCACCTTGATTTTTTATTCTTAATTGACTTTGGGAAGGTTTCTCTGAGGATAGATTAGTTGCTAATGATACTTTAAATATTTCAGCTCTTAAGGAAGTCGTAAGAAACGCCAAGTCTCTCTACCTTAACTCTGGTTACAATGTAAGTGTATAGCGTTAGCGAATCGTGCATGTAAGTTACATAAGTTTGTTTCACACCACATCTTGACCTATAAGGGTGGACAGGGAACAGGAAGAAATACTGTGCATGATCATTACAATCGCATACTTCATTTACCCTTATGAACTAGATGCGTTTAATAGGCCATTTTTACAGTTGTGTACTTAGTTGCTAAGCCTTTCATTTGGAGTGAGGCTGAAAGGGACCTTGTTTTGATTGAGACCAGTATCAAGTTAGCATAATAACAAAACAATTTACATTTGAAAAACAGCGATGTTTGTATCATAAGAAGGTCACCCTTAGCCTCACTCCTGTTCAAAGACTTGGCAATTGAGCACGCAACTGTAAAATGGATTATTGTGCACCTGTCAACATTAAGCCTAAGGGGGAGACCTAAGGTAAATGCGGGCATGCAATATCTATTGCCTTCCCCACCTTCCTGAATTTGACATAAAACCTGGGCTTCCGGTTGGTGATGCTTGATTTTTTTGTTTGAAAAAATGTGACAAAATCACATCTTCACATGTGCTCTCTGGGACTGTCTCAGAAAAGATACAAAAAAATTCTCAGAACTTGGCAACTCATATCAATTATTCATAAGTTAAGCACAACAACTGTTGATTTTATGGATAGTTTTGCCAAGGAAGGGGAATTGGATAAGATTTAATACATTTTTCGGGTAAGGTAATGGAGATTATTAACAAGAATACTTCTGAAAAATCCAGTACACCACATATGACAGGGGTCCCTTCCCTTGGGATTCACACTTATTGATGCATGAGCAAATGTACTATGCACTTTCATAGAGCAGGGCCTCAGGATTGTTAAAAAAAGATCAATGATACGAACACTAAAAAAAAATACCAGTTAATAATGATTAATAAAATCAAATGATATGTAAAATTAATAGACAATCACACAAATCATTTTGTTGGTCATCAAGGGTTATTTTTTCTTGCATTTCACTTTTAATCTATCCTTACCAACCAATCAAACAGCACTGATTGCCGTCTGGTTATTTGATTGTGTCAATAACAAATTTCCAATTCTAGTCCTTAACCACATTACTTGAAATTTATTGACATTTTTCCAGAATGTGCTACTTTTACAGTCTGGAAGAAGAAGTGCTGGTAAGAACGTTTTTTTGGTCTTCAATTTTCTTTGATTATTTTGTTGTGTAGTTCCTGTCAAGTAAGATAAAGTAATCATGAATAAACAATGTAAACTTTATTTAAACAAAATAATCCAATAAAAAATCACAATATACAAGGCGTGATAAAAGTTATTACAAATTCATTTTTGAAAATATATAGAAAGCCCTTAACCCTTAAACTCCCAGAAGTGATTAACATAAAACTTCTCCCTACAGTATCCCTGTATTCTTCAGCAAACAGGTAATGAGAATATTCAAACTTATCAGGTAGAAGCTGTTATCTTGATCTAGCCCCATGTTCTCAAAACTAATTTACAAGGAAATGTGTAGCAGCTACAGGGGAGAATTGACAATTAGATCTTGGGAGTTAAAGGGTTAAAGGTGAAAAATAATCTAAACAGTACTTCAAAGAAAAACAAATTGAATATAAGGTGTGTCTACTTTATCTTTCCACTCATGTGTGCAATTTCTACCCTGCTAAAATCAGTATTCAACTCATGTTTGGTTGTTCTGAAGCCTCTTGCACTTAACACTACTGATCTTCATCATGAATTAATTGTGAGTATATCTGAAGCTCTTTTGACTGAAAATACTTCTGGTCTCTTTTAGTGTTTCAAATACGAAACTATGCAGCCCCAGTTAAAAAGGAATCCTTTTCAAGGGACAAACCTCATGTGAACATTGGAACCATAGGTCATGTGGATCATGGAAAGACAACTCTTACAGCAGCAATCACTAAAGGTGTGGAACAGTGGACAATGCTTCCACAAATCTGGTTTTTCACTGCTATTGTTTATTTTGATTCCAGAAGTCTTTGTTTATTCCTGTGATCACTGACACCAGGGGTTTCAAAATAGGCTACTGATTGTTGGAGGTCTGCTGGCCCAACTCCCATGAGTGGCCAAGACAGAATTTCTCCTTACAATATCAATACAATATCAACCAGATGAGTGATGAGAATAAAGAAAAATATAAATTTGGGGATAATTTATTGATCCAATATTAAATTCTCTGAACTAATGTTATAAGAATTGTATGGTTGACAGTAAGGAGAATTACAAATTTGATCTGGGAGTCCAAGGGCTAATAAATTGTTGCCTGTCACTCTAGTCAAAATAATTACCTTTTAGCCCCTATTGAATGTTTCACAGTCACTTGGTTTTGCTGAGTCTGATTCCTACTTCAAAATATTTTGAAACCCTTGTAAGACCTGACTTACACCTAATTTCCCCTTTCAGTATCACCCCTGCATCAAACATTAAGGTCAACTTACAACTTGCAAAGCCCCTTGGTGTTCCCAGAAATCTTTGGATGTAACACAAGGATTTGATTATTGCTAACTCATTCTTTGAGTGGTGCAAAACCAAAGCTAAAGTTATCACAATGGCCAAATGGAAAAATAATAAATATCATAAGGAGACAATTCCAACTAAAAGTAAGAAATGGCAATGAAGAAGAGGGTAATTTGAATGAGTGAAAAAAGTCAAGTCTTTTACATTGTAGCTTCACATCTGATTGGTTAAACAGGATGGTACAATTTTGTTAAACCAATCACAGAGCTAATTTAAGCAAAAGCAGTGCAATCTTGGATTGCTTTCAACATTTAATGGAAAATGGCTCCAATCTTGTCAATGAATGCTAATGTCCTTTAATTTGTATAATTTCCAGTGTTGGCAGAAGGAGGGACGGCAAATTACAAGTCGTATGCTGATATTGACAATGCTCCAGAGGAGAAGGCCCGTGGAATCACAATCAACACAGCACATGTTGAGTATCAAACGGACAGCAGACATTATGGACATGTAGACTGCCCAGGTCATGCTGATTACATCAAGGTATGGGGAATATTGTTCAAGTTAACTTTATTTTGACTTGACATTATGAAATACAGTCGACTCTCACCTGGTAGACACTCTGCTATGGCGAAACATATAAAGAAATTACTGAAACACCTGTTATTATGGACTCTTGCTATTACAGAAATGCAGACACTTTTGCTCCCCCAACCACACCCAAAACTCAAAAACCATAAACATTTTTAATAATGTGTGATGAAAATATGAAAGCGATCTTGGCTGTAATGAACACTGATTAAGCAGTGGTGAAAATAAGGTCTGAAAAAAATTCAGGCCTGTAAGTGATTTGAACCCATGACTTCTGCAATACTGGTGCAGTGCTCTGTGGACTGAGTTCACAAGCCAACTGGGAGCTGGTCATCATGTTGATTTGTAATAAACTTGTGAAGTGATGAAAATCATATGTATGATATGTTTTCAGAACATGATCACCGGAGCTGCCCAAATGGATGGTGCTATTCTAGTTGTGGCCGCAACTGATGGTCAAATGCCGCAGACGAGAGAACATCTCTTACTTGCCAGTCAGGTTGGTACAGATTGTTTTTCATTGGCACAATTACTAGTAATTGTAACATCATAGTACACTTTGTTGGTTTTTTTTTTAACTCCCAGTAGTGACCAAGACATATTTTCTCCCTAGAATGTCAATGCAATATCAAGCAAACAAGTAATGAGAATATAAAAAATATCAATTTAGGGATTATTGTCTGATCCAATACTAAATTCTCAGTATTAACATCATAAACAATGTGTGGTAAAGAACTCAATGCTTGACTCACTAGGTCTCAAAGTTCAGTGCACTGGCTATTCAACCGTCTTGCACTGTACTCAGAAAAGGAGCTGAATTTACTTTCTTTGCTCAGCATAATTTGTTTTATTTTTTTTTGTCTTTCAGGTTGGCATTAAGCACCTTGTTGTGTACCTGAATAAAGCTGATGCTGTGGATGATGAAGAAGTTATTGAACTGGTGAGCTGACAACACTATGATGTTTGGGAGTGTTGCTATCCCTTCTTAACAGAATGCTAGTCCAATGCAAGTCCAATGCTAGTTCAGTGCTAGTCCAATGCTTGTCCAATGCTAGTCCAATGCTAGTCCAATTCTAGTCTTTCACTTTTACTTGTTGATTTTTTGGTACCCATTTATACCATGGGGTGTAGAGAGAAAGAAATTAAATTGTTTTGCCCAAGAACACAACACGATTAAGCACCACAAGCTTAAACCAAAGTGTTTCCATTTTGCATCTGGTGCACCAACCTCTAGGAACACCTGCCACAAATAAACCAAACACTTACATGAGAGTGCTATTTGTGACAGTTTTTTTTTTTTTTTAACCCAAACAGGTTGAATTGGAGATGCGAGAGGTTCTATCTGAGTATGGCTTTGATGGAGAGAACACCCCCATTATTTCAGGGTCTGCTCTTTATGCATTAGAGGACAAGGAACCAGCAATGGGTAGAGAGACAGTTGTCAAACTCCTGAAAGCTGTGGATGAGCACATTCCTACACCAGAAAGAGAACTCGACAAACCCTTTCTCCTCCCTGTTGAAGATGTTTTTTCCATTCCTGGGCGAGGCACTGTGGTAACAGGCAGGATTCAAAGAGGTACAATCAAGATTGGTGATGAAGTGGAACTCGTGGGACATAAATCCAAGGCAAAGACGATAATCACAGGTAAACTGAATGGATTAAAAAAAATGCAACTACATGTGTATGATAAAAAGTGTTGAAACCTCCTCTGCTGGAACAGATTTCCTCTTCAAAAAATTTCACCTTAAATTTGATGGCAATTATTTATACATATTTATATGTATATATAATATATGTGTGTATATAATATATATGTGTGTGTATATATACTTGGTAATTAAAATGAGAAACAAACATGTGCTTCTTTTTGAAATGAGTTCCCCTCGTAAATCAATTTTGGATTTACCAATTTCAGCATGTGTTGTAACCAAGAGTTCAAATAACTTACTGCTTTTCCTTGGTGTCAAACGGACAAAGTGAACATATTTGCCTCTTGTGTTTCAGGTATTGAGATGTTTCACAAACTCCTTGACAGAGGGGAGGCTGGGGACACCTTAGGCGCATTGCTCAGGGGGACTAAGAGAGACGAAGTCAGACGTGGAATGGTGCTGTGTGCACCTGGAACCATCAAATCGCACAAAGAGTTTGAGGCTCAGGTACTGTAATGAGTTGTTATATACACTCATCTTATATGATATCAGCTGAGAATGTTCTTTATAAGTCTTATGAACCTTTAGCCTTCCCCCTTCCCGCACTAACCACAGGAAGGCTCGCATCGGCCGTGGGGCTTTAGAGGCAAAGGCTAGCAGAATCGGCTGCCATGAGTGACCAAGACAGAATTTCTCTTCACAATATCAATACAATATCAACTAGATAGGCGATAAGAATAAAGAAAAATATCAATTCGGATATAATTAGTTGATCCAATACTAAATTCTACAAACTAATATTATAATAATTGTATGATAAGACAGGAAGGAGAATAATAAATTTGATCTGGGAGTTAAAGGGTTAAAGATCCCTTGGTGGTCAAATCTGTCAAACGGAACCTGATCGCAGGCTGCCCAGAAACTGGATTATGGTACAATTTGGGCGATTCAAAGACGACAAGAAAAATTGTTAACTCGGGTATGATGGAATAGATGGTATATGTTGGTCGTGATGGTGAAACAAGAAAATCGAAACAAACACGGTTATGTGAGTGAACCAACTTGGCTTAGCTTTTGAATCAGTTTTTACATAAAAAAATCTGATCAACCTGTGTCTCGAACAGGTAAATCGGCAAGGAGGTTTGACTTGGCTTGAGGGAGAACTTTTTCACTGATGTAAACGCGCACAAATATTTTACCGCAGAAGGGTTATCCTTTGAGTTTACTTGTAACCCAGGGTCATGTAAAAGATCCCTAAGAGAAATCCTTAGTCGTCGTTTTTCTTAAACCTTACAGGTGTACATATTGAACAAGGAAGAGGGCGGACGCCATAAACCGTTTGTATCCAATTATCAGCCTCAGATGTACATCAGAACAGCAGACGTGTCGGCCACCATAAGCCTCCCGGAAGGGAAGGATTTTGTCATGCCCGGGGAAGATGCCTCATTCACTATTAAGCTCATGTTCGACATTGCGCTTGAGACTGGGCTCAGGTTTACCCTTCGAGAAGGCAGCAGGACTGTGGGGACAGGGGTGGTCACTAAGATAATCGAGTGATGGAATTAACTGTCATAACTGATCCCTCCCTAGTAATGTAAGCGTTGTGCCACTATTCTACAGCAGTCTTGTCACAAGAAAATGTGTTTGAGTTTGCAAAACTGCTTTGCTTGATCATTTCTTTTTTCTTCTTTTTTTTTTTATTTCAAACTGAAAGAGATTATAGTGGAGTTGAGGAAAGCCAGCAAAAATTAAAGATGAGAAAAACCCTATTGCAATTTAGTTTGGAAGCTTCTTGACCTTTAAACTCGTATTAGTGACCAAGACAGAATTTCTCCTTTCAATATTAATACAATATCAAGCAGACAAGTAATGAGAATATAGAAAAATATCAATGTGGGAATAACTAGTTGATCCAATACCAAACTCTCCGAAGTAACATCATAAGAACTGTATGGTAGACAGTAAGGAGAATTGCTAATGAGATCAAACGAAAGTCTTGAAAAAAGAAATCTGTTGGTTTTCCTAGCCACTCACCTCTACTACCTATTATTGGAGAAGGAACATCTACTTGTCAACCATTTTGCTGTTGTAAAAGGAAAGGACAGATCTCTGTGATGTTCTGCACTGTGACTAGCAGGTCTTTCTGTCAGATGACCTTCTCATGTAGACGGTTTTCTCTTAGGAGGCCAAAAAGCTGAAAACTTAAAAGAGGCTAATTGTTCTTGTCTTGTTCTTTGTATTCTCGTAATTTGCATTCGACTGCTTGGAGTTCTTTAGTTGTACTTAAGCCTGTTTTGTAATTAAAACTGTTGATTGGTTAGAATTTTTTATTGAGCGTATTAGTGTACATTCATCTCACGATGTATTTCTTCAAATTCGTGTGGGAGGAAATCGATCCTTGTGTTGTTGTATGAATAATGAGTGTGGTATTGTTTACGCGAATAATTTATAGGGATTTACTAGTGAGGGGAAGGCTTAAAGGAACCGGCGTTTCCTGTAACGTATATCGTTATCGATCTTTGTGTTAAATGTGTTACTGGAAACGAGAAAAGGCGATGTTAATTGCTCTTTAGTAGGTGCTCTCATGGGTCGGTACTAACGGAAGATATTAATTAAGTATTTTAAGAGGACCACGACGGCAACGGCAACGGCAACGGCAACGAGGACGTGGCCAAACAAAAGAGCTACTGAATGGGCAAAACAATAGCTTAGCACGTGCATTTTAAATCTCCCCTGCCCAACAACAACGTGAAATCACCAAGATTTGCGTGGTCAGCCGCTGGGAACGGAAACCCCGACGGCGAGTTATTTAAATTTGGAGCTTAACCCCTTCTCGCTAACGTTATGCTGAAGTCGAGGTGTGGCGCTGTAAGAGACAGTAAATGATTTACATTCTTTTTTAAATCGACGTCTTCCTCGCCGGTGTCGTCCTGATTGCCCAAGGTCCCTAAATTAAGTCTCCGCCGTGGTACTGAATCTCACCACCGTTGACCTTTCAACTTTCGATTTTTGGTTTGTGATCCTCTCGTGCCTTATACCAATTTCTTTGTAAAAAGGATGAAGGAATTGGAGACATCTGTCATGCCTGGATAACCAAGAACTGCTGCTCTTCCTCCAACCAGTATTTCCCTAGATTGACTTCCCTAGAACTTGATCAGTGAAATGCGTAAACCGATTTATGAGCCTGTAAGACAGATGCTAGTTTCTGCTTTAAAACCATTCATTTTTTTTTTCATCATTGTTTTCTCTTTCGTGACATACCTTTAATATTCATCGTAAAAAATAAGCGAGGAAGTAACCGCACTTAAATCCGTGGGCACTTCGGTTTTGAAATGGTCGAGAGGAGTTCAGCTGCATTTTAATATCAGTTAAGATATTGTGAAAATGTTGAACGCAAAGCAAAAAAGAGATGCTTTGTATCAAGGAAGATTACCTTGCATCCAAATGTAGCATATTCCCATGTCGAATCAAATTCAGCTCTGTTAGCCTTTCAGTTTACGCGGGGATGATTGAAGCCTTGTAAGTTAAATGATTTTTTTCAATATTCAAAGGCGCTCAATATTTGTTTGTCGGACTCAACCAAAACTCGACTTTTCCAAAGCGTGGGTAAATAGCGGAGGAGGAAAAATAAGGCGTATTAGCTTGAGGTCAAAGTTGAAATTTTTGTTGTCTTTTTTACTAGCGGTGAATTGTTAAGAAGACAAGGCTTTCTCTCCTATTTTCTCTGAGCATAGAATAAAAACTACCCTAGTTGACCGTTAACATCATTTTCAAAGTAAGTTTATTTTCGACGCGTCCTAAACCGTACCAATGAGAAGAGTGTAACAATTTTGCATGTGAAATAAATGATGTGCCCATGAATAAATAATTTCCAGAACTTTCTTTGGGAACGAGACTAAAGGTAATTTTGGATCTGGGCCATCGGACAATCTTAGGAAAGAGGATTGTGTTAGTTAAGCTGATAAACGAAAGTAAAAACGTGAACGCTTTTTTTTTTTTTCGAGTTTTGTTTTTTCGGATTGGAACAATTTGTTGTTATTGTGTAAATATTCACGGGTGCAGTGCATATATCTCTAATTAAAGCTATTGACACGCAATAGCTCGGCCTGCGGAGACATTCAGAAAGCAAGATATTTAGTTGTATAAATATCTGAGAGTTTGCGTGCAGATAGCGTTATTCATTACAGCTCTGCAGTTGAGGCAAACAGCTCTGGAAAGCAAAGTGTCGAACATTTCAAGACAAGCACAGGTAAATCTTGTTCTATTGTCATTTTCGTGAAGGGGAATTATATATTTGATTTGATATGAAAACTTTAGATGAACAGTGATTACTGTGTCTCGAAGTCAGAGTCGAGTGTGAGCATTTGAAACGGCGAAAAAATTTCAGTGTATTTATTGAACTACGATATTTAGATAGGCTAACCTAGTTCAGCTTTAAAGCTGGTTTAAATAGGGGGTTGTGAACAGACCACAACATCTACGCTCCCTACTCTTTGCGAGAATGTGTGGGTTCTTTAACGTCCGCTGTATATGATTTCTGATGCTCTCTCAAGACACTCTGTGTATTTCTAATGTTCTACAAAGCTCTTTTTAGGTTATACTTTCTCATTTTTTCCCAGTTGATAATAGTTGTGATACTATTTTGTTATCAGTCCGAAATGCACATCTCATTTTAGTACTCGAAGGTTTCGCCCATACCGAAATTCGTTCTTACCACGACAAATTCATCCCCAAATGTTGAGAACTACTTGGCTTCACTTAAGGACACCACATGGTACCAAACAGAAAGCCTCAGTTTGACAGGATTACTGCCTTCGTTGTTGTTTTAAGCGCAGTTTTTCTTCGTTAAATCAATAAAGAAACCAGGCTTATATTGATTTCGCTCTGATTAAGGGCTAACGCTCGAAACGTCCGCTTTAGAAATTCTGTACGGTGGCAGATTTACATAACCACTCAGGTGATAATGCCATGCTATCCTTTAATACCCCGGTCGTTTCGTTACCAGCATTTTCTGTTATTTGGTAAGTTTGTTCCTAATAGACAAGATTAAAAAACTATCATTTGAGTTTTTTTTTTAAGTTAAGTATCGATTTACGGTAAATCAACTCTGACTGAATAAAATTACCTATTTGGAACTTATTTTCTCAGGTCAAAGGTCAAACTCACCAACAAGTGACTTCCCGCGAATAGAAAATAATTTTTTTAAATACTATGATTTCATTTTTTTAAAGTTAAGTATCGATTTACGGTATATCGACTTTGACTGAAAAAAAAAAAACTATTAGGAACCTATTTTCTCATATCAAAAGTCAAACTCACCAACGAGTGACTTCCTGCGAAAGCATTCGCATTTTGTTTAAAATAGATGATAATTTTGCCCAAAGAAAAAAAATTAAAAGAAAGCAAATCTCGTTTGGTCGTAAAAGCAAGATTTCCGCGCAGTCCCACACTTCATTATGCATACAGTTCTTGGATAAAGAAACCAGCAGCGAAAACAATATATTGACTTTGGGAAAAAAGATTTTTCTACAATAGTATGAAGCTGTGTGGAAATCCGTTACCGTCGAAGCTTTAGAAATAATTTGAAAAACTCTGTGGTTAACCTCGATGTCGTATTTGTTGAGGTGGGTCGATCGTGGTGGGAGTGAACTAATGATGGGTCCAATACCACACCACCCACCACTCCGCCATTATGTGACACTCGCTTTGAATACTGACGAGTACTGCCCATGTACTTCTCTTTAAACTCATTATCGATTGATCGAAATAATGACTCTCCGGCTTTGCGATCCTTTTCGTAGCGTGATAACGAGCCCGCTAATGCACCAAGGTAGAGCAGCGGTATAAGCCACATTGCGCAAGATGCGTAAGAGATTTGTACTTCTCTTCACATATGTGGTTGACAACAGATTAAATTGTAATCTCTTGCGACGTGTTGAAGCTGTTTGGGGAATTACTTAATGTTCACTCTAGGGAATGAAAGGGTTAAAAAGTGTTACAAGACAACGCTTTATTCACACAAATCAGTGAAATGTTTTTTACTAGTTTCAAGTTGGTAATGTTACTTTGTGTGTTGAGGTCAAAAGGATGTTAAATGGCAAAACAAAATATATGAATCATGAAATGAAATGCTTAACTTTGTACTGATAGAATTTTCGGGGGTAGACCATTGCGAAATCAGATGCAGGGATTTCTGCACGGACAATGACGTAGATACTGAACTTTCTCGGACGAGCACTATCTTAATTTTTATCTAGTCAAGAATAGGCCAGCACTCACAATAGGTGACTCGTCGTCACAACACAGAGCAAGGAAAAGTTGCGGCATTGGTGATAACTCGCTTCGTGACATCAGGATAATTTATGTACGTGGGAACATCAGCTCCTGTAACATAATTAATAAATATTGAGCAAATCTAGCCTCAGGCTTCGTTGGTAATGAATATCTATAATTTTATCACTCTGCGTAAACATATTCATGTCCTTTTCTGCCTGTTTCTAAGCTAAACTGTAGGTGTACGTCTCTACTGGGAATATCAATATTGAACATCAAACACG